AACCTACATAGCCCGACCAAGTTCGGATGGCTACAAAAAAGCGGCTGTTCAATATATTTAGGTAACATCCCAAAATTTACAGTATAATACCGGTATTGAATTGGTACAGGTGATAACACACTTGTTGTTTCGAAATAATTTATAGGTCATTTATTTTTGGACACCTACTTTTTTAAATGTATTTGACTATGACAGAAAGTAGGTACCATTTACGTAGGTACTTTATTTAAGTATGCGCTTGAGATTTGAGATATAATCTAATTATATTTAAGACAAATAAAATTCATACAGCTAATTTCTATTGAAGATTTCACGGATCAGGATTCTAACTATAGACCCCTTAGGGAAATTAAATATTTACCACATGTAAGTATGTACTACTGTTTAGGTAAATATTTATCATATTGTAGCTTATTACACTATTTAACCAATATTTTTTATTACACTATTTTAACCAATAGACTAGGCATGCACGAGCGTGTGTACGATACTGTGTTTTATTTTTTCCTAACGCTTGTGTACGATACTTTACCATATTAATAAATGCTATATTGGAAAGTTAAGAACGTTTCTTAGATATATGGCACGGCCGCTTTTTTGTAGCCATCCGAACTTGGTCGGGTTATGTAGGTTTTCGATGCTTCGTCAGTATTATAATTGTTTTTCTTAAATTACTGAATTTAATTACATGAAATTTTGCATGTGAATAGTTGAATAAATACACTAATTATTGGCATACATTTTACCATGCAATTCATTTAGAAAGTCGTGATATTTGACTGCTTTGTAAACAGTGATCTATTCATGGTAAATTTGTCCTATAACTATTTAATTACTAACGGAACATCATTGATACTTGGCAACATGTTGCAGACACTTACAAGGTTTGTATAAACGTGAAAATCTAGACCCTAAAGTGCATACTTTAATAATAATAATAATAATAATAATTCTTTATTTGCATAAAACATGGTATAAATGGTGTTACAATAATTATTATAAAGAGCTTACATGTTTTGCCAAAATTATACTTAGCATGCAAATTTTTCACTTATATGTAGGTAGCATTAAATTTTTTTTCCATAAATTCTTTAAGACAATAGAAATTATTCTTATTCAACCAAGCAAACAATTTATTCTTAAATAATCTAGAATTTAATTTTTTTAAATCACTCGGTATCTTATTATATATACGAACACAATTACATAAGCAGCTTTTACTATATTTAGTAAGCCTGGCAGTATCATCTAGAACAAGTCTATGTGGGTCACGCCGGTTCCTAGGATTAACATCATTGACTGATTTAAACAAAGTTTTATGTTTATTAACGAACATGCATATTTCATAAATATAGAGGGATGGCAATGGTAACAAATTTAGTTTTTTAAATATGGGTTGACACGAGTCCTCCGGATGCATCCCGAACATTGCTCTAATGCACTTTTTTTGAGCAACAAAAGCTCGGTGTATATCTGTGCTATTTCCCCATATTATAAGCCCATAGCGCAGTAGCGATTCCACATATGCACGATAGGTCATAATAGCTGTTTTTAAGTTGGTTACATTTTTTACTTGTTTGAGAGCATATACAAATTTATTTATTCTCTTTGAAGCATTATCTACATGCTCTTTCCAGTTTAAATTCTCATCTATTATTACGCCTAAAAACTTTGTTTGTGCCACTTCTTTAATTTTGGATATGTTTAGTTTAATATTATATTTTGAATTATTACATTTATTAAAGTTGATATATACGGATTTATTAAGATTTATTTTAAGATTATTAGTGTCGAGCCATTGTATTAATTTTTCTATAGTGTTATTTATTTCATTCTCGTGATTATTTATACCATTATTACATTTTTCTGTCGTTATAATAATACTAATGTCATCAGCGAACAATATACATTGGTGATTGGTTATATTAATAATGTCATTTATGTATAGTATGAACAGGATAGGGCCCAGTACACTTCCCTGTGGTACACCATGTTTATTGTGCTTGTATTCTGAAGAAAAAGACACCTTATTCTGACAGTCGTCTATTCTATCAGTGATGACACGTTGTAGTCTGTTACTAAGATATGAGGCTATCCACTGAAGTGTAGGACCCCTAATGCCAACTAATTCAAGTTTTTCGAGTAACAGACTGTGGGAAACTAAGTCAAAGGCTTTTGAAATGTCAAAAAATAGCCCAGTGGTCAGATTATTTTTATTGATGTTGGTAACTATAGCCTTTACAAGAGAAAATATTGCCAATGTAGTAGACTTATTTTCCTGGAAGCCATACTGCTCTTTGCTAATTATATGAAATTTGTCGCAATAGCATATTAGTCTTTTATACATACACTTTTCATACACTTTGGACAATATGGGAATTAACGTTATTGGACGATAGTTATTGATGTCAGATTTTTCGCCCTTTTTATATAAAGGTTTGACTATTGAGTATTTCAGGGCATCAGGAAAAGTTCCCGATGCAAAAGATACATTAACTAAATGTGTCAAAATAGGAGTTAATTGATTTGCACACTCTTTAATAATTTTAGTATTAATGTCATCATAGCCCACAGAATTGGAATTAGCTAACGACATTATCAATTGTTTAACCTCGCTTTCCTCCATAGGTTTTAGGAACATCGAGTTGCCGGTTGTTCTAATGTGAGATGATGATTTCATGCTATTCTGGGTACTCGTATGCGTTAAGTTGACATAATTATTATTGAAAGCAGTGGCAATTTCGATAGGATCTGTTAATGTTGTGTTGTCAATTATAATTTTCTCTATGTTTCCTATACAATTTGTACCGTTCATTTCACTTTTAATTACTGCCCACGTGGCCCTACATTTGTTTCCGTTTTTGTGAATATATTTAATATTTGAATTTTTTTTTGAATTCACTATGCATTTTTTTAAAATATTGGAATATGTCATATATTTCATTTTATTATTTGGATTTTTATTTTTATAATATTTATATCGTAGCTTACATTTTTTTCGACAACTTATTTTTAAGCCCTTGCTGATCCAATTTTGATTATTATTACCTTTGTTATTTATTTTTACTTTTACTTTTGGAAAGCAAAGATTGTAAAATAAGCAAAGCAGTTCATGAAATTCACTAAATACATTTGCATCATTTTTTACGTATAATTGTGACCAAGATATATTATTTAGACATTCCTTGAATTTGCGAATATTGTCCGAACTATAATCCCTTCTAAATATGTAGTAAGATGTACGAGTATGCATCCTTTTTTTTATAGGAAAGCTCAACATTTGAGCGGTGTCATGGTCCGAGAGATGGAGAGGCATAACTGACGTAATTGCATTTGGAATATTGCTCAGAATGTGGTCTATGCAAGATGACTTGCGCGTAGGCACATCTATGTGAATTTTCATATTATAGTTGTAGGATATGTCTTGCAGGTGATTAGTGACATTGCTTTTTTTTAACGTGTTTATATTAAGATCACCCGCTATCACTATACGAAATGTCGGTTTGTATTTATGAGTTATGTAGTTCAAAAGATTATCTAATTTATATAAGAACTGGGTAGGATCCGAGTTTGGAGTTCTGTAGACGCAAATAACTAGCATTTTATAACACTCAATTTCTATGCCGCAGGCTTCAAATGTATTTTGGGTTACATATTTTTTAATGAATGATAGATCTTTGAAGGGAATACCTTTTTTTAATAAGATACAGGTTCCTCCTCTTTGCTTTTCTCTGCAAAAGTTTGACGCTAATTCATACTTAAATATTTTGACATAATTCTCATAGCCCTTTTTCACAAAAGTTTCAGACAGGCAAATTACGTCAGGCTCTTTTTGTGCTATTTTTAACTCCTCAATTGTTATTTCTAAAAGTTCCCGTTTTGACAAAATACTCGCTATGTTTTGATGCAAAATATTAAACATTTGGGTTTTAGACACGAAAAAAATCCCCTTTATTTTTTAATATAGGGAAGTAGTAAGGTATTGTACCTTTATTTATAGTCCCGATTGATACTGCTGTGTTTACTGCTCGTATAATTTTATCGCAATTTTGTATACTGAAATAGTAAGGAATTGTTCCTTTTTTAGGCTTACTGTTACTAATGGCTATATTGCTACTTGGTTGATTACGCATTATAAATTGCTTAATATTTCCGGGATATAAGTATTTTTCATCGTAGTCGTTACAATCTATTACATAATTTATAGACTTACAAATCTCTGATAACTTAAAGTTTACAATATCAAGAAAGTAACATTTTTTAAACTTTTTACATAATTTTTCTATGCTATAATTCAACTTAGAAACATTTAAGGAGTTACTATTGCTAACTTTAAGTACAATTATCCTATTATTGTAAAATGTATCCAATAAACCTTCTAACTGTGATAGAACTTGCCCCAAGTTATTATCATTTTCCCCTATACATATCACAAGCTTATCATTCGGTTTTAAAGTTGTTTTTATGCAGTTCTGAATTATTATATCACATTTCGCATTTGGATTCGTTTCCGCAAGTTTAAGAGCTAAGACCTAATAAGCGTATTTCACGTTTATATTTTTATCTTTTAAACCCTACGATTTTTTCTAAATCTGTTTTTTAAACAAATATACACAAATTCAAAACAACGCATGTAAAAATCTACAGCTCTCTATGTAAGCGCTTTATATGAAAACTAGCTAATGGCCAAACGTTCGCGTAGCGGAAACTTGAATTTCTCCGAAGTTTATGCATGCACTAGTTTTATTCATACATACACAATTACACACAAATACACACTAATTTTTGGATACATCTCTTTTCTTCTAAAGTCTATGGATTAAAAAAAGTTCCGCCAGGACAACGTTCGCCCAGCGGAATCAGTTTTTGGTGAATTTCTCCACAATGGTTGCGTGCACAAATTTTTTTTTACCATACACAATTATACGACGTCATACACTAAATATCTGCATAATTAAAATCTTTAAATTCAACAACATTCCGCTGCACGAACGCACGCTTGAAAAACGAAAATTGGCTCAATGGTTTAGTCCTAGACTAAAGTAAAACCTTGTTTTGTAATAACGCCGATAGAGTTTTAAACTTACTAGCTAGTCCTTCGTACTGGCTGGATAATTATATTTGTCAATAGAACGGGACAGAAATATTACAAAAAAAATCTTATCTAAGACATTTAATAGATAGGTGGTTTAAATATAAAAGTATAAAATACAAATTACATCTAGTTTACAAATAAGCTATGTTTATCAGCTGTCTGCGCCTGCTTCCTGTGGTTTCGTTGTTTGTTCTGTTGACGGTAGGAGAAAACTCAGGCCTGCGCATACTGTGGATAGGAATAAAATTAAAAAAAAAAGATATTTATTCATAAAAAGAATATCTTCTTTTTTCTGAACGTCAGAAATCGGAAGTGTGACACTGGCAGTTCCCTACCGAACATAATATCGTGAAGTCTTTGGTCGATAACTTACGAGATCGTAGCACGACGTTACTTAATAACACAAAATATTCTTGACATAATTAGATTATGTTGTACAGCTGGAAATTCGTAGGTATGTGTAAATACGTACAAATAAACATATAAAATAGGCCTGAATTCATCAAATAAGGTTGGTTATTATAATGTTTTGTGTTTATACATAGTCTTCAGTCACCTTTTAAGTGCTAATACACACATATAAATGCAGGAAATAGGTAGCAGAGAAAAGAAAAAAATATGAGACGGATGAGTGGTGTGAAAGAGAAAAAACATGTGATATACCATCGATATAAGGAACCAAAAAAGAATCACCACTTAGGGAAAATTAATGCACCGCATTATCAATATAATTTTCATTTCTTGCAAAAAACTTTTGCAAGGCGTTGGAGCGGAGTGGTCTCTCCGCATCCCGCATCGAGGGCGGGTTAGCAGTTATACGACTGATATATCCCAACCAAAAAAAAAAAAAAAAAATCGATAGAAAATAAATACCGTGCCTCAGCACCCTTATAATTATTATAGTCAAACCAACTGATATCCCAATAATTGTAATCGCATTGTTAAATCAACCAACGTACCATTTCCGATTAAAAAAATGACAATATCGTTGATAAGTTTGTAACTTTCCAAGGAACTTTTAAAAACATCTGATATGTCAAAATATAATCAGTGTAAACATTATAATCCTGTTGTAATAAAAATGTTAACGTTAGGATCAGCTTCTAAAAGTGCGGGAGGCCGTTATCTCTTTCCTGGCCTTAGATAAAGCCATTCTATTGTTAGTTGGTACTTGTATTGTAAACAGATTTAACTTAAATTATTATTATGCTAATGGATGTCTTCTCCCGATCTGAGAGGGAGTGTCAGACTCTAGCTGACTAAAAACTTCCCCGTTCTTTTTCCTGCTTAGTGTCGACTTGGTACATTATAACTAGGGTTGCCAACTTTTTTTACAAAAAATTAAGTATATTTGGGCTTGAGAAGAATTTTAAACAGTATTTTCGAAAAACAAACAGTATTTTATTTTTTAAAGTCTTAAAGACATATTTATACCTTTTCGGACAACTTCTTAATTTAGAATTTTTTTAAAAGCTTCATATGCTACCTACTCAGTAAGAAGTTTTTAAAAAAGAACCTAATGGCGACCTTTCGCTCCCGGCCTTAGTCGAGGCCATGGTGCGGAGCGAGAGGAACTGGGAAGCTGTCTCCTCTTTCAGTGAAGCAGTCATGCTCGCATAGAAGGAGGCAGACCGCGTGAGGGAGCTATCCTCCTTCTAACGCCCCAGCCACCGCAGTAAGCGACACTAGGTCGCCGCCCGATCAGAACCAGACCGGGCGTACGGCGCGTAGCGTTCCGTGCGCGCCTCAAAGAGTCAAAAGACTACCACAGACAAGGCCCTATAAGGCTGATGTTCAGCCGAGGCACCGCGGCCTCCGCCCAGAGCAGGAGAAGGAACGGGACGTTTTTAGTCAGTAAGAGTCTGACACTCTCTCTCTAGCCTTACCCTCGGTGGGAGCAAAAGTCCTGTCACTCTTGTCTTGAATATTTTACGTTGACATTTACAGATTTAGTGCAGAAACGCTATTATTGTGATTGTGATTTATTTGTAGTTGCGTTGCGCTGCACTGAGTGATAGTTCCAAGTTTGAAATATTATGTGAGCACCTAAATGTTGTAATGACACGTTAATGCTGAAAAAAGTATTTTGGATAATAAATTTATTTTTAAGAAAAAGTAATAGTTAACAGTATAGTAAGCAACCCTAATTATAACCCCGATCGGGTGTATATTCATACTAGTGGCCGGGCGGTGAACACGTCGAAGAAATGTTATCAGTGATGACTGATGAACTATTGGTTTATCACTGCATCCCCGAGGCACAGCCCGAGGGCTCGACTGGTAGAAATAGCCTAAGATATTAAGTCCGTCGATGTACCCATTGTGCATGAAGTTTAAATAAATTAATTAAAAACTTTTTATTTCGAACCATTTCAACACTAATCTCCTTGTTACAGAGTCCGCATTCATAATTATGTTTATCGACTGTAATTAATGTATTACAAAATACAATATCAAGTGTCAACAGTTCAAGATCATACTAATGATAAGTTTTTGATGCTCTAAAATACATTTTTTACCGAAAAATTATTGTAATTTTGTAACTTTAACTGAAGTTAGATAGCCAATTCATTGTACTTGTGATCGGAAGCTATTTTGTTAGGTTATTAAGTCCGTTATTAATTATAGATATTATTTATTTGAAATTTACCTTGATTAATGAGGAACCAGCAAAAACATATTTAAAAGTAACACACAATTTTTTTTCAGCGATATAGTTACTAAGAACAAATCGAAGAAAAATGTCATCAAAGTTTCAATCACATTAGTTTTAAATTAATGAGTCCGGGCATTTTCTAAAATTATACTATTAGATAGTGTTTTAATAATATATAGTGTCTGATATAATTACGTACATAGAAAGTAAATAAGTAAGTCAAAAAGGGAATGTTTGAGTCATATATAATGTTGTTAGTAATTTCTATCGCGTTAATGCGTGTGCCGCATTTTTTTCTTGGAATTAAACGTGAAATTTAGTATACACCTTTGATGAAAATGATAAAAATTCAGCAAAGTAGGTACACTTCTTTGATAAAATATTTAGTTTAAAAGTTTTACTTACAAAAGACTAGGAAAGCGAAGCCATAGAAGGTGAGAATGCAAGCAGCGCTGAGGAACACCCCGGCTGCGTTTGCGCCGACCACAGAGCCTAATCGCCCAAACATCAACACGGCGCCCACTGCCGTGCCCCTGTAGAAATAAATGGTATTATTATTATTAGGTACACGTATATTTTGTTACTTTAAATACTGGGGAAAAACCTGGAAATTAAAAACTGAGGATTCAGATCTAATTGACAATCCACCTAGGGTAGGTTTCTCCTTATAAAAACAACAGGGACAATTTCTGACTTATTGACGATTCTGAAAAGGCATTTTTCGCCATTGTTTTTAAAGTGGCTACTTCTCTAATTTCCGCTCTTCCTTTTTGAAATGCTTTTTCAATAATCTAATTATTACGAAAAATTACAACCACAACAAAAACGCATTCGGTCCGTCGTTGTTGAGTTTACCGACACTTTCTATTCTATTTTGTTTAAAGAACATTCGATTGAAACAAAATTATAATTAATTTCAAGCAACTTCCATTTTCAAATTATTGAGACACGTTCTTTTTTATGGATAAGAAATATCATAAAATTTCGTTCGGAAAACGAATTTTAAATGCACGCTTTAACGAACTACATTATGACCTAAAAAAATATTTGTTTGCCTAGTGCAAAAATTCCATCTACTCTACTTTAGTGAAAGAGGTTAATCGATAACGAAATGAAAATATTATTAAACACCAAACATGCGTCATAGCGACTAGGTTATAGGCATTAAGTATTTAATATAAAAATATTCATGTTATTTTTGAAAACGATTGGAAATTTTCACATACCAATAAAGATAACCCACAGACCCACAGACTTCCTATTGTCAAAAATAGTTAATCTATATATTTGTCGCCGGTTGTTATTCATTAGGCGTATTATAATATATTTATGATATTATGATAAAGGATTATAAACGTGTGTGTTATTAATAATATGTTTTCTAGAAAACCCTAGCTAAAGGTGAGGCTACAATACTGCGCAGCGAGGTCGCGCGTTTCCGCCGCATGCGCAACGTCATCGTACAAATGAGTCGTCGCTCTAAAGAATTTTATCACATTTTTTCTTAAATTAAAAATTTTTGGACAAACTGGATTAACACTACAGTCGACCTTAAAAACAAAGGAGATGGAGAGGCTAAAAGAAAAAAAAAACTCGTCGCACTGTGAAAGTCAAAGTCGTTTATTCCAACTAGACCATAAAAGAGTACTTTTAAACGGTCAAAAAATTTTTTTTATTTATCACAAAATGCGACTATTTTTACAGGGCAACTTAATGTAATAGTGTATTGACAATTTTATAGGTACTTAATCTAAATACTCTACACACTTATCGGTTAAGAAAATAATAATAAAATCCGTCAGTCGAAAAATAGAATAAAGTCCGTTAGTCTGTTCGTCAGTGATGCTAGTAAAGTGCCCGTTCCAAAGTGAAGATTCAAATGGAGAAGAACTAGCAAGAAACTTAGTAGAAGGAGAAAGAAACTCTGTGCCGACGTTGTATTTTAGTGTCGCGCGTAACAGTGTTGTAGCTACCTCCTTAGTCTGTTGCGGTGACAGCAAAATATTTGCTTAGGCTTTATAGTGTAACCAGCATTCGATGCTGGCGACGTACTAAGTAGTGGGGAAAACCGGCAATGGTCTGACTCTGACGATACTGAGATTGTAAACCTGCCTACCGTTGTTTGTTCTGTAGTAGGTGTGTTGTATGCCATACAATTTATGACGGATTTTCTCATCTTCCGCAAAAAACTGTCCGTTCATATAACCGGGGATAATGGATTTAGATTCTTTTTTAATTTTTGTTTTTTAGTCTGCACTTGTGATGTCTGCACGGTTGGCGCGGTGGCTGGGCAATTCGCTGCCGCGCAACGTGTGGTGGTTTCTGGTCCCGCACGGAACAACTCTTTGTGTAACTCACAAATTGTTGTTCCTGGTCTGGGTGTGATGTGTACGTGAAATTATATGCTTGTAATTGCGCCCACGACACAGGAGAAAATTTTAATGTAGGGCAAAGTTAAAAAAAGGGAAAAGAAAAAAAAGAGCCCGTTTTTACCAACAAAAAATACATCGAACGTTCCATAGATGTATAGTTATTTAAAAAACGTGTTTGATATCCAGAAAATAGTAAAGCGGAAAGTTTAAAAGTTGTAAATTGACAATAGAAAGCCTTTGCAAGAGAAAGGACAATGTTTACCTGAGTGTGGTGGGGAAGAGGTGAACCACGTATGCTGTGAGTGGTCCAATGCCCAACGCTGTCAGCTGTAAGGATGACATTGCTACTCCGGCCAGGATCCTGTGAACACATCAATAACTCATTAGCATAAACTTAAATACATAGATATACCAGTCTCGTGAATATATGAATACGGAGGGTCCCTAAAATCTGAAATACATTGTAAATTTATTTAGCAATTCTGTAACACGTGAAATCACGGCATTTCCACACTTCTGCATCGAAGATAAATAGGTCACGTAAAATAATACTGTGATATTTTCTTGTAAGAACGCAACACGGTGTAAGTATTAATTTCGCTTACAGACAAACTGTTAGAGATTTCATTTACTTTCATCGTTTAGTGATCATAAATCAAGAACTTGCAAAAAGTGTTTAATAACAATAGGGCAATAACAATTCCGTAGTCAACTTCTATATTTAAAAAAAAATCAAGGTAATTTTCTCTGATTTTTTGATGAATTATTATTAGATACGTTGTGATGTCAAATTGCATATTTATTTCTTTTGAATTATCTAAAATTGAAGGTGTGATGATATTTTTAACTATTTATATTTTTATATCACTATTACTATACTATACTATACTATTTATATTTTGATATTAGGTACCTAACATTATACGTCTATAGTCCAGAGATGTCACAACTAACGTTTCCCTACCTATTAGTGGACAACCCAGCGATCAGGCAGCCGACTCCAACAACGCAGAACATTGAGACGAGCAGTGTCTTCTTGGAGAGCGGGCTCATGCTGCCGGCGGTGACCAGCACCCCGTACACCAGTGTCGTGACCACCATGATGTAGAAAGTGTGGTATGAAATCGAGTCCAGGCATTCTGTCGATGATGTCTGCAAGAAGAACATATTACAGTACTCATTCTATGAACCAGTTTGCTCCGATTCTAGACAGACAATAAATAAAACGACTAAGATTAAGGTAGGTCACAAAAAAAATTGACGTTTTCTTGGCAAATTTTGTATTTTCTCTATTATTTCTTAAATAATTTTGGTTTTTTCAATTAGTTTTGTTACGCCATAACGGACCTTATGGCTTTATCATTTTATACAGCTGACATGCAACCTTACCTGACTTATTTTACAGTTGATAGTTTAGCTACTTACCGAGTTGTCAGACATGTCCATAAGTTCGCAAACGGTGCCACTCGTCTCATTGCTGTTCATAACTTTATTGATTGTGTCTGGTGCGAAGAGGAACAATCCGTTTAGGCTGTAACAAATTGCGAAATTATTAGTCTTAGAGCTTCGGACACGGCTAGACGTGAGAAGTGTCGGAGAGACAAGCTTCGGCACAATTCTGTTCGTTCGTTTGTCGTCCTAACACAAAAAAAAAAATACTTAGCGAGAAACTTCTGCAAGAGACATTACCCGCGTCCACTTCGTATTTCAAAATTGGATCAAAGAAAAACTAAGTTAGATAGAAAAATCTACCTAAATGTAAAATAAAATTTGTATCTCTTTCCATTTTTGCCATGTAAAAAATGTAAGAGACATTTATTCAGTCGTCTTCGAGGTTCGCAATTTAACAATTATATAGCGTGCCGCATGCTACAGAAAAATAATACCTATAGATTTTGCAGATACTCCGAGCACAAAACTCTAATACTTATATACTTACTTTGTGTAAAATATCTCATTGAATATTATTTGTGTTTAGTATTTTTAACTTTGTATCATATTACTTCATCATATATTTTACTTTGGGATACGATGCATGAGAAAAAACGAAATGAAAATAGAATACGACCAGAGAAAAACCATTTACGAATTCTGTGAAAAATACTATCATGCTGCGATAAAGCAAATATGACAGTATGACACGTGTTCCTTAGACGATTGTCTTTGAGTGCCCAATAATATAACATCTTACACTACTTCTGGGGAGAGGTGTCACACACACACTACAATGCAAAGCCGATCTTTATTTTGTTTTCAGTGAAAAATGGTTATTTTTTACAACAGGAGGTCAATTTCCTTCTTATTATAAAAAAAATCCTTCCTTCTTATTTTAAAATGCCATAAGTACTTTAATCAAGATATGAAATACTTACTCCATACTGTTTACTCTTTCAGTTTAAGGGGGACTACAGGCATAAGTAAGGCGATGTTATGTCATAACGTCGTCATCGTCTACCACAGATAACGAATTTAAAAATAAACCTAGACATGATTACCTAAATTTATGATGACCAAAGTTTATTTTACGTAACATCAAGTTTTTAAACTCTGGGTAATACAGAGGTAGCCATTATAATATGTGACACCAATTTTTCTTTTGGGTATAATTGTATTCAGTAATTTCCAAAAATATCCCGTCTCACAAAATAATTTCAAACTCCACGATATTGTTAGGTACTTTTAGTTTTCGAAAAAACTGAAAAGTAACACCTAATATTTTTTGTATCGGTCCTGAAATCCTTCTTTTATAGGCTAACTAACTCTGCTGCCCTGATGAGTTATTCTTTTACATTTTTTTTACAAAAAAAAACCATCGATATAGCAGAAGCTAAAAAAATAAAGTTAAACTTTTTAAAATTTAAAATGCTTTTTTTTAAATTGTTAATGGAAGTTGCTTACAAAGAGAACAGGCCGAACATGAGAAACCCAGTGAGCGCGAACCACTTCAGATGCGGAGGCCGAAGCAGCGCGAACGCAGACTCCGATTGTGTTTTCGGAGCAAGCGCACATCCCGAGCCGCGCTGCTCAGAGTCATTGACGTCACATGGTGTCTTCAGCGATTTTACCTGGAATATAGGTAAATATTGATTAAATTTATTTCCAATTATTAACATGGACAAAAGGGCGCAAATGTCCACTTGTCCACGCCCAGTGTCTAATAAACAGCCCATCAATTTTGTCTGCCAGTGTATAGGATACTCTATTAGGGTTGTCCCTGAATTGCCACACCATAGATGTACATCCCTTACGTATAATGACATAGAAGTCATCAACTCTGGCTGCCCCCAACATTTCAGATGCGCTATACGATCAAAGCAGTCCCAACGGCATCCTCAGCGCTTTTTTAAATTATTGCTCCCACCCTTGGATCCCGAATTAGATTTTTTGTAAAATGTTAAATTGTAAGATTCATTGCAGAGCTAAACATATCGACCGGCTTAACATGAGTGCTGAAATCTGTATTTTCAAATGGTAGTAGGTATGTTCAAAAATACAACTGTTCTTGTAAAACAGACAAACGAAAACCAACTGTGAACTCACACAATAACTGTCCTCATGTAGCCCTGAGTTTACACAGTAGATCTTCCTCACGACTGCCAAAGCCTCCTTATCCTTGCCTTTCGTCATCAGGAACTTGGGGCTCTCATCAGCTCCGATCATGCATAAGGCAGCAAGCAGCAGTGGGAAGGCATACACAGCTGTCAGCAGTCGCCATGGTCGCAGGTCTAATGTTCCGAACTGATATTCCCAGTCGTAGGACAGAATTATCCAGGCTAGACCTAGAATCATTAATTTACGGGTACTCATTAATATAAATTGAGAAGTTTGAAGTGGTCGTTATGGTGATATAACATCTGACAAGCAGAAGGTCCATCTTCTAAGCGCTGCTCATGAATAAGAGATCCCGTTATGACTAAACTAGTACCTAGGGCTTTTCTCATTTATTTAGCGTGAGTAAGTTGTTACAAAAATGCACAAATGTTACTGATGTTTTTGGCATGTAACTTTTCCACTTAGGACCTCTTTTACAATGTCTCGATGCTGCATTATAAAACATAATTCGTATCAACTTTGTGCCACATTAGTTTATCGAGTGTTCATATGAAGGTTGTATAATATATTTAAAACTCACCAGGGCTCAAGAACGTTAGTAAATTGATGAGTCCGTTCGTAACTAGGACTGCAAAGTCTCGTCGTTTGCGAGGCAACATCTCCGAAACATACGCGTAGCCTAACGATGATGGGCAGGACAAGCTGAAATTAAAGTTATTCATTAGTTAGGGTATTCAAACTAAAGATTTCTTTCCAAAAATGGATATGGGGAGAGTTTAGGGGTTAGGCCTTCGGTTACCTAACTGACACGGCGAAATTATCACATCATAATGCAGCGGTTGTTTCACGCTGGTTGTGTTTCGCCGTGTAAATGAGGTTACCGAAGGCCCAATCCTTCCCCACCCCCAATCCCTCCACAATCCCTAAATCTTTAAATCCCTAATCCCTAAAAGGTCGACAACGCACTCGTAACTCCTCCGTTGCGAATGTCCATGGGCGGCGCTGATTACTTACCATCAGGTAATCCGTCTGCTCGTTTGCCGATTTATTACATAAACAAAAAGAAATACTGCCTGCTAGTACTTACAATAGAGAGGAAGCAAGTTTGAAGAGCGCGAAAGTGACCAGCGAAGGCATGAATGCGGCGATGAAGGCGGTGGCCCCTGACACTATCAGAGAACCGAGCAGTACTGGCTTCCTGCCCATGGAGTCTGCTGCACGGCCCCAAAATGGAGCGGTTAAAATTATACCTGGAATTGTACAAGATTATTTTTAAGACATTATCTTTACCATAATATTCCCGTTTCACCTACGATTCGTGGTGATATCCTATATCCATCATATAAAAATGGACTATCAAATAAAATAAAAATTTATATAAATTCGAATCAGTAGTTAGCGCATCTAACCAAAAAAACTAATGAAACATTCAAGTAAAATCTAAAAGAAATAAGTGCGAATGTATAGAATAATAGATTAGGGTCACCTGACCATAAAGATGATTTTACTATTTACAATATTTTTTTATGTATTTTCTATCTAAAAAAAAATAACATTACTTAGATATGAAACTGACAATCGATGTTATTGGAGTTTTGTCAGGCGTCGAAAGAAACGGACGTGTTCCCTACATGTCCGTTTAGCGTTACTTGCGCTCCTTTTTGGAAGTCGGTTAAAAAAATAGAAGGTACAACGATTGTCAATAACATTACTTGAATGTATTGCACACTATTCCCGACTGAGCAAACGCTGAAGTATTAATACTTACCATGATTTATAAAAAAAAACAAAAAACAAACGCTATACGACTGTATTACCTAATACAATTAAAATCTTACCTATGTTTGGCAAAGAAGTTAGAATCCCCTTCAGATAATCCGGTATATCCAGGTCGCAGGCCGCAGCCGGCAGTATGAAGGCGATGCCGATCATCTCCAGGATAGAAGCGAAAAGCGTGGCCAGCATCACCAGGTTGTGAACTACTTGGTACCTGCCTGTGCCTGGAATAATTGACATAGCAATGTTGCAGATATGTGAGTTGCTTTTATGTCTGGCTAGTATGTCTGTCTATCTATCTTTATGGCTATAGTCAGACATTGGTGATATTTTTTTATGTCGTAGGTCTGCAAACGTGTTTTCGGGTTACCTGATGGTAAGCAATCAGCGCCGCCCATGGACACCCGCAACAACGGAGGTGTTACCGGAGTTAGTTAGTGCGTACTTTTTGTAGATTAGGGATTTATAGATTTGGGAATGGGGGAGAGATGGATTGGACCTCCGGTAAATTCACTCACACGGCGAAACACAACGCTATGGTTGTTTCACGCCGGCTTTCTGTGAGGCCGTGGTATCACTCCGGTCGTGCCGAAGCATTCATTCATTTATTTTGAAAATTGAATATTTGAAGCGACATAGTCATTTGGCGACCTCTATGGAAAACGGACGTGGCGATATTAATATATGTATGTATGCATATTATAAGCCCCTCTTAATGTGAACAATGTGATCAATTTATATCTACTTATAATCTTAATCACACTAGTACTTATGAACTGAACAGTGTCCGTCAAAGATAGCTCCTATCGCTGTACTAAGGGCAACACGTTAAAGTAATTTGTAACAATCATTAGATAAATAGGCACATAGACATTGAGAAGTACATAAGGCTCGCCTTATATATTGTGTCAAATACTATATATATATCTCCTGTATACTTTGAAACCTGCCAATGGCCTATCGAGCTACGTTCAGTGTAGGGTTCCGTAGTTTACCGCCTGTCACAACAAGTATTCCCACTTAACAGTTATTTTAAATCTTAAAATCGCAATTCAGCGCAAGTAAGCAAAAGTGCAGCGCCATCTCTTGAGGAATTGGGTTACTAATTTGTTTTTGGTGGTAATTTTGGATTGCGTAAACTGCTTTTAATAATTATTTTTTTATTTGAAAGAAGATAGATACGTTCAGAATAATAAAGCATACAAACAAAGTTAAAAAATGCTTGTATATAGAGTTAAATAAGAAAATTAGACCAGTTTTTTTTTACAACTATAAGGTTTCCTAGTTTACTACCCCTGGAACTGTGTAGGTAAGCGTTAGAATCAATCATCACCTAACGGTGACTACCCTGAGTAAGGTCGGTAGCTTATTGCGCTGCTTCGACCTTTGTCTTCAGCCAAGAGCAAGAAAGGAATGTAGGTAGTGGTTTTAGTTAGTTAGTGTTTGACAATTATTGACTAACCTTCTTTTCAAAGGAGGATCAGCATCATAAAGAAAGAAACAGATACTTAAAACATCCTGTTTAGAAATATTAATGGATTTAGGTTCATGTCCCAAGTCTTCCGTGAAATGGGAGACTTGTTCAGGATGTGGCATGTGCAAGACAGGGCCTTGCGCTGACTTCTCTCGCGCAGAGTGGGTGAGCGGGAATGTCAGACTATCACTGACTTAAAAGTTTGAAACCACCCCGTTTCTTCTCCTATTGCAAGCCAAGGCCGCAGTAACTTATTGAGCTAGCCCCACAACCCCGACTGGACATCAGCCTTATTGAACCCCATCTGTGGTGGTCTAATAGTTCTTTCTGTCAGGTCAGGCGGCGAATTGTCTTTACCTAATAGCACATAGGTACTGCTTTTGCAACCACTTGATAAATGACAAAGCCTTTATTATCTTCACGGATCAATAGCAAGCCACTGATCTCGGTATTTTATTCAACCACTGCCAACCACTTCACGTAGTTAATATTTGTCACTTCATCTATCTAAACATTAATTTGACGATCTTAGGATCAATAGGAAGGTAAGATCTAATTTTATTATTATTAGGGGCCCGTTCTTGCTTCGTACATATGTCTAACTACCTTGGTGTCATTCTTTGTTTTGCTAGCGAACCGCTATGGCACCGAAAGGGAGATTACCCCGCTAATCCGCTATCCACAAAATTTTCTTTTATAAGAACCTTCTCCCAACCTTGACAAACACAGCATACAAAATATCGGATTACGCCTAGCAGTTCACGCATGATGTCATAATCAAGGAAATTAGGAATTAATTTTATGTATATGTATCAATTGTTAATATTTTGTATATTTAGATACTCACCAGCTAACTCCAACGCTTCTTCAAGATCCGCCTCAATGATTGGCGCATGTTCATTATTTGGTGCCACATTCGACATCATCACCTGACGCATTTTCTCGTCCCTGTAATGACAAAAACTACCAATTAATATGTATTAATTAACAATAATTATATTGAAACTATTTTCACATTCAAAACTTTGCGCGCTATCGTGAATTTGTATGGGGACATTAATCAAGAACCACTTGTGAAAACTGCGTCTAAATATGTTTAGTTCTTTTCGAGTTTGTTACCAACAGATCAACACGATCATACAGTACACAGAATCATACAATAATTATATCAGAATATAAAACACTTAAAATTCTTGCCTCTTATTAAACATCTTTCTAACAGCACCCATTTTTAAAAATAATAATACACTTGATACGGCTGCAACAGATCTAGGCGTCTATTCCGGTCTCATATCCTTTATACATAGATATAAATACGGTAATATTTATTAAATAAGTACATAATATATGTACTATTGTAAGCCACGACCGTGAGGGATAGAAGATAGGTGGCGATCATAGTAAAATTATCTTTAAAAACTAGGACAGTTTCACAATCATAGATATTCTATTACTACATCTTGATTGTATTGTTATTAAACGCATATCAGTTCAATGATGGTCATTGTAAAAGGATCAATATGTATAGTTAGTCACTACATTTATTTACGGAATTGGAAGTCACTCAATGTCAAATTAATTGCTTAAAACGGTAAGTAATGTTTTAGTGTGAGAATGGGTCGGCTCGACCGGAGTGCATAGAAAACCGGCGTGTAAAAACCACAGCGTTGTCTTCCGCCATGTTAGTGCCGTGTAGTTACCAGGGGCCCAATCCATCCCCTCCCCAAATCTTTGTCCAAAAACGAATTCCCAATAGGTCGGCAACCAACTCGTAACTCCGCTGTTGTTGCGGGTGTCTATGGGCGGCGGTGATTGCTTACTTTAGGTAATTCGTCTGCTCAAAAAGGAATAAAATAAATTTAATATAGAGACAATAAAACTTAACAGCGCTCCGGCACGATGTCCAATCCGAATCCCATCCGAAGTCGTGAAAATATGGAGTACCTCAAGGTAACGTCTTAGGGCCATTAATTTCTTTTAATACAATCATGTAAATACTCTCTCTCCCAAAACTGAAATCTCACTATACATAATTATATATGCCAACAACACTGTAGCTATTGTCAAGTCTTCTAAGAGAACACTTTTTAAAAAGTTTGTTTTTTCTCTTTTTAATGATGATCCGTCATAATACATTTATCATCGTCTTCATTATTTCAATGCAGTCTGGATGCGCTCTAAGCATTGTGCAACCAAAGGCTACATTTATATTTATTGAATTCAATTATTGCCTTTGTGTTTTCAAGAAAATGGTATCGTGTAAATTGACCTTCCTCCAGAATCATGCATCTATAATATGTACAAGCACCTCAATCCAGTCAATTAGAAAAGTAATTAAATTTTATTTAATAACAATGTTTTTAATCTCCTCTATTCAATTGGCAAAATAATCTTTAAGTATTATACTTATAAAGGGTTTATTGCTTGTTTATGAAAAACATAGTAATTAATATCGCAATTATGCAGTTAAATATTGCCGTGTGATGACGTACGGTAAAATATACTTGTCACCGACCTTAATCTCTGGGTGCCATAAGAGCTGACTTAAGTATTATAGAACTAACATAAACCAGGCAGCAGCGATCTCTGATATATGGTTATAGTATTATAATACAGTACAGTTGAAGTAGTATAATACAGTAGCCTTTACCAGGCGGGTCATCTCACCCTGGGCGGGAGAAGACATTTAATGATTTTTACCAAAGTATTTAAAATCATTTGGTTATTGTTTTAAGTGATGATGATGGCAAACGAGCAAGGATTACCGGTTTCGATATTAGGCGTTATCTTTCGGGGATTAGGTTTTAGGATTTGGAGATATAGGGATTAGGGGAGGGGAAGGATTGGGCCTCCGTTAACTTCACTCACACGGCGAAACACAACGCTGTAATTGTTTTACGCCGGTTTTCCGTCAGGTTTTCCGTTAGGCCGTGGTATCACTCACAAGCCGACCCATTCGCGCCTGCATGGCAAGCATTATGACTCTCCCACACTTAATTCAAATTTCAAAATTCTCTATCCCAATTTCATTGTGATCCGCAGATACATTAACAGGCTTTAAAAGTTAGGTATTAGGTAAAAGTACTGCCTGTGAGGACGCACAAGGAAGATTCGACGACGATAATATCTAACAACAATCGAATGATGTTATAATCAAAATCCTACATCGGACACGGATAGAAAATTCCAATGAGCAACTACGGGGCAATAGCCTGCCAAGTATGATCAATGAAAAAATGAATTTATTTTTGCAAATATGCCATAAATCGGCAAGCCGGTATTAGCCGGTAGTACGGAAGAAATGCCGAAACCAACTCAGAGGTCAGTCTCTTTTCAAGTCCAGACAATGTAAAAACAACATAATGTGAGAGAACCGTGCAAGTTAATTCTGTGGTGGTCTTTTCAGGAAAGAACCACACCAGTTTAAGTGGACCCGTTCTGAAAACAGGCACGCAAGTGTTAGTTTGCAACCAGTATAGCTAGTGCTGCTGAGTTGTCCGACGAACAATACCGATCAAAAGAATCACTGCGCTTGGTCAGATCCTCCTATTACAATGTTAGGAAACTACTCTCTGATTGAGTTTTTATGGTGAAAAATTATCATAAATACTGTCTTATAACCACACCTTTATCCTTCTCTCTGTTCTCTGAAGTGGTTGGAAACGTGATTGGAAACAGCCTTCACTTCACAGAGAACCTTTCTTACTAATTTCTTGTCTAATCTTATGTACACAACGTTGAATGTACACTAGTTGACGTAACAATGCAAACTCGATGACATTGGCCAGGGTCACTGGTTCAGTAGCCCGTTTAAGAAGTTTTCTCTTTAGATTTGTAAGTAAAATGTTTGTTTTCGGGAAATTCAGATACAAATATTTTAAATGTATTGTTAGTCTATGTAATTCTTTCTACATGAAATAGTTTTCTTGACCCTAGTTTTATCTTCTTTTTATAAATAAAATTCTCGTATTACGTATCTTAGTCACCTCACTAAGGATCTGCCAGCAAAAATCACTTTTTAGTTACCTGTTACCGCCAAACGACCAACGAAACAATAGATCCATTTTAAAAACAAAAAAGGACATATAGAGTGTCCGGTAAAGAACGGATAACCTTGAAATGCCATTTTACACCTGATGGCCAATCAGAAAAAAAACTAAAAGAGGAAAATATCTTAAGTTGTACTTAAGTTAAGATCTCTCGATCGTCTTGAAGTAGAAGAACTAGTGCTAGAGGTAAAAGAAAATGATCCTTCGACATTCACGTACAATAGGTACATTATTATTGGTATTGCATAACCATGACGATTAAACATTACAGCAAAAATAAATTATGCACAATATGTCTAAAATAAATTAATTTGCAGGTTTTGTTATGAAAACTTTTTTTCCGTCAATGAATTTTTAGTATATTTTCTGAATGGCCATAAGATATACTTAAATGCAATGTAAGATTATCCATTATTAACCGAACACCCTGTGTACACCAACCTTTTCACCAGATTCGCAAACAGAAACTTCATTCTCTTCCTTCCGTAGTACATTGTCACACTAGATCTAATCACTAACTAAACCACGTCATACATTAAATACCTGTTATATATTAATGAAGTACCTAATAATATATTTACAAACACGTAAATATTCCTATTGGAATTCTTATTAGGTAAATACGGCTTTGATTTCTACACTCATACATCTATAAGTGCCCACTGCTGAGTAAAGGCCTTTTCTTACACGGAGAACGTTTCAGCTTTAATCACCACGCTTGGTCAAGACGGATTGGCGATTTCAAACTTATAATTAGACGAAACCTGGACAAAAAGTCCAGGCTTTAGCAGTCTGGAATTCAGAAGATTCCTCTCAAAGATTTGATCCTGGATTATTATTGCAGTGAATAACATATCGCATATATAGGTACATAGGGTATATGCTTACTCCTGAAAAATAACCTTTCCAGTGGTGTAAGAATTTTTCGCATCGGATCATCAGTTTCGAAATTAATTCAATGCAAACATTTTTATTATTTTTATTTTATGTAATTGGTCGGCAAACTAGCAGATGGATTACCTGATGCTAAGCAATCAGCGCCGCCCATTGACACCCGCAACGGAGGATTTACGAGTGCGTTGCCGACCTTTTAGGGATTAGGGATTTGGAGATTTAGGGATTGAGGAGGGATTGGGGGCGGGGAAGGATTGGGCCTCCGGTAACCTCACTCACACGGCGAAACACAACGCTGTGGTTGTTTCACGCCGGTCTTCTGTGAGGCCGAGGTATCACTCCGGTCGAGCCGACCCATTTGTGCCGAAGCCTGGCTCTCCCACACTTAACAAACAAAGCAAAAAACAATCAATCTTTTCTCTTTATAATATTATTGTTATATATTGTATTAGTTACTACAATTTTATCACATCCAGCAATACTTCCACAAATAACATATTATCGGTATGTTTGTCTCAATAATTCTTACAAATTGTCAATTATTCAAACATAATTATGTATTCAAATAGATAACACATAAACAGTACTATTCCTTTATTTCCCACAATTATTGATTCTAAACTTAAACAAGATACAATGACCGATTGTATGTAACTTTTTGAATGGAAAAGTTGTCAATATACTAGGCTTACTATCACCTGATGGTAAGCAATCAGAGACTCCTGTGGACACTCGCAAGACCAAAAGAACCACTTTTTTTAAAGGTTTGAAGTTCGATCTATGCTGAAATAATGCCGAGGCAAGCGCAAAATCAAAGCAGTCGTGGTTTTTTGACACAACTTATAGTATAGGTTATAGGTCCCGCATGTGGCTTGAAACTAGTCGAGTAATCTTGCCAAACAATATTTCGTACGTAGAATACGTATATAAATAACGTTGATGATACACGGATTCACTTACTGATTTTGGAACCATGACTTCTAACAATTGTTTTTTCATAAAGAAGAATATGGGCTCGAAATATCGATGGGCCCGAAAAGTCCTAGAGTGGCGACCAAGGACCGGAAAACGTAGTGTGGGCAGGCCTCCCGCTAGGTGGACCGACGACATCGTCAGAGTCGCGGGGAGCCAGTGGATGCAGGTGGCAACTTGTCGTTCGACGTGGAGAGCCTTTGTCCAGCAGTGGACGTCTTCCGGCTGATGATGATGATGAAAGAAGAATATGTGCATTTAAGAACTTTTACACTTTCGTTGGAGATATCTGTCCAGTGCATCTCAATGAAAAAATATCGAGCAGGGTCAATTCTAAATAAACGACTATATGACTGCATCGTGTCAACACAATGTTGCACTAATACATTCAATGTAAGCAAATTATGAAGATCTTAGGTCAGGGCTACGGAGTCAATATCTTGTAACTAACTCACCTATAGCTATCACAGCAATCACCTTTTAACAGGAAAAGTTAGAATATAATGATAAACATAATACAGGAATAATTGCTGTAAAAGACTTTTGTGAGGAAGAAAAATCAACGGATGGCTCAGAGAGTCAGAAAAAGAAACACTATTATTTAAAAAAGAGTAACAATGGAGTTTCTATATAAATTTTTGAAAGAGCAGCTTATTTTATTACGGCGGAAATCCTTCAAAAGGCCGCTAGATTTTTTTTGGCGAAAGACTGGGATGTTTGATTTTCACCTGACTAAAACCATCTCAAGGTGGCCAGCCTTACCCGTGTAGGGCACCGGGTCCTCTTGACGCCTGCTTCAGAGCCTTTGTAGCTGTCACGGCACATCCCTAAGGCGGAACGAACACCAAACTTCACCGGCCGACAGACAGACAGGCAGTTATGACATTTCAAAACTACCTGTTGACTTTGACTTTTACTGACTAGAACCACCCCTTTCCATGTCCTGCTGTTTGCCAGGGCTGCTCATAGCATGTGTTACTTTACGCCGGTTTTTAGTGAGGCCGTGGCCGCCTCCAATCGAACCGACCCATTCGTGCCGAAGCATGGGTCTCCCACACTTAAACTGTATCTTTTGTTGTGCAACTTATCGAGGGTACAAATTCTTATGATTGGTGAAAGGGTGATTCATTAATTGTTCTTGTCTAGTGTTTAAGTCTGTTGTAGTTTTTATCGCAGGAGAAAATGATAATTTTCAGTAACGTTGAAAACTATCAGGTAACTGCAGGGATAGCGCGGTGGCTGGACAACCGGCTGTAGCGCAACCTGTTCGATTCAATCCCTGCACGGAACAACTCTTCCGGGTCTGGGTGTAATGTATATATGGAATTATATGTTTGCAAACGCACCCATGACACAGGAAAAGTCCGAGTGTGGGGCAGAGTTTTTAAGAAACAAAAAATATTTCAGGCGGTTAAGGTGCTTCCTTTACATGGGAATGCAAAACCTCGCAAGTAGGTACTTATAGAATGCTTAGAATAAGATAGAAAGGTAAATATAGAAATAAATACTTGTACCTAATAATCTACGCCTATAGGCTGTCCATTGAGAGACCGAGAGCGGGACAATGCCCTTTCTCATATTTATTTACATAATACTTTATGAAAATTACAGAAAACTCATTACCTACATACGTGATAATTGATTAAGTATACTAAGGCTATTGAGATTTAGGCTAAGGCTATAGAAATAATGAATTTATTTTTGCAAATGTCAAAAATTTAATTGAAGCTAGTATTTCCTTTCTGACTTCTCTACTCTGAGAAGAAATGCTGAAATAAACTCAGAGGTTTCTTTTAAAATCCAAAGAACACACACTAAATTCGTAGAAAGTAATCTATTGTAATAAATAATAAAGAAGTTTTGAATAATATTACTTATAAAAAAATATTAAAATTCATATTTTGTTATTTCGGATTTAGCATGCAAAAAGTGTATACGAAATTTTTCTAGGAACACTAAAAATATTGATTAGACTTCTATAACTAAACAATAAGCGGATTTAATATTTAATAAATAAATATAAATAACTACTATTTAATTAAACTAACCTCATTTTCCTAATGAACTTTCACATAAACAAAACACTAATCACTATTAAAATAACAATAAAATGTAATCAGTAAACGCCTGCACTGCACAAACTATGCATTTATATATCGCAAAAATGCAACACGTATCTGCACGCACTGTTGTCCGTCTTGGCCAATAGCGAGGCAATTTGTGATAGCTTTATACTCCAGACTTTGTTTAACATATACATATATTTATACATATAGCAAGCTACGTGTACATAATTATTTTCTTATTATAAATATTTCTTTTATTGTCAACCAATCATTTCGCTTTTAATGTCTGCAGTCATTTAAAATAACATTAATTGGTACTTTCAAGTGTGTATTTTATATGTGATCAGCTTTTTAATCTTTAATTAAAATAATAAACACTGCCCCGCATTAAGATTTTATGCCATTTCACCAGTGCGTTTAAAAAATATAATTAGACATGCTTCCCATCCAGACCCGGAACAACAATTTGTGGATTTTACGGCACGGTAGCCAGTTGCTCAGCGGCCGTGCGGTCCGCGCAGTCAGTTTTTGGAAGCACACAAATGGGCATGGCCGAAAATTTCTGACAGTGTGTGACGTTCTAAAAAGGACTTCTTGTTATGGCTAAAATTCTAGTAGAGTGTAATAATCACGATTATCAATTAAGCAGTGAAATGTTTATCTTTATCATATGTTCATGAATTATCTGAATAAGAATGTAGAATTGTGACATCGCTGCCTATCATGAGTTACAGATTCAAGTCCTATCAGTGATAGTACACCGATCCTATGTTAAGACAGTGCAATCCGCTTAATTTCGCGTGTCTAAGAAAATGTTTGAATGTTTCAGTTTGTCGATTAAATTGACTAATGCTGGATGATGACTTTCTATGGAAAAAAAAAACTAGCTAGATTGATATTTCGTTCCCGAATCCATAGTTTCATTACAATCGTTGGAGCCGTTTCCGATACATATGTTTATTTTACATAAAAATATTTTTAGTACTGAACCATGCGCTCGCCAATTACTGATACTGGCTGATTATAATTTATTTTATTAATGCATTAATAAAAAAATCTCTTTCAATAAAAGTTTCTGTTTTTCCTGATCTTAAAATAGTTTTTAGTGAGGTCGACTTTTGTAGGTAAATTCAAAGAAGGTTGAATATTTTATGAATAATAATTTAATACTTTAAATAGGAGGTTTTTTAACAATAGAAATCTGTTTTTTGTTTTTTTTTTTTTGTTTAACAACCTCGTTGAATAGTTTAGTGCTGTCAAGTGCCAATATCAGTTCCAAAGGTGGGCGAGAGAATGATCGTTATTCTTTTTTCTTTGTGAAGTGAAATTGTCTCAGTAACAGGATGGATTCTTTTTTGTGAGGGGAAAATCATCAAACGACATCTCGCGACCAGGGTGAAGCGATAGGGAGTGTCAGACTCTTACTGACTGAAAACCCGTCCCTTCCTTCTCATCTGGGCTGAGGCCGCGGTGCCTCATTGCGCTTGTCCCGCAACCTTGGTTGGACATCAGCCCTGTAGTGCGCCGTCTGTGGTGGTGTATTGGGTCTGGTTCAGTTCGGATGCGAGCTACCCTTACTCGCTGTCCGCTTGCTGGAGATCATTTCTCGAGCAGGATGTATATTAAATGAGACGGTATGTGGCAATAACGCCGCCTCCTACTACATGTGTCTCATTAAAATATCGGTGATTCTTGGATTAAAAAAAGAAAAATTGCCAGGAAGGGTTCCAACAGAACAGTGGCAAGTAACATAATTAAACGATTAATGACAAATTAAAACCCCTTACTACATTTTGTTCGAAATAATTCTTGTTAAAAAAATGACAACGACATTTACGGCATACGGACAGACAGACATGACAAATCTATAAAGCTTTATAGAAGGAAACCGATTAGTAACACCCGAAATTTCGTTATTGGCAAGCATTTTATAAAATTACTAGCAGACCCGTTGCTGTGGCTAAGGCAAAGAGGGCTAAGGTAAATAATATTGTGACTATAAATTGACATGTAAGCTATCCTATCTTTCAAGTTGGATCAAAATGCACACGGAATGCAAATAAATTTAAAATCGGTTCATTAGTTTAGGAATCCATCGTGGACAAACACGTGACACGAAGTTTTTATATATTCGACTAAAGAAGTGCTCCAGATGACGTAGTGGTCAAACACCGTCTTAATGCAATATAAAAATATTATAAGTACCATTCTGAAATATCCAAATTAATCAACAGAATTAAGCGAACAAACAAGTGCTTCCGCCGGCAATCAAGCGTGCACTGACTGACAGACAGCTATTACATTTTATTTATAAGCATAATAACTATTTATCAGTACATACAAAATTATCTTAATTGCAGTAATATCTGCGGTGGCTCGCTGTGATTCAATGGATTACCGACCATTTCCCTGAAGATGTTAATTATTTGACCTACATATGCGTAGTATAATATAAGTGTCTTCAAGGCTAGAGTGAAAAGGCTCTTAATAAACTAGTGCGCCTTACCATCAACGATTGCATCACTGCTTACCATCAGGTGGGATCGCAGTCAAGCACTAGTTTATTGCAAGTAAAAAAAGTATTATCATCATCATCATCATTAAATCATCGAATAATTTCTCCGACCTAGGGCTCGAGGGGGTGTCAAACTCTTACTGACTGAAAACTACCCTGTTCCGTCTTTTGCTCCGGGTGAGGCCGTGATTTCGCCCGTAACCCTGGATGGAACGCGCGCACCTCAAAGAGCCAATAGACCACCAGACGGAGCCCTATAGAGCTGATGTTTAGTCGGGGTTGTGGGACAGGCGCAATTAGGCACCGCGGCCTCGAGCGGAAGAGTTTTTAGTCAGTAAGAGTCTGACACTTCCTTCCGCCTGACCCTGGGCGGATAAAGTAATTTGATGATTTTCCCCTAACAATAAAAAACCTGGCTGGTAATCGGCCCTAGTGAGTCCCAACTGCGGTGGTCTGATGGCGCGCAGAAAGCGATGCGTCGCATGCTTGCCGTCCATAGACTTGTGCTTACAGCAGCCGGATACCGTTACGCGATCCCCGGCGCCCGGAGAACCTATCGCGGAACTTTCGTGGTCGAAATTATTTTATACTATCACTCATCTTAGGTATGTTACTTTGTCATCTTATCATGATTGTGTGGAACGGACATGATATAATTGTTATTTAGAGCAAAACATTCAAATACGTTTTTAATAACCAAAGGGGCATAGGCGAATTCTCCGCACATCAAACCATGAGCCTTGCATTGCATTTATAAGCATCTTCTCACACGGAGATGGTTTGAGCATTAGAAATCATGCTCATTCAATGCCGATAATCGATTATAAATTAACAATTACAAATTATAAGTCAGTTATCCTTTACCGTTTAAGTGTGGGTGAGCCATGCTTCGGCACGAATGGAGAGGCTCGACCGGAGTGATACCACGGCCTCACAGAAAACCGGCGTGAAACACACACAGCGTTGTGTTTCGCCGGGTGAGTGAGGTTACCGGAGGCCCAATCCTTCCCCTCCCCCAATCCTCCCAATCCCTAAATCTCCAAATCCATAATCCCTAAAAGGTCGGCAACACTCGTAACTCCTCCTTTGCTTGTCCATGGGCAGCGCTGATTGCTTACTATCAGGTAATCTGTCTGTTCGTTTGCCGACCTATAACATAAAAAACCGTTTTTCACCTAAAATTAAATAACCTTAGAAAGAAGGTACATATGGTACATACAGCTCAGAAATAAACACATTGGTACACTAGCCAGTGTTTGAACTCGCTCTTTCATACATGAGAAAAGAGGCCTTAACCACCGGGTCACCACGATATTTTTCCATATGAGAAATACACCTACCTACCTAATAAGTTTATAGGTACTAAGTTTATTATAAGTAGTTAAAGTTTCTGGTCAATAGTTTAGGAAACATATTTTAAGTTACTATGTCGAATTAGGTTAAGTTACCTTTAATGGCAAAGTAATATATAAAAATAAATAAATTACCTAACTAGAGTGTGTAGTTACTTCCTTCCGCGTTTAGTTGTTTGGGCAGTCCATCGCATGTGCATCTTCTCTCTTGTTCACACATGGGGCTACGTCATCAAATAACCGCTATTTACATACTACTTACATGTAGTCACCTGTCTGCCCAAGTGCTAATTGGTGATGATGTGATCTCCACGTTCCAGAAACACGAAGCAAGCTGGCTAGTTTAAGGAACTTGCCTTCACAACATTGGCCCGATATTAGGGCTTACAACATCCTGGCTGTTACCCACACAAATCACTCGCGCCAACAAAATTATAACACAAATATTGAAAACCTCACAACGGTTCCAGTCTTTAGAAAACGACGGATTATTTTGAAGATAGTTCTTTATTAGCATTTTTCAGAAAACAATTGTTTTATTAAAGTACATTTGTATAAAAAATTGCACGAAAGTAACAAACACTTTTTACACGTGTTGGTACCATAGGACAATGAGTCACTTTTTTCACGAAACTAATTCAAAGAGTTACGTTATTTAATTTATCGAACAAAAGTAATAAATACTCAAGTCACGATTGTCTGCAACTGAATGAAAGGAATAAAGAAGCAGTGACCACTTTAATATAAAATAATACACATTTTGTATTTGTGAGTTCTAAGATTTGTCGGTTTGGTGCAAAAATGAAAACCCAACCACCAGGGATTTCTCGCGTCGTATTCGTAGCTGTTAATTGTTAAGATGCGGTTATATTACAAAGTAATATATATGCCAAGCTGGTTGTTATTATCGCCTTCCATTCTTGGTGTCTTGTCAGTTTACGCTGAACTTCGAATATAATAATACATTTAAAAGAGTAAGTGAGCAACTCGATGCTACGCAACATATTGCAAATTAAATTCACGCAATGAATATTTTTTGTGATTGTTTCACTAATGGTTATGCATACGGCAATCGAATATATGAATCCAGAAGCAAATATTAAATGAAATGGTCATTTTCAAATAGCATAAGTCTGGGAGAGCCATGCTTCGCCACGAATGGGTCGGCTCGACCGGAGTGATACCACGGCCTCACAGAAAACCGGCGTGAAACAACCACAGCGTTGTGATTCGCCGTGTGAGTGAGGTTACCGAAGGCCCAATCCTTCCCCACCCCCAATCCCTCCTCAATCCCTAATCCCTAAAAGGTCGGCAACGCACTCGTAACTCGTCCGCACAGTTGCGGGTGTCTATGGGCGGCGCTGATTACTTACCATCAGGTAATCCGTCTGCTCGTTTGCCGATCTATAACATAAAAAAGCATACATAGCCACATTTAAAAATCTATTGGAGATCGCTAGAAAATTAAATAAAGTTTAGAATTAAATACCTATAGTAAATAATAATAAGAACAGGTGACAAACCAGTTTAATGCAGTGATAACTAGATCAAACTGAAATAAATGATAGCATTAGAGATGCACTCGTAAAGAGACGGAAGCTGAGTGGAAGATAAGGATAACATAGTGATGCAGTTCAAACAGGTCAACCGAGTGTCATATAATCACCATCAGTTAATTATAATATTGTTTAAGGTACTTTCTTTTGCGGAGAGCAAATCTCTTAAACTTCTCTCGCCCAGGGTATGGCGAGAGGGAGTGTCAGACTCTTACAAACTAAAAACCTCCCCGTTCCTTCTCTTGCTCTGGACTGATTCAGCGGTATATCGAACTTGTTGTTGGGTTACATCTGTGGTATTCTATTGGCGCTATGAGGCGCTCGCAAATGCCACGTGCCGCACACGTAGCTCTGGTTCTGGTCGTGCGGCGAGCTACTGTTGCTTGCCGGCCAGAGATCGTTGCTAAATTCTCGATGCCCGGGTTTGTGAGGCTGTGGATGTTACAGGTACCTTTTTTTGTGAAGGGAAAATCATTAAATGACTTCTCCAGCCCAGGGCCGGGCGGGAGGAAATGTCAGATTCTTACTGAATAAAAACACCCCTGTTCCTTCTCCTGCTCCGGGCCGAGGTCGCGGTGCCTCATTACGCTTACCCCGCAACCCCGGCTGAGCATCAGCCCTATAGGGCCCCGACTGTGGTGGTCTACTGGCTCTTTGAGGCGCGCTCGGAACGCTACACTCATGGACGAGGCTTATACCTATACCTAAGCTACTTATTGTCACAGCTACTCTTCTAAGCTTACGAGTATTACAATGTTCAAAACAAACAGCTGAACTGTACGCAGGATGAAAATGTACTGTGTGTTTGGTGTTGTTATGTCTAGCTTAAATCTATATACCTTACTAGCCTTCCTACAGAGCTGGTTCTTTAGTTCTGAAGTTTCAGACTTTCAGGACAATGGCCTTTTATCATTCTTCTCTTTTAAGGGTAAATATCCTTGATCTTGGTCGATCTCATTACACCTCCCAAAGTAAGTTACCACGGTCATAGATCATTAACTGATAACAGAAACTGAAGGGACTTATTAAATACATAATTTTACGTATAAAAATCGGTCCCTTTTTCCAACAGGGTCGAAATAAAGAATTACTACCTGCTACGGATATAAGGACCAGAATTAAATTTAATAGTGGTCCTTTGAGTCGACATCTTGTAACGTACTCATAGAGCAAATAAAATGGATTTCAAATTCGAAATTATTCGAATTACAAAAACTGTGAGCTTATTTAAAATTTTGTTTCCATATTTGGTACAAACTTTTCAAGCAGTGGAACAATCTGGATCTAATACCTACTTTTTAAACAATATAGGCGTGCCTTATCACGTATGAGATAATAAGACAAAAAACATCACCCAAAGTGTGATTCTCATCTAAAAATAGTACAAACACAGTCAGTCGACAGGGTAAACAATAGCTATGTATAACGTGATTTATATAAATATCTGCAAATTCGTTGTGAGATATAAATACACGAGCGTCTTGCGTACATATTACATATTTACATAGATATGAAAGTACGGGATTCCCAATTACGTTTCGTCTCTATTTGAATATGTGACAGTGATTTGAAAGATGTCGCGGAAAATCACCCCAGACGAGGTTTAGTTGCTTGCTATACCTAGAATAAATATTTGAAAATATATTTGTTTTAAGCTAAATTATTGTTGGTCCTATATTTATGATTTGTCCATGGAACTGTTCTGGACATAGTGACAATGGATTCTCAGTTAACCCTAATCTCATATCTATAGAAATTGCAAAGTAACCCTGCCCACAATGCGATGTTGAATAGAATTGGTAATGTTAAGAATACATGAAAGTATCATTTAAGATTTTAAATTGTTGTATACAATTTAAAATCTTAAATGATACTTTGGATGTACACAAGTTTTTTGGCTGTGGGAATAGTGAAAATGGAGAATTTTAATTGAGGATTTGGCTATTTGGGAAGAAAGGAATTATGTATTAATAAGGAGATGACGGAAGATTGAGCCTCTGGTTATCTCAATCACGTAACAAGGCACAGTGCAGTCGAGCCAGCGCAGTCGTGACGAAGCTCGGCTATCCTACATTTAAAACAGGTCCGCAAAATGTTTCGCCTTTAAAAAAATATCCTCTTTCAAGCAGTTGACGAATATAATTGAAAGGCTCAGAGACAAAAATAATATAAATAAATATTAAATAACATAAATATTCAGCATAACGAATGAAAATGTAAATAATAGAGGTGAAACTTCTTCTGAAAAGATGAAATTTTCTTTGGTCAGTCCACACCGTCACGAGAGCGATTGGTAAGTATGTATGGGAAATGTCAGGGACGATTTTAATTGACACCTTTATGTACCTACCTAGATAATATCATTAAGCTGCAAACTTATGAGTATGAAAGAAAATCTATAGAACAAATCTGATGTGGACATGAACAAGATTTTAAAAATTAAAAAACTAATTCCGTATAAAAAGTTGGTTACTAGGCACTGGTAGTCAGCGCAAACTATGTCGTTAAGATCTTGCTACTATATTTATTTATCTATACTAATATTATATAGAGAAAAAAATTTAAATTTGTATGTAGGGGTAATATTTGTAACCGCTTAATTTCTTTCATCGATAGATAGCTATAATACTTCTTAGTGATACTGGCTATAAACATCACCTTACGATCAAAAGGAGCCGAGCAAACCAACCGAAGAATATCATTAAATGACTTCTCTTCGGGGTGGGATGCGAGGAAGTGTCAGACTCTTACTGGCTAAAAACCACTCTGTTTCTTCTCCTTTTCACATGACAGTCTTTTGGTAACTTACTAAAATTTAAAGGGTCTTCAATGTATACAGTACTAGCTACTCCTGCGCGGTTTCACCCGCTGCTCGGCGCCATCTGATTGTAGCGTGATGTTTCATAGCCTATAGCACTAGGGAACATTGTAGCTATGAATAAGTGAAAGAATTTTGGGAATCCGACTAGTGGTTCCAAAGATTACCCCCTACATACAAACTTACAAACATACACATACAAACTTACAAACATACAAACTATCAAACTTTATAATATTAGTATAGACTTATACCAAATCAACGAACATTTATTTATGAAAAGTAAAATCTCAATCGTAAAATTAAGTCCCCGCTCCCGCTTCGCTTAGCACTAACATCGCAGCTTGAATAGTGATCGCCAGTGAATAGCGTAATTTGTAAATATCGTATTTACTACGACACGGTTGTAAATATATGTAACGTTAATATGAAACCAAATATCAATACATATTTACTTGTTGACTTCTTTTGTTATATGTCCAGGGATTTGGTTGCAGGTACCAACATCTTCTAATCATAATGTATGTTTTATTTATGTGTTAGGATAGCAAAAGAGGATATGAATGCTACGCTGTCATTCAGGGGTAGTTAAGGGGAAATGGGGAAAGGATTAGCTTCCGCTTTTTCCGCTGATTTTCTATGAGGCCCTGGTATACCTAACTCCGGTTGAGCAGGCCAGTTGTGCTAAAACATGGGTCTGTCGGACGTCAGTAAAGCACTCTATCATCGACAAGTTTCTGGAAGCCATTAAGGGTCGTCAATGTTCAACAGTTCACCTTTTTCTGCTGTACGTTGATGCTGAAGTACTGCTGACATTCGTAAATTTTTATTTCAATCTTCGGCCAATGATCTGCAGTTCGAAAATTAAAAATAGTGTCATTGTTTATAAAACGAATTAGGACATCGATATTCGTACGAATGAAAAATTATGCTTTACGTAATAAAGTCATTGTCTTGTAGATTTTATTGATTATTTTTTCTATTCTTTTATTTCACCTTGCAAAAGTGTCTGCATCTGATTGAAATAAATGTGTTTGAGTTTTAACATGAATAGATCAGGTAGGTAAACTTATAAGTATTTCTAGTGTGAATGTAGCATATTTTTAAGACATAATTTAAGTAAAAGAAAACTAAATAAAACTTAACTCACAACAGATAAAGTAGCTATTACTACATAACATTCCTGATTTTGAAGTAGCCATTAACCATTGGCCGGTCCAGTAGCCAAAAAATGGTTACTGTCTTTGTACTGATACGGACTAGCTCGAAGAATAATTCAACATTAGTCATGTCGCGTGATCTAGATGGAATGAAAATTTTAAACTTATAATTAAAAATGGTTTCCTTACGACGTGTCCAGGTTTCGTCACGACGACCTCTGGCGTGTTGGCGAGCTCCTAACGAATTAGTCGAAGCCATGTTTCGGAGTATGAGGAACTGGGAACTGGGAACTGGGAACGAAGCAGTGATGCTCGTAAAGTAAGAGGTGGAGAGCGTGAGGGAACTATTCTCCTTACGCCCCAGCCACCGCGGTAGACGCAGGTCTGCAGTCGGCAAGCAAAAGGCAGCTCGCCGACCGATCAGAACAAGACCCGAGCGTGTGGTGCGTAGCATACTACTCGTGCCTCAAATAGCCAATAAACCACAACGGTTTGTCAGTGGTATCTAAATAAACTTAGAAAGTACATACAACTCGGATAAAGCCACATTGGTACTTGCCAGAGTTCGTACCTGTATTTCAAATATCTGTGTAGATTGTAAAACAAACTTATTATTAAAAATTTTACTGCACCAAATTCTTGCGCCTCTTCTTTGTACAAGCACCTAACGACTGCTGACAAGATGCACTAATCACCAACCAAAATGCAATCATTAATACACACTTGACGTCAGCCTTGTACAAATACAGTTTACATCAAATAAAAATACAACCTTCATATTATGACCGTGTAGTTAAAAAAAGTATTTTCAGTAGCTTGCCTACACACATTCAAGAAATTTCGATGACGACATCGCTGCTATTCATCGTGAAAACATCACGCATTTTTTATCTCATACTTATCTACACACAACCGCCCATCAAACTACACTAAACCAGTATTAAACTGACCGTTAAATGTTCGGAAAGAAAATTCGAACAGAGACCACGATAAACTGGTTTTTATACCTTGATTTGCAGCCCCTATCTACATTGCATTATGCACATTAGGATTTTGGGCTTATTTTTACTGTCTGAGTAGCTATTTTCGTAACATCATTCTATTTACCTGTGATACGTTAATCTGAAAATCTTTGTTTGAAGATTAGTTTTGTAAACCGTAGCTTGATATTGGTAGAAAATTAAAAATGTCTCTTCAATATTGATGAGCCATGCTTTGGTATGACTCACCCGCATCAATATTGACAAAAAATATAATTAATTCAAACGGACAGACTGAACGGATTATTCCCCCTTCCGATTTGTTCGTGCATCCCCAATCCCCAGGTAACGCACGCACACGGGCGAGACAGATTGCTTACATTCAGATGATCTATCTGTCAGTATCCTCATCTGGAATTCCCATTGCTAGCACAAGTACTGAGAGAAGATCTCCTTCTAAGAGTTTGACATTGATCTCAAACTTTTCCAGTTAATTCTTATTTTCTGCTATTTATTAGCATTACCCAATTACTTCCTCCGTCCTTGGTGGGGCGAGAAAAAGAGTTAAACTTTTACAATAATGCTCTGGGCCAGGGCAACGGAACATTTTTGCGGCTGGACATCAGCCCTGGTGGGTCCCTACTATGTTGGTCTGATTGCACTTATTTAGAGGCGCGCACACCACCTTCGCTCGGGTCTAATTTTGTTCACAGAAGGAGAAAACTGCTTCCCAGTTTCTTTTGCTCTGCACCATGGTCTAGAGCACATGTAATAGAGCTGGGCGCGATAAGTCATCGCCGTCGATCCTTCGGACGGTGCTCAGTTATCCTGGCAATGAGGACCACCACGCGCTTTCTTACGCTGGATCCGAAACAGGCGTAGCTTCTCTCTAGTTACTCCTCAAAGAGGGGTCTAACCTATGCTTCAACAACAAGCTCAATGGCTTAGGAATAGTGTTCATAAAACTACTGACTACCTGATTTACCTTATTTAGTTATACACCTCACATTGCAATCAGAGGCGGTTTTTCTTTAAGGGATCTTCCAATAGTTTCTCCTGACCTGGTCGCGCAAAATGAAGTATTGACTCTTTCGGCTCTTGCTCTGTATCGGAACCAAGGCACATCATTGCGCTTCGCTGGCGACTCCAGTCGGGCAACCTTAGATAGCATTACACAGAATTTTTAAAATTCAAATATCTGTTTTAATCTAAAACAAATCTCTCAGACTTGCCATAACATATTCATGAACAGATAATGAACGTTTGGCAATAAAACTTTTGTAATGACCTTTCATTCATTTTGTATTTTCATATAATATGTATATTTGCCCATATCACCTGACTCTCAAAAGGGAGGCCACACCTCCCAAAATCTAACATTAAAAGCACTACAGTTAAAGCAAATAAAGTAACAACGAAAACATGTTACAAAATGTCGTCACATAGGTTTATGTGAAAAACAATAGAAGCTGTAAAGTACATCAAAACAAGAAGTGACACAATAAATACCAGCTAGGGCCTATCTCAAAACAAAATACATATTTATATTGTTAGTTCGCTAACTGCGTAACATTAGCCTGTCCTTCGGAGTTCACTGACATAAACAACAGTTTTGTTCTAACCTAGGTAAAGTAAGAGGTGTGCTAGGCGATAATATCTGTAGCGATAAATGTTTCGATCAAGGAAATAAATTTTGCTGCTATTAGTCCTATTAGAACTCTGACAAGTGACAGGTTTTCTAAGTAACATAAAGGAAAAAACTAAGCGCTAATAACTACTTTGCCTGACCCGACAATTGAATCCGAACTCTGAATTCGAGCTATCGCACTTGCAGGAGGTAGAAAAGAGACTATTATACGTAGTAGTAGAGCTACCTTAGCAACAAAGAACACCTGTAACTGACAGAGAGTCTTTTAAAAGTACAGATTCCATTATTTATAACCCGACTATGGATTGATAGATTCCAAAAGGACCAAACTGGTCCTTGGCATCGCAAATCCTACAACAGGACGCCGAGTTCAGTACACCACCAGCAAGCCATGTGCTGTAACCGACGGAGAGTCTTTTAAAAGTACAGATTCCATTATTTATAACCCGGCGATAAATTGCACCAAAAGGACCAGACTGGTCCTTGGCATCGCAAATCCTAGCTCCAATAGGACGCAGAGTTCAGTACACCACCAGCTAGTCGTGTGTATGCTCAGAGATTTACACCAGACCCCCCGGACGTGATAACCGTACATATTTGCACAGTAAACATGTGAACTAACAATGTTATCTGATTACGTCGTAAATTATATGATGCAGTATTTAAATGGACATGTTTGGCATTATCTCTGTGTTGCCAAGACGAGGAGCCAAAAGAAAATGTGGAATTCGGTTAATTATGGAATTTTTCCGCTCGGGTCACGGCCGTTGGGTTGTTTGATTTATTTATAGATAACAGTTTTCAGTTTTTTATAGGTAGTTTCTTTATACTTTTTTTACAAATGTTTTGCATGGTTTTATTTAACCTGCAATTATGTATTTAGGTATCTAAATATGTTACTTTTTGAATAGGCTTGATGATGAGGCCGATCTTCGACGGATTGAGCTGAATTTGGTAGGTATACCTGCAAGTTAAGTGAACATAACCATAAATTTTAAGCTGTGTAACTTAAACAAAGATATAGAGGATATACTTTCCTGTGGGAAGGACCAAATTGAATTTGAATCTACAATTGTGGTCCTCTGATCTACCAATTAACCAAAATCGCAAATAAATGTTTACGTAACCAGCCCTTACCTAAAATGTGAGTGTCAATTATCTACCTTACAATATATTTATTTTTTTAAAAGAGACACTTTATCGTGATCTCGAAGTCCGAAACTGCTTAAAGGCATAGTTTCCAACCGGGTTGTTATACTTTGCATGAGGCTGACGTGCTCGGTAGCCTTAGCGGCACCACCGACTTGACACGCTATGCTTAGAAGATTGTATGGTGCTAAAGTATCAGCACAAGTAGCGTCCTATACTCAAGACCTACCAACTTCCAAGGGAATAATGATAAGCAAATAAAAGCTGCCAAATAAATATACTACATTATTGCTATTCTTAAAATACCAAACACAAGTGTAATCAGAAATAGACAACAATAAACTAGTTCAAACCAGTATGAAGTATGTTATAACATTACTAAATCAGGTGCATATAAGATATTGGATACATGGTACTTCAAGATTCAACGGATTTCATGTCTATAAAAACTTATTCAGGCTAAGATTCCGATAGTGGGACGCTGTGGTAACCCGAAGCTTAAAGCACCCGCTTCTCACGCATAAGGAAGGAGGTGGGTTCGAAACCTGAAATGTGACCTTTTCGAGTCATATGTTCTTTTCAAGTTCATTTAGACACCACAGATATACCTACTGTGAATTAAAACACCTTAAAGAAACCTGTATCTATATTTTCTAATTTTAAGTTTGAAATAGCCAATCCGCCGTAAACAAGCGTGGTGTTGTTATTGTTCAAACCTTCATGTGCGAAAAAGGCTTTGCTCAGCAGTAAGCACTTATAGGCTTATGGTTATGTGGTGTGTGGTGTCTGGTTCCCAATGGAATTCATTATAAAATTCATATACTTCTCCATTTTCTATGGCATTTACTGGTTTCTGAATTATCTGTTGTTGAAATTGCCATATCGAAACGTCATTCGCCGTTCTCACGAGACATAAATATTTGCAAGATCTACAGGAAACTATTGAGGATTATACTATCATATTGTATTATACAGAAGTTGCAGACTGATACAAAGCTAGTAATATACAATTTCTTTTATTCTGTTTTACTTATACAATTTTATGAAATATGAACTAGTTACTGTTTCAGTGCAAAAAAATGTGTGGAAAAGATGGTGTAAGATGGCCAAAATTTACAAAATACATTTCTTAATAATAATTATTATTGAGGAAATGTCTCAACAACTCCTCTGTTTTCCAAAAAAGTAGGTAGACAAGTGATCAAACACTCACTTGACGCCTATAGTAAGTCCAATTTCAATGAAGGTTTCAAAAAAATGTACTGTTGTATTTGTCATTTTACCTAGTTTTGGAAAATTACTCAATAATATACTCATTGTGCACTTGGAGAAATGGGCTCATGTAATAGTGAGATAAAATAATATATTATTTGATATCTCATTCCCCAAAAATAAATGCGAATAATTAAGATTGACACCTAGAGACCACCAACAAATAAAAAAAACATAAAGAAGCCATCAACTAGACATGCGGATTAAAAGACCAAACAATCGTACTGTATTTGCCAAAGGCTACATTCTCCGCAAATAGCCCACAGCATATCAGAGTACTTAGGTACACTTTCTAGAGGCTGTAATGATGACTACGGAGATGAGATAAATTGTGACGTATTTCATACAATATATAAAGACGGGAGACGTGATACAGATATTATTAGGAGACTCAAGTACACCTAGCAAGCAGTGTGCGGACTCGGAAAATAATTGAATAAATTATTGCAATAGATATTGGATATTTTCGGTAAGGCTGCACTGAATATTAAATGGAATTTTATTATAAAAAAAACTATTTTTCTATTTAATGTAGAAAATGTTTCCTCAATTATAAAATAAAAAAAAATTCTTGCTAAGAAACAAAACTAGCCGTGTATGGATCTCAACACAGTCTGAAATTGGCCCTTAAGCACTAAAAACAGTTTTAAATATTAAAGCAAAAACCAACCAAAAGTACGAAGTAGTTTACTTTTGTATACTTTTTTAGCAAAAAAGATCGAACTGACGTCTTTCTATCAAAATTATTAAACAGGCGTTATTTAATTAACTGTAGTAGTTTAGGTATAAAATATATACATTAATATAAATATATTACAATCAAATGAAGTTCTGTTAAAAAATATATCTTTCTGAGCAGATAGTTAGTAACCGTTTTCATTTCATAACAATACCATTTGCAAACCAATGCCAAATTAAAAAAAAATAAAGCAAAACCTCATTATGACACGAATTCAAAATCTTCGAAGTTCCACTTAACTGTTCTAAGTAGACCATCAATACGTTTTCTACAATTTCATTAACCTCTATAATCAGAACTCAACAATCGCAATTGGGTAGTTTCCTAGGTCAAAAATAAATTAATTCGACGTTTTAATACGATAAAATATTTAAAAATAACTATACTTTTATTCATCGATCGATCGATACACTAAGTTTTAGATATTTTTTAGCTAATTTTTTAAAAATAAGTAAGCTATTTGACGCCAAAATGCTATGACGTCATAATTCAATGTTTCATACAATTTTCATAGAAAAGTATCGTTTTTGACATTTGGATAAAAGTATTGAATTTGACTAGTTGGAAACAACCGTATTCCCAGACTGACTTTTCAATAGATAAACTTTATACATATAAACTCAAGGTTCTATTTACTGCAACCGTGCAAGTTCATTATCACCTGACGTAGATACGTAGACGATGCATAATACCAATGATAATAATGATTTCTCGAACTCAAAATAGCTAATTGTTTACAGATCCAAAATGTGTAAGAAAACCACAAAAGAGGTTGAGGTGGTGGAGACCGGGAAGAAGTTGTACTCAGCTTCTGTTGAAGAAGCATTAACTATGACAGGTAAGTTCAAAGCAAAAATAAAACAAAGAAAAAATAATTCCACCAATGATCTAGCAAATCAATGAAATCCTCTAAAACATAAAACCAAAGATTTTGATAAGCCCGGTAAAGGGCAAAAAGCTACAGACTATTAAAACCTTGATACTTTACAGACTATTAATCACTCAATCCAGTCTACCCAATAGTAACACTTAAATTAGTTGAATCGACTAGCTTTACTTAGTAAGGCTAATGAAAGAGCCATTATAGTCTGTCCATTTTTCAGACAATAAGTATACCAAAACAGATCTAATTCATCTACAATCAAAATTGATCTTGTAATTCTTTTTTGTCAGGTTTCGGAAAATACAACTTTGGATTGCTGCTAGTATGCAGTTGGACACTACAAGCTATGGGAATGGACATGTTTGGTACCAGCTTCGTGATAGCTGCAGCTCATTGCGATCTGGAACTGACGCTACAACAAAGAGCATTGCTTACTGCCATGCCATTACTTGGTAAGTTAGTCACACAGCAATTGCCAGTCTTTTAGATTTAAATCTAAAAGGCTTTGGCCTCTGTCCTAAAATGTTAAAGTCACATTGTCAAAAATGGTCCCTATAATTCATCAGCTAGTTTTTAACTAAACTGTTTCGAGTTTTGTCACTGTTATACTCTACTTATGATCATTTATATGTACGTCAAGTTGCTAATGTAGTTTATAATAGGTCCTTTGGTCCTAAAATGGATTCTAAGTTCGATTCGATTTCTAAAATATTTTTTTCCCTTTCAGGTGTAGTGGCAGGAGCTCAACTATGGGGTTACGTATCAGATACAAAAGGAAGAAGGCTTACGTTGGTACTGTCTATGTCGGTAGGCTTCGTGTTTGCAGCGCTCAGCAGTCTTTCTCCAAACTGGCAGACTATGGCGGTCCTCAAATTGATTTCTTCAATTTTGTAAGTTTATATACTATTCATATTATTTCAAAACTATTTATTATCATAAATTGAGCTAAATTCATCTTCTATATACAGTCTTCATAGATTTTTCAGATTACATCCTAGATTCTCAAACTTCTACATAGACTTAGCATGTCAAAGAAAACTTTTCTTTCATGGAAAGATTTGCTGAGATAAAAAGCAATTTGCACCAACAAGATGACTAGCTACACAAACAAAATTGTAACGCCATCACCTATGGCTGTTTAAATATTGTTCACATTCGAAGCTCATTTTTCCCACGTTATCTGAAACATGTGACCAAATAAGAATACGTTTTAGATAACACATATAAAAATAGAGGCAAATAATACCTTTAAATAACATTAGTCGTGGGCAATGGAAAATTACCAATCTTCACCTGATATCATTAAGAATTAATGGCGTCACAGAATTGTAAAACTTTCCATCTTCGATTTTGGTCGTATTGTTACAATCAATAAAAAGTTGACCATAAAAGTACAGAAACAGATTTGTGGTCAACATATGTACCTAAAACAAATTATCGCATAAACATTGATACAATCGTATATCCTTTCTTAATCTCCTAAAAATATCATGGAATAGTCAAAAGAAATTTTAATGATGTAAAGATGAGAACTATGTAAACACGAATGACGATATACATACGTGTCGTGATCGTGAAAATTTACATCATGGAAGCAGCGGTAGCAATCTTATTATGCAAAGTTTTCCGAGTAAGTATTTGCACAATGATAACAAAACCCCCTGGCGAGACAAAGACAAGATAACTACTGAATAAACGTTCTCAGTTCTATAATAAGAATGTCAATAACCAGTTGGTGGCGCGATTTCTATTTACTTTTCTATATAAAGGGATACTGACCTACCGGAACCGGGTTTCGTTTTGCGATTTTGGTATTTTTTGGTTTTAGAAAAAGGTTTGAAGATTGGTTTATAATCGTTATAGGACTTGACGTTAACTTTTACAAAGTTATAAAATTATGATAGTGAGATCCAATTCTTTATGTACTTACAATACTACTATATACCTCCATTAATCACTATTCCAGTCATCTACAGTCTCCTTTAGTAAAATTTAAACTCTATTATCACGTGATAAAGTCGAAAACCTACTTTCACATAGTACTTATGAAACATGGTCCTTTGTCCCCAGCACTTCAGCAAGTAATTCTGGAGCTTACACACTGCTTGGAGAGAGCTGTTCGGAACGCGCTCGCGGCCGCGCCATGTTGATGTGCTCCTGCGCACTTATGTGCTCCCAGGCAACTGTTGCAGGTAATTAACTTTTTTAAAAGTTATTTAATACATCATAACATAACTGGTAATAAGTGCAAGTTAGCTATACTTTACAATGTGCACCTAGGCCCACCATGGTTGGTTTTCTTTTCGAAAGCTACAAGCCGCTGCAAGCTTTAATTTTTTTTATATTAAAGAATTACGTTATTTCTTTCAGTGATGGCCTACCCGATCCTACCTATGGACTTTGCGTACCACATCGACTTCCTTGGCGTTGTGTACCGACCATGGCGTCTACTGGCCTTCATTATGGCTTTGCCTTGTGCCTTCACCGCCTGTCTGCTACAACTTTTCTACGAGAGCCCTAAGTTCCTTGCCACTCATGGACGTTATGAAGAGGCTTTGCAAGTCCTGAAGAACATTTATGCTACTAACACTGGCAAGGATGCTGATAGCTTCCCAGTAAGTAGACCATAACAATTGCATTATGTACAAATAAAAAGTGTTTATACTCACCTTAACATTTTACAGTACCAACATTCTTGGTCCTTCGGTACACATTCAAAAGTTTTATCCACCAAGCATTATTTCGACGTTTTTGGATTATTATTACTTTTATTACTGTTTTATTTGTCCTTTACAAAGCTTTAAACATTCCTAATCATTTTTCAGGTTCAAAAACTACAAGAAGATGCTGAAAACCAGACTGCCGAAGTCAAGGAATCGTTCTTAAAGTCTGTGTGGCAGCAGACAGTGCCGCTGTTCAAGGCACCTTTGCTGAAGGAGACACTTAGGCTGTTCTACCTCGTCGCTGTTATTTACATGACGTAAGTTGCTGAAAAACTAAATTCAATTATTTACAATTACTTTGTAACAAATCTTTTTACTCAGTTCTTAAATATATTCCTATATTCATTTACCATAACTTTACTTCCAGTGGCAGCGGCTTCATCCTCTGGTTGCCTTACATCATGAACAACTTGTTCTTCGTGCTTGAGTCTGGTGGTGGTGAGGGCATGAACCTCTGCGCTATCATTGAATACCCATCGGCTGCTGGATATGCTACTGGAAACGTAACGGTAAGAGCTTTATTAATTTTAAGAAATGCATCAATATTGTATTTTACAAGCAACACTGCTTTACTGGTCTCTGGATCTAATATTTTCATTACATAAAAAGTAGGATATGGTTTTTATTGTTTAACTTTATATTAATCAACAATTTTCTTTTCAGGCCGTAGAAGTATGTGACGACACAATCCAGGATACAACATTATTCTCCGCCATGACTTACGGCGCTATGGCCAGCTGTTCCAATGTGGTCCTTTCCCTCACTTGTGGTAGTCGCAAGCGTATGGCCATGATCTGCATCCTTGCCATGTCGGCCATAGCCGCCATCTTGCAAAATGTAGTAGCTGTACCTCTAGCTGGAGGAATCTTCTTCTTCTTCTTCCTGATGTGCGCACTCTCCATGGGCATCTTGAGCGTGTACTTCGTTGAGCTTTACCCGACTTCTCTAAGGTAAGTTATAAAAACATATGCCATCATTATTTTTATGACTTAGTAAAAGAGAAAACAAAAAATGACATACCGACTCCAAGTTTCAAGTGCAAGGAAAAATAGTTTTACAATTTTCATAATGGTTTTTACCTTTTATATTACTAAGAAATCTCAATTGAATTCATTAAATGTATGCGCAACGTTTCACTTCTAATTTCGTTGCTATACCGCATCTTGAGGCGAACCTAAGCCAACGTGTGTGCCAGAAAAATTGATCGATTATAATAAAAGAGATACCACAGATAAATAATACAAAATAAAATTCGATAATTATTTCATTCGTCATTATTAAATGACAAAAAATATGATTATCTTTTAATTATGAAAGTCATTGTCATCATTTGCACTGTTTTTGATTATTATCCAACTTACAATTTAAATCATTATATTTGATTTTTATATGCAAGTCTAACCTTGTATGGAGAAACGCATACCATGTCATTAACTTGTACCTATCTGGATAAACTCAGACATATTTTATACCGAATTGTTTAGATGATTTATGACTTGGTCCAATAATATAAACAACATTTAGGCTGACATAAACTGTTCTATTACAGAGGAATGGTATCCTGTCTATCAGTGATGCTGGGCAGGTCAAGCGCCTTCCTAGGAGTGAACGTGATAGGTGCCCTCATCTCGAACAGTTGTGAGGCCACTTTCTACGGCTGGTCCGCCTTATTGTTTAGTAAGTAACTTTTGACTATTTCTTTCATAAATTTAAACTTTATTTTCATTATATTTATTAGCACTCGCACGACTGCAATGCTGAAACCATTTTGCTCCATTTTCAAATGGATGTTATACTACATATAAATCTTCATCTTCAATCACTCTATAGTTTCAAAGATTTTAGCATACATAGAGATATAGGGACGGGGAAAGCGACTTTGTTTTATATTATGTGGAGATTTACATTATTTAGGCACCATAATCGTTAGCTTGTTTCCGCCTACTCCTTCATATCTAGTCCTACGAATAGTGCTCGTCTTGATAATCAAATATTGGCAGTCACTTTGGATATTAATCAAAGTCCTCCACGCGATTACTGAAGCTGAAGATTTTTCTTTATTTACAAAATTGAAGTCTTTGCGTCTGAAAATAAGAAATATAGAAAAAATATCGTTTTTATGTAACTTATAAATAAGGAGATTAGAGTTACAGGATAGTAAAATTATACATTACTTATCTTATTTCTTTTATAATTTTATGTTATTTTCCTCTGTATTATCTTTGATAACGTTTAGTAATATACCCCCTTGCCCGCTAGAGTATTCAAACGCCATATAATTTTTATCTGTGAATTATGAGTAATAAACAATTTTAAAAGCGGTTTTTAAGCGGCGTTCTGGATAACGACTATATCTTGAATATAATTTCGGTAAAATTTATATAAAGTTTCCTAAACCCGATGTCATTCGGTTTCTAAAAGCAATTCTTTCATTCGACTCTGGTTACGTCACTCGGGTTTTAAAAGTAAAATGGGTTTTATGACATCAAAATCAAAGGATCTGCCTTAATTCAAAACACAACTTAAATATGACTTCTTATTTTTGACTTAATTAGCTATTATTACCAATTGATAAGTGATAAATCGAGGAATCTCGTCATCATAAATTGTACGTCATTGCCTAGGTATATATATATATAGCTTTATTGGAAAAAGTGTTAATGCCTTTATATTAGCATCCGATTACTGCCATGATCACCGATTATAGCAAAGAAACTAGCTAAAAAAAGCCTAGCAGCTTTGAATAAGGTAGTTTCCAACTAGTCAAATTCAATACTTTTTTCCAAATGTCGAAAAAGATCATTGTATTATTGCGTCAAATAAGTATCTTACTTATTTCTTAAAAATTAGCTCAAAAGATATCGAAAATTTTGTGTCAACGTATCGTGAATAAAAGTTAGACTTAGGTATTTTATTTTACTGAAAGTCAAATTAATTGTTGTCGTAGGAAACTACCAAATTGTGTTTGATATTAAAGATTTTTATTGCTTTTTACAGGTGCAATAGTAGTCGCATGGTTCCTGCCCAAAGATAAACCACTTAAAAAGTAAAGAGTAAAGATTCAACCATCTGACTGGATCTACTGAAGACTGAACTAAATCTACTCTTAGTTGTAAATAATGAATGAATGGGAATGAACGAACGGTTATGTAAAATGGTACTGACTGACTGAAAACATTTTATTATTAAAATATAGTTGTTATGTTTATATTTTCTGCAAAACAATAATATTTTGTAATCGTTAGTACCATAAAGTTTATAGTATAGGGTATTAATTATAATCTTTGTTATCTGTGGCTTGTGATTCCCGCGCTTTTATCACAAGTTTTATAGGTACAGGTTCAAGACTGCCATCTTGCGGACATTTTGAAAGTAATATTTTCTTTTTTTCGTAGTCCATTTTATTGTTGTAATAGTAATGTTTCTAAATTAATAATGTACCTGACACGGCCATTATAGTCAGTAAATAATGTTAAGAAAATCTTATTAAGGTATTGTTAGTCATATTTCTCATACTTATTAAGTTTTGATGTATACCTAGCACGTATTGTAAAGTTTTGTTAAATAAACGTAGTTTAAAATAAACTTTGCTTTTTTTCTCATCTTACTCATATTTTTACATGACTCTTTCTTTACAAACTATGTATTCACATAATTCTTTTCTTTTTTTACAAACTTAAAAAAACTGTCGTGGTAAGACATTCATAAGTAATTAACTTGTAGACAAGGCTTAGGAAAACACTTTTAGTTGATAACCCGAATTTATGACTACTTATCACATTTATTAAATATTATTTTAACTGTTTCCAAACTGAAACATATGTTTCCTTGCATATCTACATTTTCTGCGTTGTTGTGTTGTAGATGAGTAATATTTACACCCCAGTTAATCTTTTTTCATGTATTCAATCATTTGTTTTTATTAATGTCTTGCTTTAACGCAGGTCATACCGAATTCTTTTACTTCACATTATACATCACCAGCCATAAGTGCTCACTGCTGAGCAAAAACCTCTTCTCTTACGAGGAAGATTTGGGCATTAATCGCCATGCTTGAGGTGGATAGGTGATTATAAACTTATAATAAGACTTTATAAGTGCAGCTTGGTTTCCTTAAAATGTTTTCATTCACCATTCTATAAAATTTAGACACATCAGACAATTAAGAATCTAAATAATCTTTGAAAGTACATATAACTTATAAAACGTCACTTTGGGGCTTGCGAGGTTTTGAACTCGCACCCGGTCACCACGATAGAAATATTCACTGACATAACAGTGATATTTTTTGAAAAAATATTATACTTACTTCTCTATAATATAAAGTCAAGTCAAAGTCAAATTACATCATCAGCCTTTACGTGGCCAGTCTGTTAAGAAGAAGGCTTAAGCTTCAATCACTACGCTTGTTTAAGGCGGATTGGCGACTTCAACCTTATAAACATTATATTTACGCGGGTATTAACGCGGAAAATTATAATTTGAATACCTTGGTAGGCTTGACGTTCAACCTTATAACTAGAAATTATAAGTCCAGTTCTCGTCTCGATTTTTTCCTTTACCGTATGTCAGTGGTGTCTAAATAACCATATAAAGTACCTACATATTATTACTCGGAAAAGTCACATAGGCACTAGCGAAGTTTCATACCCGCGCCCTAATGCATTAAAAGTGATAGCATTCGCTTACGTTATAGGTAGTTAGTTTACGGAAAAGTTAGTTCACCCACCTATAATACAAAACCAAAATTGAAAATTCAATTAAAATTACAGTTAGAATTAAATTTAAAACTAAAATAAATAAATTCATAACTACTTAAACATAACAAAAAATCCGCATTCATAATATTTTTCTTGTTGACGTATTTAAATATGAAGGTTCCAAATCTATCTTTGAGTTGCTTTGCGCATGTTATTATCGGATTAAAATACAATACCAATTATTTAAATCACGTCACAGATATTTATCTAATAAGTAATAAGATTGTATTAGGTACTGCTGCTATCGTAACTAAATAATTGTCATGTTTAGGAAAATCAGTTTTAAAAACTACCTAATTGATAGAGTAATCCAATAATTATCAATTCATCAAATGGATGACCAACTACCTACCTCGATATGAGACCATTGTTTTATTAGCAGTTATGTATTATTTCCTGTAGAAACCCAACAGCTACTTGAAGAAAAGAGAAAATTGCTGCAATCAAAGAAAAATAATCGAGAAAATAGAAGCAAGATAACAGAAATCAGTAAAAAGATAAATGAAAACATAAGGAAAGATAGGAAAATCAAAAGACAGCAAACACTTGAACATATAAGAAGAACTGGTGGAGTAAAAAAGGCGATTAAAGAGTTAAAGGACAAGAAAGAATGGATGCTAACAGTAAAAACTAAACATAAGAAACATAGTAAAAGACCTGAAATAATTAAGGTGGCAACAGAGTATTATAGAGAATTATATAAAAGCAAGAATCCAAAATTAGCTACAGAGGAACCATATACATTAAATTCTGAACCTATACCAGAAATATTGGAAAAAGAAACGGTTAAAGCTATAAACACACAGAAAGCGGACAAAACACCTGGATCCGATCAAATAACCAACGAATTGCTCAAATCGACTTTATCAATAATTGCTCCGATGTTAACAGACTTATTTAATGAAATTATTGAAACCGAAAGCATTCCACAAGACTGGACCAAATCAACAATAATTTTGTTACACAAGAAAGGAGATAAGGAGGAAATTGGTAACTATCGCCCTATCAGTCTAATGTCCAACATTTACAAAGTCTTTTCAAAAATCATTTTGTCTAGAATTGCCACAGTACTCGACGAAAACCAGCCAAGAGAACAAGCCGGTTTCCGAAGTAAATTTTCAACCATAGACCACATCCACGTTCTCAGACAAATTCTACAAAAATACAATGAGTATAATAAAATTTACTTCTTAGGCTTCGTAGACTATAACAAGGCTTTCGACTCCCTAGAACACAGATACATCTGGGAAGCTCTGCGAGGTCAAAATGTACAGGACAGATACATAAGAATCTTAAAGAATATATACTCAAAGACCACAGCACATGTCAGACTGGAGAAATCGGGTGAGGAATTCTCAATAGAGGAGTTCGTCAAGGCGACCCTATCTCACCTAAATTATTCTCGGCAGTTCTGGAGATGATAATTAGGAACCTAGAATGGAAAGAACAAGGGATCAATATAAACGGTGAAAAACTAAGTCATCTACGTTTTGCAGATGATCTGATACTGTTCTCTGAATGTCCTAGAGCGTTACAACAAATGCTACAACAATTAGCTGACCAGAGCGTAGTAGCAGGACTAACAATGAACATCGCGAAAACAAAAATTATGACTAACTCTTCAGAGACACAAAAGATTATAGTAAACATGCAGGAGGTAGAATACGTGGATGAATACATTTACCTGGGACAGTTAATATCACCTACGGGAACCATGCATAAGGAAGTCGATAGAAGGATAGCCAATACGTGGAAGAGATATTGGTCATTAAGTGAAGTTATGAAAGATAGGGATATGCCAATTAAAGCAAAAAGAAAAGTCTACAATATGTGCATTCTGCCATGTTTAACATACGGCTGTCAAACATGGGCATTAACAGAAACTTTAACAAATAAAATAAATGTCTGCCAAAATAGTATAGAGAGGAGTGTTATTGGTGCCAAGCGAAAAGATAAAGTTAGACTAACAGAAATTAAAAACAAAACAAAATTCACACAGGCAAACTCAATATGTCGAACACTGAAATGGCGATGGACAGGTCACATGTTAAGGGAAAAACAAGAGAAATGGACAAAAATTATAACAGAATGGTACCCCAGAGATGGTAAAAGAAGCAAAGGGCGACAAACTAAAAGATGGGAGGATGACATCAAAAAGGTGGCTGGTCCAGAATGGATCCGAGTAGCAAAAGATAGGGAGAAATGGAAATCTTTAGAGGAGGCCTATGTCGAAAGACAAGCTGTTTTTGAACCGAACGCCGATATACGAAGATATGTATAAGTAAGATAATATTTATAAGAATATAGGTTTAATTTATGTCAATGTTTGTAAGTTAAAACAGCAATAAAGGCTAATTTTATTTATTTTATTTTATGTATTATTTCCTGAGTTCCAATCTACTTTTTTATAAGAATATTCACCAGATATTGACAAACATTAAAAAAATAATATCGGTAGATATCGGCCAAGCCAACGTGCACGTCTTACAATGACCAACGGGAAATTGAGATTCTTCAATTAATCTAAGTACCTAAATAGGTGTAAAATTATCGTAAGTACCTACTTAGAATTAAGTATGAAAATGTAAATATGGGGCAACAATATGAGACAGATAGCTGACTGCGATTTATTTTTACGTTAACGCAATCATAATGTCAGTTCATATAATCGCATTGAGCCCTCTGATTAGTTAGTTATCATACGCGTGTGATCGACTTAAGGTAAAGAAAACTCGCAGTAGGCACTCTGACCACCTGATGGCAAGTGATGGATGACATCAGTACACCATAGGAATTTTTAAAGCCGGTGCTCATTGTAGAGTTAACACTGTATCACGCATGATCTTGATCTATAGAGGTAAAATTTGTATGTTTGTATGTTTGTAAGTTTGTATGTAGGGGGTAATCTTTGGAACCACTGATCGGATTCTAAAAATTCTTTCACTTATTGATAGCTACAATGTTTTATAAGCTATAAAACATCACGGTACAATCAACTGGAGCCGAGCAGCCAGTGAAACTGCGCGGTAGTAGCTAAAACTGTATAAGACACTAGTGCGTACGCTTGTTACAGCTTCGGCTCGCGACGTAGCGTTGCGGTAACGCGCCCACCGAAGAGACAAACGTTGCGAGCCGTTACTGTAACCAAACGGCAAACAGCAATGGGATTCTAATCCTCCGAAAAGATACTAAATGCTCCGTATACGATTGAGTTGCCAAACTTTTTTACATACTTAGATACTTACGTCAATTTTCTGTGACTTGCACCTTTGAACTAACAATACGTCAATTACTTTGAATACTGTACTGACTGCACAGAGTGTACTTCCTCAATACCCCCAATGCATAATATCCAGAAAATGATATTTTGTTATCTATTATCAGATTATGACTCGGCAAACTTTCTTAGACGTACATCGATAAACGTAATAAAATTATAATCCTTTTGTATGTTTTCACATTATTTTTAATTCTGCTAGAGTTTTTGTGTGAGTGCAATTTAAAGGACTACATTCCAGTATTAAAAAGAATGCCGTAAAAATCGTGGTCAAAGATTCCGTTACCTACATAGCGTGATAAAAATATTTTATTGTTTGTTTATTTACATAAAAAAAGCTCAGGTCAGCGATATTAAAGTAATATTTCACTTTTGAAAAGTAATCGGCACCTCATTCGAATAGGAATGAGATTTTCTAATTTGCAAACGGCCGCAACAGACGCTTGCAGACGAAAACACTATACTTATGTAATATGTAAAATGATGACCTATACCTATTACCAAAGTGAGTTTTAGTATCTAGGAAAAAAACATAGGCAAAATATTCCTAAAAGTAATGTGAATCTCGTACTACATGTTTTGAACACAATCCTCCTTATTACAAAACAAGATTTATCTTAAGTCTAGGTTTAAAACATTAAGGCAGGTTTTGAATTTAGAATCTTATTCTCATCCACCTTCAATTCGAAATTCAAAAATGCAATGGTTTAGACGTAGATTTAAGAAAAACCTTATTTTGTAATAAGGTCGATAATATTATTAGGTAGCTAATTACATAGGTATTTTCAAATGATATTATATATGATCATCTAGCCCTTTAATGACTGATCAGTACCATTAGAAGATAAGATTAAATTATGTATTATTAAACTACCGATAACACACGTACACACACATATACTTATAGGTATATAAAATATAACAAACACGTTCACAAGAGATTATGTCACATTATCTATAATGCGATTTTAACAGACAATATTTTATTTATTACTAACGACACCCCCCAACTTCGCTGGTTCCCGGAGTAATACTTATAATAAATCTGTAGAGAAGTCAATTCTGTACATGAAATATATTTTCAAAATAACTATCAGGGGGTGATTGGTAAATGATGCTGATGCCAAAAATGCAGTCAGCAAATTTTTTGTCTCTCTGTCTGTATGTTCCTTATAGAAACAAAAACTACTCGACAGATTTTGACGAAACTCGATGCAGTTATTTTTCATATGCCTAGAGAGGTATAATAGGATACTTATCATCACGCTACAATCAATAGGAAGAGAGCAGTGAAGGTAAATGTTGGGAATTTTAAAGTAGTTACTCTTGCACGGTTTCTCCCGCTGCTCGGCTACTACAGATCGTAGCGTGAAGTTTTATATCCTATATATCGAAAAATCTAAACCTATCCTCGAAAAATGGACTAACAAACACAAAAAGAATTGTTCAATTCGAACTAGTAATTCCGGAGATAGGCGCGTTCAAACAAACAAGCTCTACAGCTCTATAATATAACTAATATTATAGAGCTGTAGAGCTTGTTTGCTTGTAGATGAGTAGTTGTTACTATATATTAAAACGTATAATATCAAAAATCAAAAGTCTAAAAAGCATTTACTTTTGAGTTTAAAATCATAAGTTTGAATTTGTCAATTAAATAGTTAAATTAGTAGTCCACTTCTCCTTATGATATTTTCCTTCACCATTTGTGCCGTCTAAATCTTATATATAAAAATGGATCGCAAAATGTGTTGGTAAGCGCATGACTCAACGACGCCTGGACCAATTTTTCTAATTCTTTTTTTGTTGTGTTTGTTATTGTCAAGAGAAGGTTCTTATCAAAGAAAATATTAGAAAAGTAGATGGGAAGATAAGGAAAAAGTGACCGTTTGATAGCGAGTTAGTCGGACCCGTGCGAAGCAGGGGCGGGCCGCTAGTCTTCTTATATATAAAAATGGATCGCAAAATGTGTTGGTAAGCGCATAACTCAACAACGCCTTGACCAATTTTTCTAATTCTTTTTTTGTTGTGTTTGTTATTGTCAAGAGAAGGTTCTTATCAAAGAATATATTAGAAAAGTAGAGGGGAAGATTGGGAAAAAGTGAACCGTGAAAGTGAAAAGCGAGATAGTTGGACCCGTGCGAAGCGGGGGCGTGCCGCTAGTAGGTACTAGTAGGTAGGCTAGTAGTAAGTAGGTACTATAACCTAACTACAGTCCATACTTGCCACGTCCGAACCCCACACCTTCATGCTTGAGAAGCGAGTTACTTAGCCTTAGGGCCACCACGACCATCACGGCAGCGAAAATTATGGGTAATAGAAGTAGAATAGAAAGAAAAAACGTTGCCCCACACTAGGATTTTCTCCTGTGTCGTGGGTGCGTTTACAAACATACAAATCACGCCCAGACCCGGAACAAAAATTTGTGGATCATACAAAGAGTTGTTCCGTGCCGGCAAAGACACCCGCGACAGGTTGCGCCGCAGCCAGTTGCCCAGTCACCGCGCCAACCGTGAAGTCAAAGGTACTAAATATGTCAAAACTAATGGAATAACCTTGTGAATGTATTGGCAGAAATATACACACTTGTAGAAACTTCACTTGTATTTAAGTACCATTTTATGTCACAGAAGATGAAGAATAATTTAACACTCGACTTCAAATATACCACAATAATTTCTTAATAATTTAAATAATCTAATATACTTACCTGCATGTAAAAATGGCATGCTGTTAATTTGTCTCAATTGATCTCAAGAACGGCTGGTTCAATTTGGCTGATTTTGGTCTTGAAATATTTGTGGGAAACCGTGGAAGATTTCAAAAGGTCAGTTAGCGCAGTTAGTGCATATTGAGGCGGAATGAAGTTTGCCGTTATATCTAGCAATTAATTAAAATTAGACCAATAAGATACTTTTGAAATACAAAATGCCTGACGCATGTTGGTCAATCCTCTAGTGAAGCTCGTGCCTAACTATAGATTCACAGAAGAACGAGCTAGCATCAGTCTTTTCCCAAATATTTCATACTTACTTACTTATTCATAAAAAGAACGAGTCTGTCTGTACCTCTATAGATTCACAGAAGAACGAGCTAGCATCAGTCTTTTCCCAAATATTTCATACTTACTTACTTATTCATAAAAAGAACGAGTCTGTCTGTACCTCTATAGATTAACAGAAGAACGAGCTAGCATCAGTCTTTTCCCAAATATTTCATAATTACTTACTTATTCATAAAAAGAACGAGTCTGTCTGTACCTCTATAGATTTACAGAAGAACGAGCTAGCATCAGTCTTTTCCCAAATATTTCATAATTACTTACTTATTCATAAAAAGAACGAGTCTGTCTGTACCTCTATAGATTCACAGAAGAACGAGCTAGCATCAGTCTTTTCCCAAATATTTCATACTTACTTACTTATTCATAAAAAGAACGAGTCTGTCTGTACCTCTATAGATTGACAGAAGAACGAGCTAGCATCAGTCTTTTCCCAAATATTTCATACTTACTTACTTATTCATAAAAATAACGAGTCTGTCTGTACCTATCTTAATTTCAGGTAAGTAATTATACCGTTTAAACCCACAACAGCAAGGATTACGAAATCACAATATGTAATTGTACAAGAAATCGTAGTGCGCGCCGATTCTGAACCTTGAATAAATATAATGCCAACTTTCTGAACAATACGACGAAACATCAAATAAGAAACCTTTTTAAATATAATAATACCAAGACAAAATTGATTTTTTATAATTAATTTGAATAGGCTAATTCCAATACATTACATGTACTATTCTAATACATTCCAGGCTAGTACATAATACTCGACTAATTTCAAGTCACACTGGGGGCTTATATTTATGAGCAGCACATACAATATCGGTCGCTGTACCTTAAGGTTGGTGTTTCGTTTGTGTTTATTATGAATGTTAACTTGTTTAAAACTAACTTTTGACCGCGACTCCGTTCGCGTGGAATAAGTACTCGAGTTCCAAACTATTTTTGTACCAAATTTCACAGAAATTGATTCACTAGTTTAGGCCTGAAGAAAAGACAGACAGGCAGACAGAGTTACTTTCGCATTTATAATATTAGTTTGGATTATTTTACACAAACTGCACGTGTCAGTTTTGCAGTAAATTTAATTACATATTTATATTATCCATACCTATTTATTTTTATTATTGTCATGCAATACAAAACACGACGGAAGAATAGAATTATCGATACGGACTCACTAGTACCGTATGGGAATAAAATCCATGACAAGTTGCTCGGCAGCCAGTTACCCAGCAAATGCGCCAACCATAAAATCGCAGACAGACATACATACTATTGTTTTTGTTATTGCATAATTACGCTACCATATATAATACCAGCATATTGGATAATAACAGCAGGGGGGTAACCATGGCATTCAAAGTAAGACTATTTTAATCTTACTTCAGTGTGGGTAAGAGAAAGAGCTATACAAGTTGTCTAGCTCTGTCTCTAGGCCCCTGAAGAAAGACCGCCTTTTTTTAAATGGGAAAATCAAAACATCACTCCTCGCGCCCTGAATGGGGCAATTGGGAGTGTCAGACTCTAGCGAGCCTCTTATGAGTCAGTCTCTGTCTAAAAGTACCAAAGAATCTTTATGTGACACTGATTTTAAAAGAGTAACCATGGAGTTTCTTGCTCGTTCTTCTCCATCGGAATCTACACTTTGGAACGAGCGAATAGCTTCTTTCTCCTGCTCCAAGCTAGAGCGCGGCGCTTGACCCGCAATCACGACTGAAGATTGACCACCTTCTAACTCAAACACCAAATTCTTATTTGCATGTTAAACAAGTCGTAATTGGAATAACATAACAGCCTTTTTATAGCGTTGCAAAATTAGAGTACTATCACCAACCTATCATAAATTACATTATTTACTTACATTCTTAATTAATTATACTAACACGACTTTTGAAATTCTCGCCTTGATAACAGCCACCTCCAAAGCCATTTTTAACATTAATTGATGACGTTGTAACCAGATTAATAATAGATAATAACAATAGCAACTGCTAGTGAGGACTTTGGCACAGTGTAGATAATTTTGCAAATTCGGCCCGTCGTCGTATCGAACCGAAGTACGGCGATAATCTTTGCTAAAGCAAGTAATATCAATCGTTTTTAAAATGAAGCCCACAGAGGCCGCACGCGACGACGTTTAGCAATATTTTCGTAATTAAAAAAAACAATAATTTATTATTTTGTTTTTTGTAACAATTGGATTGTGTTTGAAAGGATTAAGTACCTAATTTGTGACTCGTTATTTAGTAAAAAGTGAATCATTTAAAAATGGAGGATAAAAATAGTGGTTCAACTGAAAAGCTGTCGTTTGAGGCAGCGCTCGATAAAGCGGGTAAGTTTATAAAGTAATTAGTTCTAATTTACGCAAACACAGTTTTGTTTACACCTTTTATTGGTCAAAGGAATAAGCCGATGCATTCTCATGAGACCTACATATCACAAGTTAAGTTATATTACCCAATGGGGAGTGTTTTCGTACGTGTGGGAGAGCCATGCTTCGGCACATATGGGTCGGCTCGACCGGAGCCATACCGCCGCCTCCCAGAAAACCATCGTGAAACAACAACAGGCAGCGTTGTGTTTCGCCGAGTGTCTGAGATTACCGGCTTATTACCGGAGACCCAATTCTTTCTTCCATTTTCCCATCACTTCCCAATCTTTGAATCCCCAAAACCCTAACCCCCGTAATGACAAGGCATTTGCAAGTAATTTGGTGTTCTTGTGTCCATGGGCGGCCGATGGCTTACCACCAGGTAATTGGCCTGCTCGTTTGCACCAGCAAACATTAGCACAAATGCAGACTCCTCAGATACCCACGATGGCCCAGACATGGCACCCGGTGGGAACCGAGTAACTAGATAGACCTGGTGGTAAGCTATGATACGACTAAAGATGAGCACGCCTACCAACCACCTTCGAGTGAATAACCGCCTATTCACTCAGACCTTGAAGACACCCAGGTTACACCCTTCGGGGTACACAGACCCCAGTAAAGAAAGATACAACGCTAAAATCAAATTCCAAAAGCAAAGGTGGAGGTGGACAAACGGTCTCTCTTAGTATATTGTCAGAAGACCTCCTTGTATATGGACAGACGACGTATTTAAAATCGTAGGGAGCCGATGAATGCAGGTCATTTCTAACCGGCCTAGCAAGATTATGCCTTATTAAGGCATTCTAAGTTCAATTAAAGATGTCCTGATATGATTCTGACGATACATTGGACACATTTCTTGCGGGCATTTATCATCAAATGACTTCCCTCGCCCATTGTGGAACGAGAAGAAATGTCAGGATCTTACTAACTTAAGTGTGGGAGAGCCAATCGGAGTGATACCACGGCCTCACAGAAAACCGGCGTGAAACAACCACAGCGTTGTGTTTCGCCGTGTGAGTGAAGTTACCGGAGGCCCAATCCTTCCCCTCCCCGGACCCTTCCCCAATACCTGAATCTCCGGATCCCTAGTCCCTAAAAGGTCGGCAAGGCACTCACTTGTAACTCCTCCGTTGCGGGTGTCCATGGGCGGCGCTGATTGCTTGCCATCAGGTGGTCCGTCAAAAAACCACCCTGTTACTTTTCTTGCTCCAGCCCAAGACCTTATTGCGCTTGCCACTTTAAACACCATACGTTCCAGGTTTCGGTCTATACAGCTACATAATGACGAGCCTAGCGGGACTGGCCATCATTTCCTTCGCCTGCATCGTCTACGCCAACACCATCATCGTCCCCACCAGTGCTTGTGAGCTGGCCACCACTGGCAGTCAGCAGGGGCTTCTAGCTGCTGGACCTGTTGTAGGTAAGTTGTATGATTCATTATTATAAAAATAGTTTTTTTTTTGATAAGAGTTACACCTAGATTTGTACCAATAAACACTTGTAGTATATCGTGGCAAGACAAACAAAACAGAAAATCAACCCACAACTGTTAGAGAGTCCATGACCTACTTCCGACAAGACAGTTCACACATTAAAATGAAATCTTTCACATTGATATAGGCAGGATTTAACTGAACAATATCAGCCAAAAATCCCATTAAGGGCTGATTTTTCAATGGTTAGATAACAGTTACCTGAGGAATAATTTTGATGCCGTTGCGTCAGAATGTTTGTATAAGACAGCGACAGCAACAATTTTATTGCTGAGATAACATTTATCTGACTATTGAAAAATCAGTTCTTAGTAAGATAGTTAGAAATAAACGAGTTTTCCAGTTATCCGTCTACTCATTCAAGTAATTAAACATAATACATAATTACACATTATCTAGACAGCAACGTGTTAATTAGCGAACTTCGTTCACATTTCCTGAGTTTTCTTCCTTCCATGGAACCGGAGAACCGGTCAAGTGCGTGCCAATAAACTAACGCTATTACATAATAAACAACATAGTTCCGAGTTAAATAACTAGGTACTAACATTCAAATAAGTAGGTACATTAAAACAATTATAAGGCGATTAAATATCAAAAATATATTTTTGTACCTATATTTTGGTTAAGAAGTATCGGTGGAGTTTCTTTCTCGTTCTTCTTCTCTATTCGAATCTACACTTTAGAACGAGTACCTAACTTTTCTTACAGACTATACATATTATATTTTGACGTTTCAAAAGTATCTAAGTTAAATCTAATTTTGTCGGTCAGTCATCTTTAAGCTTGTTGCTAGGGTTAATTCCCGGGAGATCTCGTGTCGAGAATTCCTGGGAATGAACCCAGTGTCCCTTTATGACTTGAAACTAATAGTTTTTGAGTTATAGGTAATTCAAATGAGTTAAGTCGTCATTTTCAATAAATAACTTCAAAATAATTATTTATATCTAATTAGAAAATTCATATATTTTTTTACTACTTTTAACTAGTTTTTATTGCATATCATTAAAAATGCCCCTTATATCTAAATCAAGAAGAACTTACATTTTGACAGTCTATGAAAGTCCGGTTGTTCCATACTTAATGACAAATGAGCGTGACCATATTCACCTGATGGTAAGCAATCAGCTCCGACCATGGACACCCACAATATCAGAGGAATCACAAATAAATTGCCGACCTTTTAGAGGTTGCTAGGACTGTTTAAAACCGTTTTCAGATAGTTTCTTAATAAGTTGATTGTTATCTCCACAGGCTCTGTGCTCGGTGGCCTAACATGGGGCTATCTGGCAGATACGCGAGGCAGACGGAAGATGTTGCTTGTTGCTCTGACAGGAGGCGTCGTCTTCAACCTCATCGCCAGCATCTCAGTCAACTGGATCATGTTGCTTATATTCCAGTTCATTGCTTCGCTTTTGTAAGTTTCCTAAAGAATGTAATTTCATTAAGGGATGATTTTTCAATAGTCAGATAAAAGAGGAATAAAATCGTCTTCTGACGCGATAGCATTCTAATTATTAGCGATGTAACTTTAGACCCCAATAAGCCGGCAACGCAATCGCAACTCCTGACAGTGTAAGTGTCTTTAGCAAAGGAAAAAAACAAGTACCAAACACTTACTTTTCCAAGGAGTGGAAATCATGACCGTATCGGTCAAATAATTTCCTAAACATTATTACTTAAGTTATACGCCCGTTTCTCATGCTCGAGCATGCTGCGGATGCAGGTTTTGAAACTTGTCAATGTGTCTTTTTCCGAGTTTATGTTTTTATACTTTTCTCTCATTTAGACACCACTGACATACGTTGAAGGAAAACATCGTGAGGAAATCCTGACCTTTAATTTCTAATTATAAGTTTGATATCGCCAATCCGCGTTGAGCAAAACTGGTGATTAATGCTTAAACCTTTTCCGTGAGTGGAGCGGCCTTTGGTCATCAGTGTTTAAGTAAACACTGATGACCAAAGGCCGCATCCCATCATTAGCCTATAAGTATAGGCTAATGATGGGATGATTACTTAAGTTAAATCGGTCATAGAGATACAGTTGTACATTCATATTTTACAAACCTACTTTTGTTTGAGTGACTAAGTACCTACCTAGGATAAGATAACAAAACATGTTGCTGCTAAAATGATTAATTGATTTACAATGAATTTAGGTTTTCGTGCCAAAAATAGTTTAAAGTGAGTCAGTTCAGTAACATGGAATATAGGTATCTATATGAGTTCATAATACATTCTTATCTGAAAAGCATTTTATTCTAATCCCTACTAAAAATAGTATTGGACTTATCCTAATCAATAAAAAAAACTACGTTTAAAAAAACCGACTTCAAAAACAAAAAAGTGTCAAATAATTAAAATAGATATTTTAATAGCACTCTTACGTACGCGAAGCTAATACTTTTAATATTAATAATAAAACACTATCAACTCTATGTGCTACCTATTCATAGGTTTAAAGTCGGTGCTAAGCATAATACATAATATTATAAGCATTTGATTGATGGCCTTAGCGTAGAATCAGAAGTCTATATTGTTTCGTTACATGCGAAATTATATATATATAGCTTAGAAAGATATTCAGGTGGTGGTGGTTTTAGGTTCTTATTTTGAGGTTCTCAATTCGACGAGTATTTTTTTTTTATGTATGTACACCGATTACTCGAAGACGCCTGGACCGAATTGCAAAATTTTTTTTTTTTATTCGATAGGGTATACTTGCCATTTGGTCCCATTGTCATGATTACGAATACTAACACATTTTCAAGAAATAAATATGTGTGCTGTTTGAGGCAAATAAACATGATGTTATAACACAATAGCATAAAAAAATCATAGAAAATTGTCGACTTGCCTCACCTCAAAGACCCAATACTTAGACCACCTCAGAAGCGACTCTATTGGGCTGGTGTTCAGCCGACCAATAATGTGCCGCGGCCCTGGCTGGTAGCTGGAGAAGAAACGGGGTGATTTGTGGCCAATAAGAGCCTAGTGTGGGGCGAGAAATAAACCGCACCGAATCCATACTTCTATTATTAAGGTATTAATTTCTATTTCACAGTACCTAGGTAGTGTTATTTCTTATTGTTATGTTTTCCAGTGGGTCTGGTATGTACTCGATGTCGATGTCGCTGCTCAGTGAGAGTGTCCCCATGGCGAAGCGAAATCTCGTCGTTCTGCTGGTCTCCAGCATCTTCTTGCTGTCCCAGGGTATCATGGCAGGTGAGAAACACAACTTTAGGCCAAAAATTTTACTGGCTGTTGCATAATAGATTGCACTTATCGAAACTTAAACACAGTATTGCAACAAATGCGTAAAGATAAAGTACTATCCCTGTACAAATAAAGGCATGCCCTTTTCAAGGCTTTCTCAAATCGGATGTTTGTCATATCGCTGTTGCGCACAACTGGAGGAGGTGCTAGGGGTACCTACATATTAACAATTTTCATAAAGAACACATCTTTTTTTGTGACTACCGTAAATACGTACCATTATACTCGTAATATTACTTTTCGTAAATAACGACTTAGGTACTCACGTGCATAATTCAATTTTAGTACCAATATCTCACGATAGTCACTATCCAAGAATAAAACTTGTATTTATTTAATACATCTCAGTGGATAATAACTGCAACAAAACCTTACCTCTTTATTCCAGTGTTGGCGATGCCAATCATCCCCTTAAGCTTCTCCCACTATCTGGAAGCTCTGGATATCTACTGGAACTCCTGGCGAACGCTGTTGGTGGTGTACGCAGTACCCAGCATCCTCACGATTATCTTCATATCTCTTATGAAAGAGAGCCCTAAATTTGTGTTCGTCAAGGGAGACGAACCAAGGGCTTTGGAGATTTTGAGGACTATTCACAGAGTCAATCATTTAAGGTCTAAAGAGGAATTTGAGGTGAGAGATACCTTATGTTTTTTTTTGATTTGGTAGGTCGGCAAACGAGCAAACATATTACCTAATGGTAGGCAATCAGCGCCGCCTATGGACACCCGCAACGACGGAGGAGTAACGAGTGCGTTACCGACCTTTTGGGGACTAGGGATTTAGAGATTTTAAGAATTTTTTTTATTAAATTTTCCTAATTCCCTCCTAAACCACAGCGTTGTGTTTTACCATGTGGGTGAGGTAGCGGGAGGCCCATTTCTCTTCTTCCCCAAACCCTCCTCCGTCCGTAAATCTCCGATACCCTAATCCGCAAAAGTTCGAAAACAAACTTATAACTTTTCTGGTGTTACGGGTGTAAATGAGCGGTGTCAATTTAGAACCTACTTGTTTGCCGTGCCATGACATAAAAGTAATTTTCATTGATTAATATTATATCTGCATATTGTCTTCTTTTTACCAGGTCAAAGGACTGGTTCTGGAAGAGAACACGGAATCCGGTGGTTCCGCTAAAGACCAGATTGTGCCGCTGTTCCGACAACCACTCCTTAAATACACCTTCATCGTAATCATACTCTTTACCTTCCAACAGTAAGTATACTTTATTTTTAAAATAATTAATAATTAAATCCTTCTTACTCCATTAACACACTTACTGATTAATATGATGGTCTGTTCCAGAGTTGGAGCTTTCCTGGTTTGGTTGCCAACCATCGCTGACCAGTTCGTGCGCATTTTGCAATCTGGTGATAACTCTGACCTGACCATTTGCGACATTATCGGCATGGAAGTACCTGTTAATGTAAGAGCTGCTTTACTTTACCATAAAAACATAAATTTTCAGATCCTCTTACTTTTACGCTTGGGCCACAGTAATGGGAAATGCCAATAATTATCGCGATAATCTTTATATACAAAAATGGATCGCAAAATGTGTTGGTAAGCGCTTAACTCAACAACGCCTGGACCAATTGTGCTAATTCTTTTTTGTTGTGTTTGTTATTGTCAGGAGGAGGTTCTTATCAAAGAAAATATTAGAAAAGTAGAGGGTAAGATTAGGAAAAAGTGACCCTTTGATAGCGAGATAGTTGGACCCGTGCGAAGCGGGGGCGGGCCGCTAGTTTATGATATGAAATAATGAGACATAATTATACCTTAAGTCATTTGTATAGTGATCAAATTCCACTAACGTTCATTATCGCGATAATTAATGGCATTTCCCGTTAGTGTGGCCCAAGCATTAGGATAGGTCGTGTTCTGGTAATTACCTATAATATTAGAAAAAGGAAGATGATAGGGTAAATAAGAATCTAAAGGATCATTGTTTAGGATAATTCGCAGCACCAAAGGAATACAATTTTTTTTTAATTAACTTTATTCATGACCATAGATACAAGTCTTTCAGTCGAAAACATAGATCAAAGGAATACAAGGCATAACTGTGTTGCCAGCCTTTTGTGGTTTACTAGAGTAGCTATCTAATTATTCTTTGTTCTCAGGAGGATGCAGTGCCCTGCGCCCTGGATGACACCTCCTTACTCATCGTCCTTGGTTTGGCTGCAATGCAGTCTGTGTTCAACTTTGTTATGAGCTTGGTAAGTCAAGATTGAAATAAGAGTTCTACTTATTAAGTAAAACATAGTTATCCCGGTAAGCATTGACAATCTTTGGTGAATTACAAGAACCTATAGATAATGCACTAGTTAAATGTGACAAACAATCTCCTCGTATACCAGTTTTACCATAAATGACAAAAACTAGATCAGTTAATTTTGGATATGATCAAGTATCACTTTAATTAGAATCTTACACCAAGTTCCTTAATCAATGAAACAATGATTTTATATTTGTAAGTAAACCACAACAACAGCACTTTTACTCATCGACATAACCTGTATAAAAATATCTAGATGAAGCGGTCATTTCAGACTCACAGGCTCTTTTCGTCTGCTGTAATCGTTGCTTTTTCCACTTCCCCAGCTCTTAGGCTTAGTGGGTCGTCGTAACATGGTTCTGGTGGTGACCACACTATGCGGTGTAAGTGGTATCCTGGTCAACCTGGTGCCCAATGCTATCGCCAGTGCCATACTCTTCGCTATACTACTTCAAGGAGTCGTCGTCATTGGGTTGTACACTGCGATTGTGGTCGCCATATTCCCCACAAACTTGAGGTAAGTTGTTAACATAAAATTATTGCATATTAAATACACCCAGTTTTTACCAGGTTTGTTATAATTTTCGAATCTACCTAAGTCTATGTTTGGCATAGGTCATCATCAGACACAACCATAATCTTAGACTTGTAAGGTTCCTAGTATTAATTACGTTATACAATACAAAAATCGACTATTTCAATAATCGATTTTTGTATCGATCTTTTGAAATAATAAAAATGAGCGGGAACGAGTGAACGAGTGAGGTGAGGGTTGTCTGTGGAACCGGGACGAGAGGGCGAAAAAAAAAAAAAGGGGTGGAGGGATATACGGTTTGGCGGGGGGAGATATAAGGGAGATTAGTCTTGTAACCTGAACATTAAAGGATTATTTTGTATTATACGACGAGTTTTATTACATTTCAGAAGTGGTATGTACCTACTCACATTTTATTATTTATTTAAGTAGATGTTTTTGTTATTGCCTGATTTTTATTATTAATTACCTTCACAAAGTGGTGTGAGGGACGAACATAATGGCTGATCATGGCCGTTATTTATCCTCATTTTCTTTGTTTCATGACAAAATAAATCGAGTAACGGTTTGGTGTAAGTTAAATTAATAATATTACAAATACAGATATTTGCTTAAAATACAGCTATTACAATTCAAAGATGTTTTGACACCGTCCATGAGCTATAGCAATCACACAAGCTTTTGTTTAGTCTCAGCTGTGGTATGTTTATCAGTAAATGTTGCTGATTAATTTAAATTACTTTCTGGTTTTAATTGATCTAAAGTTTTACATGCACGTCAATCGAATTACAGTCTAATATCCTTATAACAAGGATTTGATCTAACTGAAATCGGCGGCTGAATGATCGATGGCGATGATGATGAATGAGGACTAGTTTAATACGTTTTGACGTGTACTTTTGACGATAAATGTTCTTTGTGTTTGAGTCCCAGATAATGGAGCAAGACAGGCGAGGTACTAGCCGACACCGGCTCGAAACTCCTGAGCGCCTCCCGATGAGACGCGATGGCACCGCTGAGAGACGGAGTCGGAGTCGAAGCCGCTTGCGTAGCGGCACCCGTCCACCAAGACGGAGCCGGGCGCGCAGTGGGAGTCGCGGCATCACGCGCCAAAGTGCCCGCAGCCAGAGCATTCGCGAGAAGGAACGAGAGCTACGGCGGGAGTGGGACAAGATAAGGCGCCTCGAAGATGAAATTGATCGAGAACGCAGCCGTTTTCGATCCAGTTCGAGGACACGTCGCAGTTCGAGGCACCAGAGTTCTGTTCGCAATTCTGAGCAACGAGTAGAAGATCGGCGAGGCAACCGGGAGCAGTCTACTGCTAGGGATAATAAAAGGTCAGCAAGCCAAGCTTTCTCTGCTAACGACGTTATGAATATTTTAAAGTCTATTAAGTCAACCCAATCGCACACGGTGGCACTCAGTTCCCATAATCTTAACCACAAAAATATACTACCAGATTTTGATCCGTCATCGAAAAATCAAAGAGTTGATGTTTGGTTAAAAAAAGTTAATGAGTGTGCAACCGTCTACGGATGGGATGACAAAACGGTAATACATTTTGCAATGCAAAAATTGCAGGGATTGGCCAAAACCTGGTATGAGAGTCTGAACTCTATTCTGTTTAGCTGGTCCGAGTGGCAAGATAAACTAATCGCGGCGTTTCCCTATGAACAGAATTATGGCCAGTCCCTGGAAGATATGTTACGGAGGAAGAGTAGGCCTAATGAGCCCATCGAAGTTTATTTTTATGAAAAGATAGCCTTGTTGAACCAGTGCGACATTGACGGCAAACGTGCGGTCGATTGTGTAATTCACGGGTTGAGCGATAAGACACTAAAAACCAGTGCTTTGGCATTACGTTGTTTGCATACAGATCAGCTCCTGCAATTCCTTATGAGCAACAAAGATTCTGGGCACTCGCAAGTGCTTTACGGTCGCGGAGATCTTAAAAATCGATTCGGACAGGACAGTAGAGCACCCGGTAGCGGGACTTCATATGATCGTACCAACACAGACATAAAGAAACCTAACTTAGTAGTCAATCCCGGTCTATTTTGCTATAATTGTAAAGAACGTGGTCATCCCTTCATGAAATGTCCCAAGCCTCTATTAAAATGCTTAAACTGCCAAAGATTTGGCCATAAAACTGAAAATTGTATTTCAAAATCTGATGGTAAAAAAGAGGCCATGCCTAAAACCATGCTTATATCGGCTTCAAAGGCTAGTTCAAAGTACATGAAGGACGTTACAATTAACGGGTTGCGGTTTAAAGCCTTTATCGATTTTGGTAGCGACGTTTCGCTGCTAGCAAAATCAACCGTGGTGCACCTAGGACTTGTGTACGATAGCAGGTTGCAACCATTGAAGGGTTTTGGGAATGAAATAGTGAATTCGTATGGCACCGTGATCGCCAAGCTGGCTATTGACGGAGTCAGGGCTGAGGTCCAATTTTATGTAGTAGATGACAAATACTTAGACACTCCTGTGTTAGTCGGTCAGACATTTACGGAACAGCCGCATGTAGTTGTATATAAAAACTCAGAACAACTGAAGTTCTCTAATTTCGATTTCCTAATGCCGTTCAGTGATGGTAACCTTGGGAATACTCAAGACCTCACGGTTACAGTATTGTCCGCAATAGACCTTTACGGCCCGGCTACAATAACCGCTGTAACGAAGCCACAACTTAATGGTGACATTATTATAAGTAGCAAAATAGTAGGAAAGCCAACGAACCAATATTACATTTATGGCGGCGTTTACCGTGTAACAAGTGGTGTGGTCAAAATTAGTATTGCACCCATCGCTGACAGTATAGCACATTTAACAGCGGGGGCTACCCTATGTCGCGCCACAAAAGTTCTTTTAGTAAATCGTATCTTATCTCATAATTTTGAAGATTTTGCTATTGATTCTCAAAATTTTGATGACGAATTAGTCCGAATGGGTGAAGGTGTTACCGAAGGTGACAAACGGAAGTTGATGGATATTTTGCACAGATATAAACATTGTTTTGCTTCATCCTTAAAAAGCTTGGGATGTACAAATGTTACGGAGATGACAATAGAAACAACAAGTAGACAACCCATTGTTTATCGTCCATATCGCTTGTCACACAAAGAACGCGAGCAGGTTCGCGAGATGGTAGGAGAAATGCTAGACGCTGGCATTGTTAGGGAATCGGTGTCAGAGTATGCGAGCCCCGTCATTCTAGTGAAAAAGAAAGATGGAAAGATGCGGATGTGTATTGACTATAGATTGCTTAATGCGATTACGGTAAAAGAAAGGTATCCGATGCCAATAATCGAGGATGAAATCGCTCGACTATCTGGTCAGGCTTATTTCATCACACTTGACTTGGCATCCGGATACTATCAAGTACCAATTTCCGAAGCATCAAAAGCACTGACGGCGTTTGTAACGCCGGACGGCCATTATGAGTTCAATCGTATGCCGTTCGGCCTTGCAAACGCCCCCGCCGTTTTTCAGCGTATGATGCATAAGGTATTGGGATCAGCACGATACACCGAAGCAACTGCATACATCGATGACGTTCTAATCTATGGTAGAGATAAAGAGGAATGTTTGAACCGGTTCGAAAATATCTTGAAACTAATCGAAAAGGCCAATTTAACTTTAAACCTGTCCAAGTGCGAGTTTCTAACTGATAGAGTGCATTATCTCGGTTACGAAATTAGTGCCGCAGGAATCAGACCTGGGGATAAGAAAGTTAGTTGCGTTATTGATTTTCCTCGGCCGTCCAACCAGCATACTGTCAGGCAATTTTTAGGGCTCGTCGGTTATTTTCGCAAATTTATAAGGAATTTTGCACAAGTGGCCCATCCCCTAAATAAATTATTGCGGAAGGATGCTCCTTGGTGTTGGGCGGACGAACAGGAAGAATCATTTAAGGATTTGAAAGATAGGCTGACAAAACGGCCCATATTGGCTATATATGATCCAAAGGCCGAGACCGAACTCCACACAGACGCTAGCAAAATTGGTATTGGAGGCATTCTGCTGCAAAAACCACCAAACAGCGATACATACCGACCCGTTGCGTTCTATAGCCGTCAGACCACACCAGAAGAAAAACATTTCCATGCTTACGAGCTCGAAACTTTGGCAGTGGTCTGTTCTTTAAAGAAATTCCGCGTTTACCTTCTCGGTCAAAATTTTAGGATTATTACTGACTGCAGCGCGTTGCGCAGCACTTTTATGAAACGCGACATAATTCCGCGAGTGGCTAGGTGGTGGTTGTTGCTGCAGGAATTCCAATGCTCCATAGAATACAGAGCTGGCGTTAGGATGTCACATGTGGATGCACTATCTCGTAATCCGGTTTCAGATAGTGAAACTATCGATGCGTTGAGCCAGTATCCAGCAGTTATGACCATTAGTAGTGACGATTGGCTTCGAACCTTGCAATTAGGAGACTCCGAGCTAGGTAGAATTAAAAATATAGTTTCCTCGGAAATTGACGCAGATGGTTTGAAATATATTAGGGACAATTACGTCATTAAAGATAACCAATTATTTAAGATTATCGATGGCGACAAAGACAATCTTCGCTGGGTTGTACCGAAGGGAGCGAGGTGGCAACTGTGTCGGTTAAATCATGATGACATCGGACACTTTGGTGTGGAAAAGACCCTAGAGCGAATAAAGAAATCATATTGGTTCCCTAAAATGTCTAGATTTATTAAAAAATACGTTCAGGCGTGCATACAATGTGCATATGCGAAGAAAACCGCTAATGCTAAAGAAGGATATTTACATAGTATCGAGAAGGTCGAGGTTCCTTTCCACACCGTCCATATTGACCACCTCGGGCCCTTCGTGAGATCTAAACGCGGAAACACACATTTGCTAGTGATTGTAGAGGCGTTCACAAAGTTCGTATTCATAAAATCCGTTCGGAATACGAACAGTCAGAACGTCATACGTGCGTTAGAAGACGTTTTCTATATGTTTCGATGCCCTGACCGTATCATTAGTGACCGTGGGTCTTGCTTTACATCACATACCTTTAAAAGGTTTTGCTTAGACAAGGGAATTAAACATGTTTTAAATGCGGTATCTAGTCCACGCTCCAACGGACAGGTTGAGCGTTACAATCGATCAATATTAAATGCTTTAACAGCTCAAAACTTAGATAACGATGAAAGGGCATGGGATGAGAAGGTAGGAGTTGTGCAATGGGGCTTAAATAACACTATACAAAAGACGACAGGGAGAACCCCAGCAGAGGTGATGTTCGGCACGTCTATGAATGCAGAGTTAGTTCCAAAACTCAATGACGTAAGACGAAATACACAGGAATATAGTGATGTAGGAGAAATAAGAGAACAGGTTAAAGATAAAATACAAGCGGAACAAATTAAACAAAAGGAATATTATGATAGAAATAGGAAACCTGCGCGAACTTATAAGGAGGGAGACTTAGTTAAAATAACAAAGGTTGCTTTTAACAATGACGGGAAAAGTAAGAAGCTTTTGCCCTCGTACTCTGGACCGTACAGAGTTACACAGGTGTTAGGAAATGAAAGATACAGATTAGCAGGAATACCAGGACTGACTGGCACTAAGTCTAAGCGTAAAACTACGGTGGCAGCCGATCGCATGTTGCCCTGGGTTCACTTGGCGGCTCTTGAAGTTAATAGTGATTCTGGCGATGAAAATGTAAATTATTCTGCTTCAGAAAGTGAATGATATTACGCTACCTTGTAATTGAGTATTACCGTAATTGCTAGTATTCTTTTTCTTATAATACCTAATTAATCTTTACAAATGTATTATTTATGTTCTATGTTTACAATAGTTAAGATGAATACCTATTATTGAATGAATAGTAAAATGTAAGCGGAAATATATAAAGCTTACTAATATATAAAGAAGCTGTATACGTACGTAATTTGTTACAGTCGTGCCAGAATTGGTTGGGTTGGCATGCATCGTAGCACTTTACTTACCTGGCCCTAGTCTCTGTTCCCTCTAGAATTGGATGGGTTTGCGGGGATAGTGCTAGGGTTAGTTAGTCTTGTTAAGTCCACTCATGTTTATGTAAATGTATTGTGTTATAGTCGTGTCAGAATTGGATGGGTTGGCACGCATTATAGCACTTTACTAACCTGATCTCAGTCAGATTCCCGCTAGAATTGGATGGGTTAGCGAGGATCGTGCTGAGGTTAGCTTATCTTGCTAGAATTGGATGGGTTAGCAAGGATTAAACTTACTCTTGCGAGAACTGGATGGGTTCGCAAGTTAATTAATTAACATTATATCCTTTTGTCGTAAGAATTGGATGGGTTTACGACAAAGTGGTCGGTGCTCCTGTAAGAACGGGATGGTTTCACAATATATGAATTGATTTTTACGGCTGTTATTATTATTATTATTTGTTGACACTTGGATAATAGAGATGAAGTAATCTTAATATAAACAGATAAATTGTTAATAAGAATTTACTTATTGAGTATCTTTATATTTGTATGATGTATTTTTTTTTTCTTCTATCTTTATTGTTACATTGAATAATTGCGTAGACATACATGTTTTGTTAATGTTAGCGTTATAAGGGAAATTGTATTTAAATTGTATACAAATATGATTTAGTAAATGAAATTGTAAGTGTCCACCCTCGCCGAGTGTAAGGTTAGCATAATTCACCCAGGTACGTGTATGAGGACATACACGAGGTCAGGATGGACGAGTGTAAGGTTCCTAGTATTAATTACGTTATACAATACAAAAATCGACTATTTCAATAATCGATTTTTGTATCGATCTTTTGAAATAATAAAAATGAGCGGGAACGAGTGAACGAGTGAGGTGAGGGTTGTCTGTGGAACCGGGACGAGAGGGCGAAAAAAAAAAAAAGGGGTGGAGGGATATACGGTTTGGCGGGGGGAGATATAAGGGAGATTAGTCTTGTAACCTGAACATTAAAGGATTATTTTGTATTATACGACGAGTTTTATTACAGACTCAAAGAACCCTCAGACCGCCACAGATAAGACACACTATAGCCGATGTCCAGGTGTTTAGTCAGTACCTATATGTTAGAGTCTGACACTCACTCTCGTTTTTACTCCAAGCTTTTAGTAAAAATTTGAGAAGCCCAACCTTTTGCTTTTGCTCGATTACTAGATTTGAGAAGCAACTACTTTACCTAGGACGACATCACAGAATTTATACAATAGGTACAACAAAACCCAAATAAAAAAATTTAAGACTCTCTCTTTTCAACGTTAGGTAGCCGTTTTCATCTTGAAAATATTTTTTTTGTTTTTTTCCAGGGCTATGGCGATCGCTCTTCCAATGACATTTGGACGAATCGGCACATTCGCATCCGTACAAATCATCAATTTGATGTTGGTCAACAGCTGCGAAGCTGGCTTTTATCTTTTCTCATGTATTTTCGGAGGTAAGTTACCCTATACAAAATGCGACGACTTTCCTATAATATGGAAGCCAATGACATTTTTAACGTTTTTTGTATTACCTACAGCCTCAATGATTGTCGCGCTGTTTCTACCGGACGACCGTCGCCTTCAAAAACCAATAGCTCCAGCGCCAGAAACCAAAGTTGAAAATGATGAAGTACTTAGAAGAGAAAGTGAAAAAATGTCTTATTTGTAAATAGATATATTTATAAAATAGTTCATTTAATTTTAAGTTAGAGTTTATTTATTATCTTGTTAAGTTTTTCACTCATAAAATAGAACCAGATCATTGTAACACAATCTAGTGTAAGTAATTTAAGTAACTATGTGAAATAATCAAAAGCCTACAATATTATACTTGCAGTTTTACTTACAATCTTATTGGAATAATAAAAAAATCTAGTTGAAGAAAAGTTTACAAAGTTAGCTAAACGCACATAACAGAGCTAACTTGGTATTTGACAACTGTCACATTACACACTGACAGCTGTCTTCGTAAACGAACCAGTGTCGCTTGTCACACTCGGTTATCAAAAAGTCGTGATAAAGATTTCTATCAGTTGAAAGTGAAATAACTCTAAATTAAAAACATCGATCGCGGGCGGCGGCTGTTCCTCGCAGAGCAGAGCAACGTCCAAGGACACTTGGCTGATACAGAGGTGACAACAAAATTGTATTATTATGTTCGTCCTTGTACGTCGACGGCGATCAGGCGACCTATCGCATTGATTTTTCTATAAAGTGAGCTAGTAAATATTGGTTAACGCTCATTAATCAGTATAAGATGTCTTTGAGGTTAACGGTGTCGGCGCTATAAACATTGGGTCATGTTCTGCGGGCGCACATAAAACTGTTTAGTTTATCTTCATCACTGCGTGTGGTGACTGGAAGTGTCGGTCGCACGATACTGCTTAAGATAATAACCGTGATAATTGAAGGTGAGCCGATTATCAAACTTATTGCAGATTACAGAGATATACACTAGGAAGGCTACATACATTTTAAAGATAAATAAAATAATTTCAATGTATTCTGTGACACTTTATTAGCTGGTTGTTATTTAAAGTCAGATAGCAATCGTCATCTGATTTTGCGTGGCCAGATTGTTTTGATAAATTTGTTTGTAAAAAGATAACAAGTTTGGAATGACCAAATAAGATAACTAATGAATCACATATAGGTAACAAAGTACAAATTCATGTAAATTCATTAAATTATTTTTTAGCAATCTCTGAACTGATTGAATGCTATTTATCTACATGCTAATATTTCTGTCAACAATATTCAAATTTTAAAAAAAACTCAAACTTTATTTTTTATTCAAATCAATACAAATATTTAAATAAAACAGACCATTAACATTCCAAACAGTTTCAAAAACTTGCCATTACAAAAAAGTATTTAAATAATATTCAAGTGAATAAGTAGGTAACTACCTAATTTACATGCTAACCATTCAAAGTGAACATAAAATCAATTGTTTGTGTATGATGAAATCCTACAAGGGCTAAGCTTGATCAACATGTATCAAGTGTCCAATGATCCAGTTAAAATTTAGGTAATCCTGTTATAAAAACAATATAGTTATGCAGGTATTCATTCAGACCTACATCGCATTTGCATACCTTTTATGTTCGTGAGTGATACACAGATCTTAAAACAGTATGTAAAGTGTCTTTTATTTTTTTTAAACATGAAGTGACATTTAATTCTTTTGTGAAATAGATATAATATAGGCTTTTTTTAGATCCTTAACTTACATTATGTTACATTTACATTATATTACACAACAGAAATTTTATTTAGTAGTTTCAAAAGTAGGTACCTATTTATCGTTCAGTTGGAATAAATTATTTTGACTTTGACTTTAACTTTTATTATTTATGTAAGTACACATAATTACATTTAATTTTTAATTTGTAAAATGGTAACATTGGTTGAAAAAAATATAGGTTGGTGTTTTCTACAGCCACTTGTTGCTATTCATTGAACATCCGGTACTTGTTCTCTATTCAGTTAGTAAAGTTTTAGTAGTATTTGGTATACCTAAGTTTTATTCTATACTGCATTAGTTGGTTGATTTACCAATTCATTTTAATATAGATTTGACACTTATGATTTGTATTAAGTACTTATAATTTAGAGTAAAGTACAAATTTACACAACTTTATTCAAAAATTTAATATTTGAATCTTTTATCTGGACGGTTAGTAAGGTATAATGACCATATTTGCATGTGTAGTGGTTCAAGACCGGTAGACAGGCTCCTGGGCGGTTAGTAAGGTTAGTGTTCATATTTGCATGTGTAGTTTTTCAGGACCTAAGTGTTAGGTTCTTCAAATTTTAAAGGTTTGGATAACATAGAAAATTTTATATACTTACTAGTGTAACTGTCAATGCTGAGGGAGTATCTATCAATATTTATTGCGAAAAAAATACTAACAATATGAATCAATTATACTTATAATCATTTTAAATTTAAATTAATATTTTTGCTTAACATAGATGTTGTCAATAACTTATAGAGACTTAAATAATAAAAGTTACTTCTTCGTACTAATCTTACTAATAGTATAAATGCGAAAGTTACGATGTTTGGATGTTTGTTACTCAATCACGCCAAAACGGCTGAACGGGTCTGGATGGAATTTGGCACAGGCATACGATACACTCCGGAATAGGGCATAGAGTACGTAGATGTCAGACTTATAAAAAAATAATTCCTCCCTAATTAACTTAAAGTTCAATTTGCAACAGCTTAAGACAACGGCGCGAGTAATTCAAGATGGCGAGCAGTTCGTGGGAGGAGTTCTTTGCTGTCCATCTGCCGCCACCGGACTTTGAGGACAACAGGTCACTGCTGAAGGAGTTCTGCGAAAGACATGACCAATATGGGAACAAGATTGTACTCGTTACGGTAAGCCGAAATTAAAAATTTTGTTTTTTTTTTTCAATATCTCTACTTATGTAGGTATTTCTAATTTTCTGTAAGGGCTAGCCTAACCTTGCTACGGCCTTTTTCGTGTAGTGGGGTAGCAAATAAGCGTACGAATCACCTGATGGTAAACTATGGGGCTACTCATGGATATTGGAGCAGTTACGAGTGCTTTACTGGCCTTTTCGGGATTAGGAATTTTAGGATTGGGTATGGAGGAAGAGGGTGGATTGCGCTAACGGGCGGACCTCTCTAACACAGCGAAACATAACGCAAGCGTTGTATCACGCCCGTTTTTTTATCAATGTTTAACTAAGTATTTTTAGTAGGTATACTTATAGAAAAAGTATAACTTCGTGCTTCTTTAACATTATTCTAAGCAACCCTTTGACTAAAATGAGGACCTTATGCATATTTCTATTTATAAGTACTAACAAAATTTCAGCCTACAGTTTCTCTTACAATATTCAAACCGTTTGGAGTCACACACTAAAAGAATCATCAAGATTCTTTAGTTTTCGAGTGTGTCGTGCGCAGAGATGCGATATGATGAAATTTAGTATTATGCCTAATATTTACAATAGGTCGAAAATTGTTCCTAGTTTTTCATTTCGTACGTCATGCATTTGTGACTATAAAAATAAATGTATCTAATTGTTTCATTTCTACGACACACAAAAACCAACCTTGTAGTTTTATGATGCGCAAGCGACTTTCGGCTTTATGATACTAAAACAATTTTATGGCCGAATACACGACACGAATTAATGTCCATTAAGGTTGTTTATTATTTGTATGACGTCTATACAGACTCACATCAAGCTTCCACAATACCTACACTAATTTCTTTAATCTATTTTTAACTCAATTCCACAAGCAATAAAATTAAAGATCCATTATATACTGGAAAAATCAAAACTTACCGGCCACCTAGTAATGACATTGTTTAGATATGCAGGTCTAACCCTAACTATGGGATCTCCCTAAAGTAATTATAAAATTCTGATGTTACTACAAGCTCCGCTCGCTCGTATAATTTCTATGCAAAATTTAAAAGAATAATTAGCTGTTTATTACTGTTTTAACGTTAAACTAAATAAGCTATTTGTTTATAATTTCGCCTTAAAAAGTGTAATGAATCACTAAGGCTATAAAAAGTGAGTGATTCCCATAGGAACCATCCCATCAAAAACCGCATCAAAGCCAAGTTCATAGTCTTGGATGTTAACTTCAAGACACAATTTGACAGATTTACCATGTGATAGTACTCTTATGAGACGTGTAAACGTGTCGCAGGTACGATTCCCGCACGGAACAACTCTTTGTGTGATCCAATTGTGTTTCCGGGTCTGGTTGTGATGTGTATGTGAAATTCTATGTTACCCACGTCACAGGAGAAAATCCAAGTGTGGGGCAACGTTTTAAAAAAAAGGAAAAAATTACCGAGGAATAGAAATTGTAAAATATTTGCCTAAGCCAAAGTAATTATCCTAACGTGACAAGGTTCAATGCAATCAAGTAATTAGGTACTAAGGAGGTCGAACATAGGTACCTTGACCTTTATGTAACGAAATTACCCGTGAAATTCTGCCAGAAACGATAAGGGAACAACTAGTACAATATAGTTAAGTTAGTAATATGCCACAGCTGAAGGTTTCGCTTAGATTTAGTATTTGAATAATGGGCTAGCATTTTTGTCAAGGTTCAAAAACTTAGTAAAACTAGGCTACCTATGTGAATTACAGGACAGTTACACTAAAACACTTTTATGCATTAATTTGTGACTATAACAATAAATGTATGTTTCATTTCTACGATACACAAAAACCAACCTTGTAGTTTTATGATGCGCAAGGCGCAAGCGACTTTCGGCTTTATGATATTTTATGACCGAATACACAACACGAATTAATTTCCATATTTATATGACGACTTCACAGACGTTTATAAAAAACCTTATGTTGCCCTTTTTTAAACATAATCAATTAAAATGTCTCGCCCTTTTGGATCTGTTTCACTATTATAGACTTCAAATATATTACACTAGCTACTCTCGTACAGTTTCACCTGATACATGCCATACCGTGATGTTTTAGCCAAAAGCCTTCCTCGATAAGTGGCATAACGAATAAAAAATCCGAGATTAGCACGTTGAAACAAACTCTAAAGCTGGCTTTATTATATTAGTATACTTACGTAGATTTTTGCCTACCTTAATTACGACAAATAAACTTGTTAGAATGTTTAAAACTTAATCTAACTAACAAGCCGTTAATTTTATATTTTACGGCATATAAAAACAGATGGCTATAAAAACTAACTTAAAAGCCCTTAAGTACCTATATTTTAATCTAACATTAATAAACAGTAAATACTCCTTTTTTTAAGGGGAATATCATCAAATTACTTCTCCCGCCCAGGGTGGGGCGGGAGTGGGTGTCAGACTCTTACTGACCAAAAACCCCCCGTTCCTTCACCTGCTCTAGGCTGAGGTCGGTGCCTCATCGCACTTATCCCGCAACCCCGGCTGAACATCCCTATAAAGCCCCGTCTGTGGTGGTCTATTGGCTCTTTGAGGCGCACGCACATAATTACTAAGTATATATACTCCTAAACTCCGAAGTTTTAACTTCCAAGTGCGAGTCGGTCTCGCGCACGAAGGCACGTTCCGTACCATTCGTTTATTATTCATTAGAGCAATAAATGGCTTTAAAAGCAACATGATGAGATGTTCACCTCTCGGCCGATTTTATAGATGTTGAGTACGGAACCCTAAATATGAAAATTTAATTCTACGATTTGTACCGTGACTGCATTGCGTGTCCCGCTGTCCCAAGAGACGCGGAATGTAGCGCTAGTCACTATAAAACTGAATGCGGCGCTAAACTGTCTGCTATTATTACCGTGTCGCACGGATTCATTATCTATTAATTACAAGTTCATACTGTTCGCCACTTTAATAACGAAAACCAATCTTATTGTTATGAATGTAAAGCATGAAATGGTATTTTTTATGGGTTTGGTGATTGCGGATGGGGGATGATTAGTCAGGAACGTCTGCATTTGCGGCTCTCTTTTTACTTTGGTAAGCACCTTACGTAATGGATGACCAGCATGAGCGGCCTTGCCTTACCTTCAGGTGGTCTGTGTGCTCGTTGGCTCCCACGGAATATAGTAGAAGTGCCCCTACACTCTTTAAAAAGGAAAACCAGTGTCACCAAAATCACACATTCGCAAATCAAATTGTCCATTACACACAAAAAAATACTATATAATTGGGTAAAAAGTTGAAACGCAACTTTAGCAAATCATCTTCTAAACGTTGTTAAAAATTGAGTCTTATAACAATGAGCGAAAGTTGTTATCATTTCACATGTCACAATCAATAAAGGCGTCTATCGTGTAAAAAACTTAAATAAAACAATTTACAACGGGTTCAGATACTTAATGCTAGATGGCGCTGTAACAAATTCATTCTATTCAAAACGCTAAGTTATTTGAAATAGATGTCATATTTGTATGCACTTGTACCAATAGACATTACTATTTTGCTACTCAGATAGGGCAGGGTAACCCAATATATCGATGTTATTTATTGTATTCGTGTTAGCAATATATGTAATTTATCGACACGATATACCTACAAATAATCAGTAATGAAAAAAGGTTCTAATAGAAAAAAAAGAAAAATATTAACATTTTTTGACGATTTAATATTTTTTGGAGATGGTCAAGTTATTATTAAAGATTTCGATTTTAACATATAAAAGCATTACGCGCTCCTACAAGTTTTATCTCCTTTCCAACAAAAATATAATTATTAAAATCGGTTCATAAATAACGAAGACGAACGAACAAAAAAAAAACATGTACGGTCGAATTGAGAGTCACTCCTTTTTGTAACTGTTAAAAATCATGTACAATATTATAAAATAAAAATGGTGATTAACCACCCGCACCTACCACAGACGGATGCACGCTGTGTGTGGTTAAAACGTTGATGTGTCTATGCAATCTTAGTTAAATATTTATGAATTATACTCAAAAATTGTCAAAAATCAATTTTCTGAACGATGATGATGAAAAATTCTCGATACGAACCTTATTTACGAATGTGTCCCATCCCTAAATGAGTAGCGTCGAAACTACTGGAATATATTGTATATAACGTCACATGACGAACAAGTAGATTTAAACTTAATTGTAATGGAAATAAGGCCCTTTATAGTTTGCATTGAAGTAATGAAATGTGATATTTTCATTAAAATCAAATATATATAACAAAGGTTAATACTCAACGATGATACAATACACCACCAAAAGACACATTTTATTTTTCTGCTTACTTTTTTGCAGTTGAAAACCGCACAACAAGGCATAATTTCTAATATATTTCGTGTTTCTTAGAGACAACCATGACAACCGATCATGACAACGGAGCGAACGATTCTGACAGCGGATGTCCCAAAATGTTGTAAATCTATACATCATGTTGATTAGCGCGCGATGTCTGAGTGGCACTTCCACTATATTTTCTGTTCTGTGTTGGCTCCCTATTCCATTAAAATGTGAAGGCAGCTGCTATTTTTAGTCATTCTACGTTTTCCGTTGTTGGTCCATAAATGGACTGCAAAACACAATTAGTAGGCCCATGTGATGTAGTATTACATTTAGGTTTAGTTAAACCTTAGTAAACCTCACGCCTCCAAGATCCGACCTGAGCAAGAATTTTATTTTATGAATGAAATTCTTTCGACGTCTTTTTAAACTTTATACGCTGATATCATATCTGTCGTACCTATATTTATATTTTTTTAATATAACCTAAATATTCCTGAACGGACGGCGCATCACGTTCCGTGCGCGCCTCAAGACCGTTCAGACCAGCACAGATGTAGCAAAAAACCAGCAAGCACATTAATGTACCGCGCCCCGGCCCGGAGAAGGAGAAGATAGAGTCACTCCCTCTCTCCCAATCCAAAAAGTATGTGTATATATGTGCTACACCGCTTGTGAATCTACCTTGTATAATAATAGATAGCCGTGGGATGCCTCTCCTTCCCCAAGCAGCTCAACGTATGCTGCACCCTTGTCGCTACATGCTAGCGGCCGTTTCCAGGGGCCCATTTAAGTTTGCCAGTCACCCCCTGCCTGTTTATCCATATATATCAATATTGGTCAAGGGCAGGGGTCATAGTATTTCCATAGATATAGTGCTTAGTAGATCATAGCCCATACCCAAAACTGTATAAATTTTTACCACATTTCACAATAGTCCTGCATCAGCCGGTTATTTTCCTTGGGAGCACTTCCATAGAGTATTTAATAATAATGCAATAATCCCACATCTTCTTTCCAGTCTGGAGGCACGACAGTACCACTGGAGCACAACACGGTTCGTTTCGTGGACAACTTCAGCGCTGGTACTCGAGGCGCCTCCTCAGCGGAGTATTTCCTGGAGCAAGGGTATGCGGTCATCTTCATGCACCGTCAAAAGTCGCTGGAGCCGTTCACCAGGCACTTCACTGGCCAGAAGCTTCTGGATATGCTGGAAATTCAAGATCGAGGACCTAACACTACTATTTCGGGTATGTTTACATGTAAAGAGTTTCATAAAACTTATGCTCTTAATTTCTTTGACTGCAGAGAATGGTCCTAGCTTTATCGAGTTCATTTAGTACTATAAATCAAAATGTGCTAGCAAAAACAACTATTAAATATCTTTATTTGACTATGTTGTTTGACATTCAAAGGTGTAACCTGTAATGGACTAATTGAAATAAATCATTTGACTTTGATTTTGAGAAAGATACATTTAGAGTTTTTAGAAACAGTTAAAAATAGACACCACTTTCACCATGTTAGTGGTAAAACAAAAGGTAACCATATTTATTTATAATGATTATAAAATCAGAACAGTCTGTGACCCTGAGAATATTCCGTTAAGGTTTTTTTTTATACTTTGTATTATATTATAATCTTTTAGCACTAACAATTACTGTTATATTTATCAATTTCTTCAGTGAAACCGGACAGCGTAGATGTACTAGCTCCGATCCTTCTCCGCTATAAAGCTGCGCACGCGGCCGGCGCCATCTTGCACGTGTCATTCACCACGGTATCTGAATATTTCTGGCTGCTGCGGGCCGCCTGCGAGTGTCTGGCTAACCTGGGCGCCAGGGCCGTACTATATCTGGCTGCTGCAGTGTCTGACTTCTATATACCTAAGGATAGAGTGGTAAGTGGCTTGAGTAAAAAGGTTCCTATTCCTATATAAATGAGTAAGCATTCTCCATCGTTGCTATGTTCATCGCTTACTACTAGTGATGTGCCGGATCGCTAAAAATGAAGATCCGCGGATACGGATCTGAATACGGATATTTAGTGTCAAGATCCGCGGATACGGATACGGATACGGATCTTCAATTTCTCATAAGATTAGTGTCGCCGGCCGCGCGCGGCCTTGAAAAGATAGTTGACGTCTCGCTCGCCGCAACGTCAGACACGACATGTTTTGACTTGCATTGCGCGGGTGTGGTGTCATTCATTTATTATAGAAAACAATAATTATGTTTTAGTTATTTCACTGTCCTAAAAGTAAAGTTTTAACTTGTTCTCATTATAAAAATCTATGTATCTAAATGTTGGCAATATATACTTAGGTGCAAAATATATGATTATTTAAAAAAACTAGCTGGATTTTTTTTATTTCTACCTGATGATTAACTGAAAAAGATCCGTAAAAGATCCGCGTGTAAAATAACGGATACGGATACGGATACGGATTTTTATTTTTCCTCGGATATCCGCGGATACGGATACGGATACGGATATTCGGAACATCACTACTTACTACCAAGCGAGATAGATAGTGGCCAAATGCCTTAGAAAGTAATAATTAGAAAATATTACTTGCTATATAATGTGGTTTATGTAAAAATAAGTTGATTGACCTTTCGTAAACCGCTTTTGGTACAGAAACATACTAGAAATCCCCTTAGAGTTAGTGACTCTTCTTTTAAGTTACAATAAGGGTATTCTAGTAATGAATGAATAAAATGAATATATTTTAAATTATTAATAGTTACTAACTCCGGTCTTTAAACTAATCCAAACTGAAATATGAATACAATTTCAACTCTATTACAAAACTATAAAGACTAAACCCTCCCCCCAGGAGGCCGCGGTGACTCATTGCGCTCTTGACCTATAGCTTGATATAACAACTGACTATATCTTCGGTCTTCCGTCAGCCCACCCACAAGATGCAATCAGCCTGTGGAGCTCCCATCATCCAGCTGCACTTGGTACCGAAAATGTTGGCGCCATTGGTCAACTTGTGGGTCCCGGAGGCCTACGTCGTGTCCTTCAAGCTGGAGACAGATGAGAACCTGTTGATTCCCAAAGCTAGGGCTGCTTTGGAGAAGTATAAACATAAGGTAAGTTAGATACGGGAACAATTTAATAATCTATTTTTGAAATGACACAAAGCAATCGACAAAGTGCTGGGTACGTGTTTAAAATATTAAAATAGAATTTCATTTCTTGTAATGCTTTCAATAATTTGAGAATGGCTGAACTTTTTGTGTCGATTGTATTCATTTTTTAATTTCAATTTGGTTCATATTATTTTTTTTTCACTTGTGCATAGTTTTGTTTTTCTTCTCGTTATAAAAAAAACAACTTCTTTTTATATAATGAAAAAAGATCTTGAAGCTGCACTGAAGACAAATGAAATCGCAAGGAATCTATTTTTTTTTTCCAGGTTGTTTTTTTTTCGATTTTGGTTCTTATATTTGTCCTGATTACTCATATATTTTACAATGGTTGCAGATGGTTGTGGCCAATCTCTTGCAGACGCGTCATCACCGAGTGATCCTGGTGTCTCCCGACATCTCGCAGGAGATCGTACTCACCAGGGAGGAAGTTCATGCTGGTGAGAATTCGATTTAATTCCCATTAGTTTTTACACCTGCAACACCAGAGGAGTTACGGGCGCATTGCCGGCTTTTGGGAGATTTGAGTTTCTGAGATTTAGGGATTGGAGAGGGGAAGGATTGAGCCGCCGGTAACTCCGAAATTCAACGCTGTGGTTGTTTCACACCGGTTTTAAGTGAGGCCGTGATATCACATCTATTTTATACTCTATATAATATGTGCCCGAATTATTAAGTTCAGATTTTCTGTGTTCTCAACTTCTAAGTATACATGTATTATACTCGTCGCCAGCCAGTAACTGAACATCGTCATCGTCAACTTGATTAAGGCAAACACCATCTCACATTAATGCCGCAACTGCTGAATTTTTTGGAATAAAACTGCAAACAATCAGACAGATTATGTACCTGAAGGTAGGCAATCAATGTGCCCAATGGCAACACCAAAGAAGTAACAAGTGCGTTGCCAGCCTCTTAGGAGTTGGAATTTGAGAGTTGTGGACTTGCAGATTGGAGAGGGGTGGGGAAATTTGGGCTCCGGTATAGTCAATAAACACAAAGTAAGCGTTGTTTCACGTCGGTAGTCGGTATTATGTAAGATTGTGGTATCACTGCGGTCGAGCCGGCCCGTTCGTGCCGACTGCCGAAGCATGGCTCTCTCCCGTGGCTCTCTCACATTCCGTTCTTTGTTTTTGCAATAAAGTTGAAAATGTTCTGGTTAAAAACTGTGAGTTTTGGCGTAGGCGTGGACATCGAGTCGTCGATAGTATGCGAGATAGTCCGGCTGCACGGATGCCACATGCGGCTGGCGGGCGAGCCGGTGTCGCCGCCGCGCTCGCCGCGCTGATCCCTGCGAGCGCGGCCACGACTCTACCTCACCAATGAGTAGCCGCGCCACGCACATCCCCCAAAAGTCTCGAGAGACTTCTAAGTGTTGTTTACCCACTACAACTGCCATATAACTGGCACCAATCAGACTTGAACTACTTAACTGTGTTATCCTATAACTTCTGTGTGTGTTTCTAAGTGTTTTTGTGGACGCATCCCTAGCAAAGATCCTAAGCTGATTTTCTTTCGTATCGTTAAAATATTGAAGTCAAAAAATAAAAATATTACTTAATCTGTATACAAAAATATGGTAGAAAATCCGCTTAGTGTTTTCGCAAGTCTACACAATCTAGTGATGTCGTGAATCAAGTATCTTATATCGATAAATCTATGGACGCTACTGTAAATAGTAAAATTCGATGGACATATTTAATCGAGTCTTTATAAAATATTATAGCGAATATTTTTTATTCTGGTGTTTGTTGTAAGTATCTTTGTGACACTAGTGTTGTAATATCGACTTGTAAAACTATCGACTGTTTCTTAGTCGATATAAAAACTTCTCGAATAGGTAATCGATTACAGCTGTGTTATTGATTGATGATATTAATATCTTTTACCTTTCTCGGTATATTTTAAAGTTCACGTATACGTGTATAATTTTTATTTCATTTAATTATGTTTCTATATTGATACAATTCTTTATTTATAAGTCAATCTGTTAAAAAATCAATTGAATCATCGATATTTATCTAGTAGTTGTATTTGATGTTTTGTCACGTGTCAAGTAAAAAACACGTTGTCTTAATAAAAAAAATCGTGAATAATAAAGATAAAAGCGTCAGAAGGCGATGTTTTAAAATAGCTATCTGTTTAAATCTCAGCCTGACGCACGTGGTTCATTAACCCCAAATATAACGGTTATGGGTCATATCCCAAGATACGATAGCACAGCCCTTGGCCGTTTTAAGGTCGATCCTAAACCCGATAGCCCCAATCTCAACACAAAAAAATGCGATGACGAAACTATTCGAAATATTGACATTACTAAAAATGTTACAAGACTAAAAAATATTTTAATGTTATTGTTGTGTTGCCAGTCTCAATTATTTGTTGAATTATAAAAAGGTTTTATATCAGTTGCGTTTTTTGACTATTTATATTATAATGTATTTCGATTTAAAAAGTTTGAACTATATGTGCCCCAGTATGTTCTGACTAGATTTTATATGTCTGTAACGTGTAACTAGGAAATATATGTCTAAGTGTAACATAGTTTTAGACTGTACATAGATATAGTATTCAAAATATATCTATCAAGAACTTCCAATAGGATTTTAAATGTTTACTCTATAAAAGATATATCATAATTGTAACTATTTATTATTGAATTTTGTCATGGGGTAACACTGGTTTATAGCAAAAACGGTTATAGAAAAAAGTTTTGATATCGTTTTTGGTATAAAGAGTTTAATTGTTAGTTAAATGGTTTTTGATGTGTAGAATGTATGACATAATTATATTAATGTTAGTATTATGGTTTAAGAATAAGGTTTATAATTTAAATTATATAATATATATGTTTTTTATATTATAAATGTTTTATAGGGCCGTGGGGGCAGGTGAAATAACGTAGAAAAATATATCAACGTTGCAAACATTTTGAAAGAGGAACTTTTTTTAAAGCGGTGATACCTGTCGTGATTGGAATACAGAAACTTAGGCTTATTTTATAGGGATAATATTACCATACGTGGTGATAAGTGGGCGTTGCATGCATATACATACGAACGATGGTCACCTGCACCTCACATATTTATAAAAAAATATCAAATCTACAAATACATTATTTTGAACGGGCGAGATATTCAAGGACCCAATTCTGGTTCTCAAATAAAACTTTACAACTAAACTATTTTTTGTGAAACCAATATCGAAATCTCACAAATAATGTTGTTTTCTCCAAAACATCTGCTGTTGTGATTTGGAGGTAAATCACAACAGCAGATTTTTTTTAGATTTCCATATTGGTCTTATGGAAAAAATTAATTTATTTGAGCACCTGAATCGGGCTTTAAATATATTCCCCGTTCAAAATAACACCCTGTATAATATCATATTTGTATTAAAAAATATATCTCTTTTTATTTACAACTCTTACATACAATGCGATTATTGTATATTAGGTTTTATTACATTGAGGTAAGGTTTAAATTGTAATATATGTGTTGTAAGTCTATAACGTTGTGCAGGGCGTTCCAAAACTCAGTTATACAGTTTCCCCTTACGGCTACGACTGGTTTCGGGAATAAAGATAAATTTTGACTTTTTGTTTAATTGAGTTTTGGTGCACACTGTGTATTTTTATTTGTAAATGAATGGTTAAATGTTGTCTTGTGGTAGACTTAAACCCTCAGTTCTCCTTCTAACTAGATATACCCCTCAGGACCACAACTTTATAAGACGAATATAAGATAGCGTTTTAATCAAAAATAAACCTTACGACTCATTTTTAAAAACTATTATAATCTGTAAATTGAAAAATTCAAGCCTTATTTTAATTGCCTTATTTGAAATTTTTGTATAATAGACTATCGTGAGATATAGTTATGAAAATAAAGTTTATATGATTTGTCATTTCTTACTCGATACCGACTAATTTCGAGCTACACCGGGGTCCTTAATTAAGACTAACGGGCATCTCCGAAACAGTTATCAGAAACGAAAAGAGTCGTATAAACTTTATTTTTAGTTTTTTAGAAACTCATTAATGTTATAGTTTTAAAAGCATTTCTAGTAGTTATTGAATATTTTGATTTTTATTATTGCAAATTTTACACGAAGACATGGTTTTACCATTTGTAATTGACTTACAGTTAGCCTAGACAGGTATTTATACTACTGTTAGACATAATAAAAAAGTTTTACATATCAAAAGCACATAATTGTCTATCAGTGGACAGTCTCATAAGTTTTTTTTTTACTAGCCGACATATTTGGCGGCCGTTCTCAGAGACATTTAATGGTTACTTAAGCTCTTTCTTAGTAATGTTTTTTTTCTAAAGCAATTGCCAAGGCTGGGGTAGTTTTTGAGGAGAGAGAATCATCCTATGCCTCCTCCAGACATATGTGGGGAAAGAAGGAGTGTCAAAGTTGTACTGAATATACACCACTCCGTCCCATCTCCTGCTTCGAAGCAAGACCTCGGTATGCGCTATGCGAAAGGCTAATTCAAGTAACCATTGAATGACTCTTGAAAACGAAGGTTACTCACGTAACTTGTCTAAGTTATGCTAAAAAGATCTACGCGACCTTAGCGACGTTGGTTACTCACTCTGTCCATAACTATAAGTCCCGGACGTGATTTGAAACTAGTCGAGTAGCGTCGAACATTTACGTGAGTACTGTACGACATGTTTTCAAATGTTTGTTATTTGAAGTTCATTTGCTTCCCGTGTTAGTCATTCTGTTGATAATTATTTTAACACAATTATCATTAATTTTGTTGATAAGCCTCCTAGATAACTGAGTGCCGGTTTTATCGAGTTTCGAGCGAGTACTTGTGATCTCTTATTGTTCTTTCATTTTCTTATCTGCTTAGTACCACTTCGTTTGGATAGAGATGGCGTTTTTGAACGATATTATTAGCTATTCGCGCTCGGTTTACTTGCAACCAATGTTGTAGCGCGGGATTTCCTCGATTAATGGACTATCCAACTAATTTTTTTTCGTTGGTAGGAAATTTTCTATGAATCCCAAATCACAACGGGACTCATGAGCATCGTACGAGTCGCGTTGAAATTGCGTAGCCGACCTACTGCTAGAGTTTATGTCAGTAAGTATAAATAAGTCGTTATTTTCAATAATAAGAAACTCGTGCTGTCCTTAATTATGGCGATAAAACTAAAAAATTTTACAGAAAGCCGTCATTAAATTATTAAATCCTATTTAGTTGTCTAGCAGAACGCCATCATTAATTAACATCATTTTTGAAGCCGGTTTTTAAAAAACATTCGGGAAGTACTTAGCCTCTTTTAGGTTGACAAATCAGATTTATTTAAAAGAAAATTTTGTTAAATTCTTTACTGATTTCGTAAAACATATTCATTGTACAAAGCTCTCGTATGAATCAGTTGATCATTCAAAGAATTTTAATCGATTTAGTAATATCTATCCAAGTTTTTAAATGTATGATAGATAATTAAAATAAGTGTTGATGCTGCTACATAGGATGGTATAGTTCATCATTGAGATATAGTCATCATTATATAAGAGCTCTCTTCTCACACAGAGAAGGTTTTAGCATTAATCACAACGCTTGCTCAAGGCGGATTGGCGATAACAAACGTATAAATTACCTTACACCATATGTAAAGTAGTGTGTAAACAATGATAGAAAATACATATAACTCAGAAAAAGTCACATTGGTACTGGCCAGGTTTTGAAACCGCACCCTCAGCATGAGAAGCGGAGGCTCTAACATCCGAGATTCAGCAACAAACTACATTATACAGACATCAATCGTAACGTAACATCTAACATGCGTCGCGAACGTGTATCGTTGCGTGTCACGTGTCAATCGTCCAGTGAATTTAATACCTAAATATACCATTATATGTAGCAGCTTATATATTCACGCTCCTATCCAGGAATGCTAGTTAACATCAAGAGATGGACATTTACTTTTGTTTTCTTATTTTAAATTTATTTAAACGTGCTAGGCAATCGAAATTCTGTTGTAACGTGTATACCAGATACTAAATGGGTTTGTAATAAGTCACTTTGCCCTTTGCTTTTTTTTTTTTTTTTGGAGTTTATGGCCTGGATGCCCTTTGCTTTGGCACTAAGCGACCACAGATTATACATAAGATTTTGCAAGTCATTACAGACTGCCTACAGAACTAATGCCAAAATAATGAACAAAAATCGATACTATTATCGAATAACTCGTTCCTAATGTTCTAGAACTGATATTAAAATTTGTAAAAAGATGTTTGTTCGTAAGTTTGATTGGATTTTTTTTTTTCATTTTTATTTTACTCCAACACTTTGTAGACATACGGGAATCTATATGCGACATTTTCTGACTCATAGATAGTCTTCATTGGATTTCAGTTATTTCAGAAGCTTAATATAGAGACATTTTGAAAGATCAATTTTGTTTATGCTATTCGTATTAATGTCAAAATGCATAGATAAAAAAGATTTGTCTCTCTTTCCCGCGTATTTTACATTGTGTTGGAAAACAAAATGAGTAATTTAAATTAAAAAATATTTATTTGGATGATGTATAAAGCGCTGTGTTTAAATTGTAAGTAAATGTGTGTATTTGGATATAAAGGGTATTTATCGTATAGATGTTGTGACGGAGTGGTGTTTATATCAGACTTATAGAAATGTTCTATGTAGATACATATTATACCCGTTGTGTGTTTGTATGTTTGGGTGGGAGTTTAAACTCCATTTTCATTAACAATTATGGTCTATTGTAATTTTTCCAAAATCTACCAAATTGGTAGTTTCTCAAGCTACTGGCAACACTGAGAAAAAGAACTCCCACGCACACATGCAAACAATGATTGTGTAAGTGTATTATCATGTTTTATAACTATTATATCATATTTTATGAAACGTTGATGTGTAAACAACCCGGTCCTCATGTTCTTCGAGTATTCAATCCATATATTAATAGGTGTACTCTACGTATCTATTAGCTATTAAAATCTTTATGTACTTGACAATAAGGTCGAATACAGTTTTAAATTTTCACTTTGCTGTCGTGATGTAGTTGGTGACTGCTCTAACGTAAAAGAGCCCTAAAATCGCCTATAAATGCAAATATCCTTATAGAAACTTGCCTGATGTTCAGATATACAATAAAATCTTAAGTTTAACTAGTAATGCTAAATAAAAGTGAATGGAATTGCTAGTAACACTTATAGGTTTAGCCACGCCTACTAAAGTCAAAGGTCAACCTTTGGATGGGTGGTTCGCAGTCACTGACTTCTTCACAATGGCAGAGTATTCTCAGCACAATTCAAAAGCAACAGCTAGACTAGTTTCTACTTCTAGATTTGAAAATACAAGCGAAAAGAGCACGAATTTAATTTGGTAATTTACCTTAGTCAAAAGTAAATGGTTTCGATATTTCAATACCAATACATATAAAAAAATATACTTTCAATTGGCATTATAATTCTCGTGAGATATATTTACTAAGGGTGTCCAGCAGTGTCGATTGTCGCCGCTCATGATTATAGACTACGCGTAGCTTGAAACTTATCGAGTAATCTCTCGTAACACTGTTATGTGTTTACCTACACTTTACTTTTACTATAATAATAATAATAATTGCTTCATAATCAGCCTATGAGTGCCCACTGCTGAGCAAATGCCTCTTCTCACACGGAGAAGTTTTGAGAATAAATCACCACACTTGCTCAATGCGGGTTGGCGATTTCAAACTTATAAAAGTCCAGGTTTCCTCACGATGTTTACCTTCACCGTATGTCAGTGGTGTCTAAATAATCATAGAAAGTACATATAAATCGGAAAAAGTCACATTGGTACTTGCCAGGTTTCGAACCCACACCATGCATCATGCATGAAAAGCGGGCTCCTTAACCTCCGGGCCACCACGACTTTCGCGAATAATTGCTTATTTTGAACGAATGATTTCACCATCATCGTCCTTTCAAATAACCTACCAAATTAAATTCGTGCTCTCTCTTTCTCTCTCAACGAGAGACGTTTCTACTTATAAGAATGGAATGCTTTCGTGGTTTTTGTTACTTTATTCAAGTCAAATAAACAATGCAGAACAATCGATGTGACCCTTACAATAAATCACCTGTTTAATAGAAAACAGAACTAACTAACAAAAGAGGATATTCCAAAATTAAACCTTATTATTGGAACATCAATTGTAGGATTCAAATATCTTATTTGTGGAGTTAGGCGTCTTTTCTATTAAGCATACCTACGAAATACGTGCCTACGTATTTAGTCGTAAAGTAGGTACACAAACAAACGGATATATGAGATTTTCTTGTAATTTCAAAGTCAAAATAAATTATTCCAACTAAACCGTATACTTTTCAAAATAGGCCGTCAGTCTGTTCGTCAATGAACAATGAATTGGAGAATTAATGGGTCAAATATTACTCTAGCCTCGAAAGAAAAGGTTTTAAATTTAAAATAACAAAGTTCTGTCACGTCATAGTTTGAATGTTTCTTTTTTTAATTTGGCTAAATTACAACTGGTTATACTTCTCCCACGAAAGCATGAAGTTCAACTTTCAACTTCTACCTAAGTATAGTGCCTATGGTTCCGTATAACGTACTGTACTGTGAGTTTATGTACCGTGGGTATCTATCGTTGTGATATTGTACTGTCTATGCTACTCATGGAGACTTTACTACACGTGGATTAAATACTTTGGCATATTTTAATGTATTCACTTGTTTTATTTCACTCACTCTTTCACTTATTAGGTAGGCGTGGGACGGCCATGCCTCGGCACTAATAGATCGGCTCGATTGGAAGAGTACGACGGCCGGTAAAACACTTATATTGTGTTTTGCCGTGTGAGTGAGGATACCGACTGCCCGATCCTTCCTCTCTTCCAATCCTTAAATATCCAAAACCCTTTTCCACAAAAGTTCGGCAAAGCACTCGTAAGTCCTCCATCATATCGGGTGTTCATGGGCAACTTCCACAATTCCACCATCAGGTAATAGTCTGGCCGTTTGCCGCCTTGTCTCATAAAAAACACCAATTGAAACAAGAATTTTGAACATAAACGAAAAGACTGATCACCAGTGCCTTGTGCGAGTTACGTTATAACGAACGAAAGTATCCCGCATTTAGCCCTCTGATTAGTTCGGCTGTTTGGGAGGTCGTAGTATCACTTCAGTCGTGCCGGACCTGGTGGCAAAGCATGGCTTTCATAAGTACGAATTCCTTTTTTTATGTAATAGGTCGGCAAACGAGCAGACGGATTACCTAATGGTAAGTAGTTCAGCGCCGCCCATGGACACCCGCAACGGAGGAGTAACGATGGCGAATGTTCACGTTGCCGACCTTTTAGGGATTAAAGTTTTGGAGATTTAGGGATTGGGAGGGGAAGGATTGCGCCTCCGGTAACCTAACTCACACGGCGAAACACAACGCCGTGGTTGTTTCACGTCGGTATTCTGTGAGGCCGTGGTATCACTCCGGTCGAGCCGACCCATTCGTGCCTAAGCTTGGCTCTCCCACAATTAATTCCTAAAGGCAAACTGAAATAGCTTTCATTGATTGTTTTTTTCTATTCTATAACTTTCTTTCTTTGGATAACATACCAATGACTTGTGTTCTAACCCTTCTCATTCGAGAAACCATAAAACCAACACTGATTTGTCGGTGATCGTTGATGTTATTGTCGTCTTATTGTTACCTATCGACGATAGTAAACTACGTGTGAATTAGTGCCAAATCAGGTAGAAAGACTGGACAGCCATCAGCAACTTGCTTGGCATCTCAAACATTGTTGAATGTGATAGGGCGGGAAACAGGCAACCTAGTTACCTGATAATAACCAATCGGCACCGCCCATGGACATTCGCACATGGACATTCGCAATACCAGAAGTGTTAACTGTGCGTTGTCGGCCCTTTGGGATTCAGGGTTTCGAAGATTTAGGGATCGGGAAAGGAAAAGAGGTTTGGGCCTCCTGTAACCTTACAAGGCGAAAGATCGCAGCACGCCGGATTTCTATGCGGCCGTGGTATCGCTCCGGTCGAGCCGACCCATTCGTACCGATTGTATCGAAGCACTTTCCTCACTTTCGGTATCTGAACTTGGTGTAAATTATAAATCGCAGTCGAATACACAGCGTTCTGGACTTTCAGATTGCAACCCGCATAAGTCCTTATTATTTTTTCTCTATTTTCCATAATGTTTATCAAACTATGGATGACCCTAGTTTTCAAAATAAAATAAAACATAAAATGACGTTTTCTCAGTTCAAAGTTGTCATGGCCTGTCAGAATTGCACTGAAATATTTGTAAATACATAAAAGTACTCGTTTACGTGGTTACATTAGTGTCGAATGTTATAGTTTGTATTATTTTTGTTCTAAATTAATTAAACATGGTAAGTAACACATACGCTATGTGAAACACAACAAAAGTTTGTATAACGAACCTAGCAAGTAGACACTCAACCCTATATTTTGTTCACGCAACCAAAATAAAAAGAAAATGAAAAGAAGTATTAGCACAAATAATTCCTTTACCGCGAATAGCATTACACCATTTTCATTATCTCAAATGTTTCAGGATGATGAATCAGAAGATGTAGTAAGTGAAGTAAAACTTTCAGAATCACAAAAAAGTGTAGCCATGTCAAATGTGTACTCTATGGACTTTACGGACAGCAGCTCGGAGAAACACAACTCCTCGGGCATGGAAACATATGTCTTAGAATGGGACAGTGACGACAGCGAATCTTCAGCTCTACACGGCAATGCTAGCATCATCAGCATGAGGGACAGGCCTGCCAAACCTGTCCACATTAACAAAGACGGACAAAGTGATGTCATAAAGAAAATAGGCAAATCTTCCTCCACCAGTCTAAACAAATGCTCCATCATTGCACAAGAAATATTCACACAAACCAGTAAAACTATTATAGAGTTAGCTGAGAGTGATGGCGCGGTCCGAAAACCATTCGACAGTAAAACATTAGAAACACAAACTTCCTTCATCTCCATAACAGAAAACAGAACAGTAGAGTATAGAATAAAAGTATCTGGTGCAGCACAAAATTTTAATAGAAGCGAAATCGGTGATTGTCACTATCACAACCTCGATTTTGTAACCTCCCCACGAATATTCCCGAACTCCATAGACGATGGTTCATCAAAATTCGTAACATCTGAAACAGAAAACGAAAAATTCGAGGACGATACCAGTAATGATAGTTCGTGTAACAGCAAGAAACGTGTGGAAGTAGTGAATGACGATTTGAAAGATAATGACCTGCTCCCGTATGACGAAATAAACGAAGATCGGTACGAGGACACCAGTGAACTTGAACAATCGCCAAACATCAGTGATTTTGAAGAAGACTCACTTATGGAAATGAAAGCTAAAGATAGGAAACATGAGAATGAAAGTGACACTACGGTGGTCACGCCAAAATCTGTTGATAACGATGTTGCTGAACTCTACAATAAGTTATCAGAAACCATGGAATTCCACGCCTCGAACCAAGATCACGACAAGAAACGTGTTGGGTACCTGACTCCTTTAACAGAGGAGTCAGTTCCCAAGAAGGATAGTGCAAGGGAGATGGAATGTGGTACATCTAACATCATTGACCTGACCAAAGATGACAACGATGTGTTGTTCACAAATAATGCTGGAATAAAAGTTAAATTATTCCCTAAACCTGAATCGAATAAAGAACTCGATAGTTTTAAACTACCCCCCATACAGGGAAGTAACAATAATACTGATGGCAACTTAAACTTTTTGTTTAATGGCAGTAAAGGAACTAATAAAAATAACTTACCGGGTGTTAATGATGACCGAAGGGATAGAAGTTTGAATAGAAATATCGATAGATGGGAGATAGGTACTAAGGATCTGGCATCAGGAGAGAGCCCACTTATTAGTGGAAGGAGTCGTAAGTATTACAAAATCCAAAATTAAGTCTTGTAGGTATCTAAAATTGGTTGTTTTGTGTGCGAGGCTAATTATCCCATTTTACGTCATAAAATATATTTTACGAATAGAACCAGGCCCTGTTGCTTCCCTTTTCTTTTGGAAATATAACATTTATTTTGTAATTAGACTCTGCGAGAGCGTCGCACGGGTCCGTCCAGCTGCCGCCAATCCATGTGGAAGGTCATGTCGCGCACAGCTCCAGTAAACCTGATCAGCACGCGAGCAAAACAGACGCCACGGAGCCCACCTCACCCATTAGTATTAAGGAGAAAATCAGGGAACTGAAAATGAGTCACAGACCACGGAATTCTTGGATTAATTCTAAGTATACATAGTAAGAATAACGATGACAAAAATATTTAAACACGTCAGCTAATGACTTCACTAAGAATAGGCATCTACTCGTGGCTTGATAATTACATTTATAGGAATAGCTTGGGATTATCACAAACCTAGAAGTGGACAGTCTACTTGACTTCTAAAATTCTCATGTTTTTACCAGTGGATCAGGCAGTAGAAGTGGTTCGCCGAGCACTGTGTCTCCTGATGAGAGCCGCGTGACAGAAGCTGCGGAGCGAGGGTGTGAGCTCATCTGTGTTGAGCTACTTAAGAAACTGCGCTCGCAGTCTTGGTTAGTCACGTTCTTATAACGCTCCCTTTGTTCTCATCAACTTTTAAATGGTGAGCACTTATAAGTTTGCAGAAAAAAGCCTCTTCTCACAAGCAAGAGGTTCAAGCACTAATCACTCCGCTTGCTCAAGGCGGATTGATGATTTCAAAATGTAATTAAACATTATTAACACAGGTTTCCTGACGATAGAATTTGTGGCAGATCAGAACCAGACCCGAGCGATGGGGCTGCCTAATGCACTCCACCCATCTGTGGTGGCCTATTAAGCCATCAAGTCACTATAGATGTACCCAATGACTACCTAATCTAATATTATTTGTCTCCAGGTTCGAAGTAGCGGACACCTTAGAGGATCTTCCTCGTGTGATGGATAAGTTTTGGGGCGTCATAGCGGAACATAGGATTGCTGACCTTTTACGACAAGTAATAATTTACTTTCAAAATTAATTTAGCTTGGTTTTAAATCTTTCCAAAAATGTTGAAATCCAATTTATTTATTTTTGCTAAAGTAAATATATGAGTGCAAAACTTTTTCGCGACAATTTTAAAACAATATCGATACTACCCGAGGCTAGGTCACTCAAAATATACCTTACGGTCCAACCTGGCAAACTCTATATCAACTCAAAATCAACTAGTCTTTTCTAACCTTTTATACCTTACCTGGACGTCCACAAATATTTCAATAGGTACCAATTCTAACTAAACCGGTCCAGCCGTTTCAGAGTTTGACAAGACTAACGAACACCAATTCATATTTCTATAAGAACATATTAACTTAGCTACATAATATTTGAAAGCGTGTAGTAAATAGTCTTCAACTGATTTTTGCCGTAAGGTGACTGCACACGTGGAATCTCCGAGAACGCAAGTGGCCCGCGCCGCGTGCAACACTCTCGCCATGATACTGAAGAATACTAACTACACTAAGAAACCGGTCAGTTTTCGCCTAAAATTTCGTTTCATAATAACACCTACGACTGCATTCAATGAAGTTTAAGCCATAGCTGCCCAGGCTACTGAAGGTGAGTTACAGGTCAAGCGCAATAAGCTTCAGGCTTCAGCTGCAGGATGATTTAAGGAGCCTTTCAGGCCTAAGGAACGGGGGGCGTTTAATCAGTAAGCCTCTTGCCAAACACTAGGCGAGAAAAGTAATTAAATGATGTTGCTCCTCAAAAAAACACTACTGAAGGCGCCAGTGTAGCTAATGATCTAATACTCATGGATGTTTGCAAACGTCAGTCAACAAGGTAAGTCAGTACGATGCGCCCCTTCAGCTCCATTTCGTGATTTCAAAATCGAATCCCATAACCTCAATAGGTTTTAAGGCCACAAAACACAAGCTTGTGCTTACTTACAATGCTTTAAATTTATCTAGACTTCTCTTTTATAATTCCAGGACTTTTACGAGGCAGTTACAATATTATTAATAAAGACTGGCAGCTTCAGTCGCCCTGTGAGACGTGCTGCCAACATGGCGCTAGACGATATAGTCTGTGGCGTTGACTTGAGCCACGCCATCACTGCCGTGTGTATACATGGTGCTAGGTAAGTATCAAAAACAGTTAGATGAGGCGGAGGCTTTAGAAATTTGTAACTACGCCTAGTCTTCATAGACCCGAGCTTAAGGCGCGCCTCAAAGAGCCAATAGACCGCCACAGACGGGGCCCTATAAAGCTGATGCAGCCGGGGTTGCAGGGCAAGCGCAATGAGGCACCGCGGCCTCAGCCCAGAGCAGGAGAAGGAACGGGGGTGTTTTAGTCAGTAATAGTCTGACACTCACTCCTGCCCAACTCTGAGCGGGAGAAGTCATTAGATTATTTACGCCTAACAAAAAAGAAACCAGTCTTCATGGAAATGTCGTAAGAGCAGCATCACTCCCTGTCAGACTTGTAATTTTAAACTTCACAATCCAACACCCTAATCAAGCCTGGAGATTAAGGCAAACCCCCATATCTAAAGAAAACTTATGTTCCTACAGTGCGCTATTACGCGATGTAGGCGATTACACAATTATAGCAAAATATTCAATGTTTACAACTACTTTAGTTCATGTTGAAAGAATCCCTAGCTTCGTAGCAATGCTCGTTATACCCTTTACACCCGTTTCTAATGTGTAGTGGTCGCGTGGTACTTAAATATTGAATAACACTAAACACATAATCTGTATTCTGTGACTCTGTGCAATGTTAACCTGGGCAAAAAATTGCTTCAAACTTCGTAGCGCGTAGCAGGTGTGTCGTAGCCCATAATTCGTAGCAGGTAGCATGTGGGTTGTAGCCACTCGTAAGTACATGTCTTGTAGTCCGTAGCTTGTAACCCGCAACGCAACAGTTCATGCCAACCACCTAAGAAATAAATTAATTTGCATGTAAGCTGTTTTAAGTGATTAGCAAATAATACGTAAAATATAAGATATCGAAACCCGTAGCCCGTAGCCCTCATAATCCATGACATTGACCGACGAACTACTCCTGATTCTAATCTTTATAATAGAAATTATAGCTTATGATCGAGAAATTGCTTAAAATAATTGGTTCTATATTCAGTCACAAGAGTCCGCTAGTGAGGTGCGCGGCGGCGCGGCTGCTAGTGGTGTGCTGCGCGCTGGGGGGCGGGGGGCGGGACTTGCTGCGCACACGCCCGCCCACCGCCGCATGCGCACGCAAACACGCGCTCCGCTCGCTCGCTTTGCTGCTTGATGATAAAAGCACTGAAGCTCGGTATAGTATACAAAAATCATAGTTTTAATAAGGTTTAAAGTAAAGTCTGTTTGACGTACAGTTCAAATAAAACTTCTTTTAGAGCCTTATGTCAATCAGAATCGTTTTAATAAGATTTTTTCATATTGACTTAGCTAAGTAATAGTCTTCTAAAGCATTTATATAAAACAATAAATTTTTACAGAAAATACGCCGAACGTTTGTACTCAATGTTGCGTCCATTAAGCAATTTTGAGGCTTATTACTTAACTGACGTGGACCTGGACACCGCGTCTCGGCAGATGAAGAAATATGACCAGCTACTGCTGTGCGGGCCGCCGGAGTCTAGGTGACGTTACACGACAACTAATTATTGACTCTGCCAGATCTGTCGTGGAGTAGCACAAGCGTCACTGTGTTTGTGACGTCCTCACCTCCTTGTAGAGAAACCAGCGAATGATATCGACCTAAGTATTAGTTTGTACGTGTCCATTACTGATTTAATTTCTTATTTCTTGAATTAAGAGAAGAAAATACTGCTATATATGGATGCTTTCTCTATTCAATCTATCGACGACGACGTATTCGAATCTTTTAGTGCTTTTCTGATTGTATAAATAAATATATAAATGTAATATTCAAAACACAACAACATTATTTACATAATATAAACACAAAAAATAATATGTTCACTGAACTTATTTGGGTACCGCGCGACTTATTCATCTGTACATTTTTAAATCAGTTTTAGTTTTCTAATTACGTTTAGAAAGAATTAAAATAAAGTTTATTAAAATTTCGAACACATTTCGCATATTTTTTTTTCCTTTTGCTTTAGTTTATAATGTTTTTTACACAATTATTTATAAACCATCAAACAATCTATTTTAGAACGAATAGCAGTTTTTGTATTATACATTTTTTTAACTACTTAAAATATTTTGTCAAAATTCTTATTAAATGGTCGTATAGGTACCTACTCTTTCTTCTCCAAATTGAGGATAAGAAATCACATATTATGTTTCTGTGTATGTGTGTATACATATACCTACAGCGAATCCATAAAGTAAAACCTGTTATAAAATGTATTACAAAATCGCGTAAAGTAAGTTCAGCTTAATCTTACTAAATTCCTTATTTAAAAATGTCGGCCATCTTTTTTCCCTGCAATCGGATCCTGTTAGACCCGTGGTACCCATGTGAAATCAATCGATAGTTAATCTGTATTTCTATAATTTCTATAATATAATAAAACAAATTAGTTTGCATAACCGAAATAGAGTTTATATAAATATAAATATATATTTTTTTACATAATCATCCGATACTTATTTATAAAACCTTTTAATCTGAGACAGTTTGTAGATTTTCGCTCTGAGTTTGTTCCGAACCACGGTTCCAAGATAAGTTTGACATTGAGATTTATAGTAAACCATGTAGATTATGTGGTTTGTTTTATTTTTGACTAGATCCTGACATGGTTTTGACTCCATTCAGTGTTGACAATGAAAAATAGCCTCTAATTAAGTTGTGCATAAGAAAAGACTGTTATATAATTATCATTATAGTAATTCCTAAACAGATTTACAATGACGCCGTCTCCTCCTTTTGTGAAGCAGTCATGCTCGCAAAGAGAGAGGCGGCCCGCGTGAGGGAGCAATCCTCCTCCTCACGCCCCAGCAGCCGCAACTGGCGACACTACGGGCGTCGGGGACGATCTCCGGCCACCGTAAGCACGGGCCTGCGGTCGGCGAGTAAGGGCAGCTCGCCGCCCGACCAGAACCAGACCCGAGCGTACGGCGCGTAGCGTTCCGCGCCCGCCTCAAAGAGCCATTCGACCACCACAGACGGGGCCCTAAAGGGCTGATGTTTAGCCGGGGTTGCGGGGTAAGCGCAATGAGGCACCGCGACCTCGGCACAGAGCAGGAGAAGGAGCAGGGGAGTTTTTAGTCAGTAAGAGTCTGACACTCCATCCTGCCCGGCCCTGGGCGGGAGAAGTCATTTGATGATTTTCCCCTCACAAAAAAAAACAGATTTACAATCTTTTAATATATATACCTTGTATCAATTTGGATTGACCTGAATCGTTCCATATGGCACATACCGTGAAGCCTAGCCAATCAGCTATTTTTGGTTTGACATTAGACATTGCTTTAACACAACTATAATGGAATAATATCTATCATTCATCATGTTTCTTATAACACAATCACGCGCGTATCAGATGGGCTGACATTTGACTGATAAGTGCGACGTTAATGAATGATTTTTAGCGCAGCTTGCATGATTCACGAATAGAAGCGGAGTGCACGTGTAATGGCGTACGGACGGCCGCCCTAGCGACATGATCGCACGACACATCGCGCGTATGTAGTGGTATACAGTACATAACCAATGACATACAGCACGGACAAACAACTTGTGTGTGCGTAAAACTTGACTAGCACGACACCAGTGTGCGTAAGGGCCCCGCAAGTGCGGATGCACTGAGCAAGCACCCACACTGCACCAACCAAGGCTAACTCAGCAACATTATATCAATACGTTCTATTGATAACTTTCTACGTGTTTCCAGATTACGATTGTATTTAAAATCTAATAACAAAGCCATTTTATCTTATAATGTGATCTGACCTGGTGATCTTGACGTAAGTGCGCCTAGATAGTGCGTCGATACATCTGTTATTGGTACGGTGAAGCTGCCACAATCGTTCAGGTCACTTGGATTGTCACAACAATTGCAACTTGCGTGCGCGCAAATACCTCGCGCCTCGCTAAACAGATGAGCGTACAACGTGCTCGATTTGCGCCACGTCTGCATAATTCTAACGATAAATATAATTATCTTAAATAGTCGTCTTTGAAGTACGATGCACCAGGCCATAGTTTTTCCCTCATTGTGTTACGTATTCTGGTAGTACACTTAATGCTTCGTCAAGCGTAATAATATACCGCGACCCCAGCCTAAAGCAGGACAAGGAACGGGGTTGTTTTAGTCAGTAAGAGTAAGAAAACTCCCTCTCGCCGTACGCAAGGCGACAGAAGTCATATGATGATTTTCCCCCTCAATAAAATAAAAAAACAATAAAAGTATCTTCGTTTCAAGTAGCAAAGCGTCGCCCTTTTTATGCTAAGCACTATTCTTAGGTTTTCCAACATGTCCTTAAATATATTAAAAACTAACATGAAATGGTCAGTTGAAATAGTTAAAGAAAAAGAAATCTTTTATTTTGAAAATGTATCTGACTTTATTCCCCAACTTGAAAAGATCTTTTGTTCTTCTTATATTCGCCCTAACAACACAAAATCAATGTACATAACTCAAAATGAACATTTACTTTTATTATGAATACGAACGAATTACAGTGGTCTTTATAAAGACAATTATAAAAATTTAATAACTTTCATAATTTATCAATAAGTTTCTCATACTTATCCTTCCGGGAATAAAAACCATGATGCTACAAATAACCTACAAATTAAATATCGGAGTAGTTACATCCAGCAGTCTTTGTTCTGCCAGCTAGGCTATTTGCCCACTAATTATCAGAACTGACTCACAATTCAAGTAAAAAGGTTGCAGATAAACTCTTTTCTCTCATTTTACGATTAAGATAAGAGAGAAATAACATTAAACATATTGTTTTATAACACATTTCCAGTATCTGTTTATCTGTATGTCCCACCCACGTCGATTATCTTAACGACTCTGAAAAGAACCGCGGGTTATAAGTCAACTTATAACAATCGTTTACACTACTATAACCTGACATCTGTAATCACTCTTTTTACAAGTGTATAGAGTGTAAATTCGCGTGGTTTACAGCTCTATTACTGGTCGCATCAATATCGGACGATTCTGTATGTTCTTGCAAGTGGTCAAGTGATAGGTTAGTTTCAGTTGATTTGTAAAGCTTGCTATTTATCTATACTAGTTATGACGCGTGGCTTTACTGCGATAAAGTAGGGATTTATATTTTACATATCGGAAGCATTATGACTACGGTACTTTGAAGCGTTACATACACAGTACCTCTACCGATTCCTGTCATTTCGGATGCATTTCAGCACCTGCGTTTTAACTTAGCAAGATGTTAAAACCACAACAGATACCTTTTTTTTTATTCTCTACCAACATCACCTTCAACTGCCTGAGGATTGTCCTGGGAAGTATTGTGGAAATTGTCACTCTCCATAAGGAGGTTTAGCTTAGCACCTCGATTGGCATAGGGATTACAGATTACAATTTAAGAAGCAGAGAGTTAGACTTTTAGTCATCCTATCCATATGACACTCATGAGAAGTGAATCACTTTTCGGGGGGAAATCATCAAGTGATTTCAGTATCTTACTGACTAAAAATCCCTCCGTTCCTTCTCCTGCTCCAGGCTAGGGCCCCGGTATTGGGCGGCCCTGAGTCAACTTCCATGTGATGACATTGTTGTAGGTACCGATATTTTTGTGGTTTGTGTACCTAACTGTACAAAAATCTTTTGTGACAGCCTCCATACGTGAGATGTGTTATTCATACTAAAGAGTGAACAGTCAAGCTTAAAAAACAAGTCCGAAACAGAATTGTTCTAAACGAAAACCCCACTGCTACAACCTCTCAAAACCACTCCAACTCTTGTAAAACAGGATCTAAAAAAAACAAAACACTGAAGCATCCCAGGAACGTGAAAATCTGATATAAGACAGTTTTTAGATCTAAATCAAAAGGCATTATTGGAGCAAAATGAAAACAAAGTAGTTTCCTTTGCCCTCGGTGAATTCATAGCAGGACACAGAATGCCTTAAGCGTTAAAGACACAAAAGCAGAAGAGCCCGGTTACAATATTCCCTGGCTGGAAAGCGAATTGCAGTACTTAGTAGTATGACAAAGTTATTTAAGAGTGGGAGAGCCAAGTTTCGACACGAATGGGTAGGCTTGACCGGAGTGATACCACGGCCTCAAAGAAAACCGGCGTGCAACAACCACAGCGTTGTGTTTCGCCGTGTGAGTAAGGTTACCGGATGCCCAATCCTTCCCCTCCCCCGATCCCTCCCAATCTCTAAATCTCCAAAACCCTAATCCCTAAAAGGCCGGCGACGCACTAATAACTCCTCCGTTGCGGGTGTCAATGGGCGACACTGATTGCTTACCATCAGGTAATCCGTCTGCTCGTTTGCCGACCTATTATATAAAAAAGCCTTTGACTGCTGACAGAAAACTGTTGAAGGCAAATCCTCCGCTAACGGAGGTCACCAGTGACCCCCATGGCGTTTAACGTGTTAAAAATTGCAACGCGAAAATGTACCTAATTAAGTCATCAAAGAGTATGTATTGCATAAAACTGACATCTATAATCACACGT